CAAAATCCATGAAAGAGCTCTTAGCCAAGCTCGAGAATTATGCATCATATTCCTTTTCAATCATGAATACGGGGGGTTTCCTATTGTTAGATACGGTTCTTAATAACATAAAACTTATTTCAAAGAAATATTTCTGCACATTTGTCACTCTGTCTCATTTCAGTAATTATTTTCAAGCTGACAACAAAGGCTTCAATCTTCACTTCTCCGCACAAAACGTTCCCCAGTCATTTAGACAATTACTTGATGAATTACATTTGCTAAAGTAATTGCTTGTACCCAGAACCAATCCTGACAACCACTGAAGCTTGGCCCCGCCTTATTATTGTGGCCATAATACAGGGTTTCCATCTTCCTTATCTCACCGCTGGGCGGTACTAGACAAATCATTTATATCGATCTACTTAATCATTCAACAGTTTATCAGCGCACTTGCAGTGGGGTGGTATAGGCGTAGGGCGAATGTACATTTCACAGACGCTCAGTAATTCCGTAGAGTGAAATTAAATTGTGGATTGGGTGGTCAAAGGGAGTGTACAGTATTTCCTTGTATTGCTTTTACAATGTGACTATCTTTGCACACCCTCAAAGCTTGTAGGTAAAGCTGAAGAAGGCAACAGGTTTTTCCATACCAGGTTATTAACTGAGAAGGTATATACATGTCTCCTCAACAACGTGTATCAACATTTCTTCTCAACAACGTGTACCAACATGTCTCCTGAACAACGTGTACCCACGTGTCTCCTCAACAACATGTACGAACATATCCCCTCAACAACGTGTTCCAATACATTTCCTCAACAACGTGTACTAACATATCTCCTCAACAACGTATTCCAACATCTCCTCAACAACGTGTACCAACATATCTCCTCAACAACGTGTACCAACATATCTCCTCAACAACGTGTACCAACATATTCTCCTCAACAACATATCTCCTCACCAACATGTCTCCTCAACAACGTGTTGTCAACATACCAACTCCTCAACAATGTCTACCAACATATCTCCTCAACAACGTGTACTCCTCAACAACGATGTACCAACATATCTCTTCACAAACGTGTACCAACATATCTCTTCACAAACGTGTACCAACATATCTCCTCAACAAGATGTACGAACATATCTCCTCAACAAGTTGTACCAACATGTCTCCTCAACAAGTTGTACCCACATGTCTCCTCAACAACGTGTACCAACATGTCTCCTCAACAAGATGCATCAACATGTCTCCTCAACAACGTGTACCAACATGTCTCCTCAACAAGATGTTCCAACATGCCTCCTCAACAAGATGTACCAACATGCCTCCTCAACAAGATGTACCAACATGTCTCCTCAACAACGTGTTCCAACATATCTCCTCAATCAACTTGTCTCACCAAAGTAGTAATGGCAATAATAAATTGAATAAGCCCCCTCCATATCCATAAGAAAACAGGAATTCGAAACCACACCCACACCCACACCCACACCCACACCCACACCCTCAGAGTCAGGCACCTAATCGCCACCACTCAAAGTCAGCTGCTTAACCCGCTCAGCCACCGCGACTTCCACAAAAATGGAAGTCTAGACTGTGGACTTTGTGTACCCCTCTGGTAAGTGTAAATTGGCACGGCTTTCTACCTCTTTCGTGAACGATCAGTCAATTGTAGATTATGGGTCCTTGCCAAAACTCGATCTTAACACTACCAATGTTTTGGCGTCCATTCTAGGACATTAACGCACTGGGAGTCATGAATGACAAGTGCCGATTCTCAATGTCTAAAATGCAAAATGCTTATGGACGTAACAGAATGCCTGTTTTCATTGCGGTGATCACGAGCAGTGGAAACAGGCAGTCTGATTGAGACGAACCACTGGTTGATAGCACTGAGAGCTATAAGTGCGGTTGGATTTGATGCCGATAGTCTGCAGAGTGACATACGGTAGCAGCACGGTCTCCATCATGGCTTGGCCGAAGAGCAAGCTGAACTGTTAACCTATTGTGTGTTGGAATCCCTACGGAAGTGTGCGGTTTCTTTATTTCTAGGCGGGATCGAAGTGGTCAATATGTGGTCTTAGAGATGCCTTTGTTGTAGTATGTATGAGTTCTACCGACAGGTGCTAGCAAGAGGGCTGAGAATACTTACCCTTTCGGAACACCTGGTGTCATCGCTTATGAGTGTCTGCAAATTATGCTCCGCTACACTGCATAGTTGTCGGCCATAGTAAGAGGCACGGAACATGACAATTTGGATAACTGAAAGACCGACTACAGGTCGATGGGCCTATCATGATACATGCGCCCCAATATGTCCATCTACTGGATCAGTTACACTTGAAATACACAGATAATTAGAATTACTTTGAATGCATTATTTTCATTTTTAACAGTCACGGTTTGATGCTGTTCGATAATAATGATTCATAATGCTTAGGAATATTGTTTGTGAACGTCTCTTAACTTGAAATAAGTGCAGATTTTCTTACTGGATGACAAATATTGACAGAATGTAATAAATTTGTATTGGCTCATGGCGTTCAGGTTTAATGAATTCATGAAGTAACGTGTATGTGGGTGTGGCTTGCTGCATGTGCGGATTTATGAAGGTTTCATATAAAAATTACAAACACCTGACCTACTGACAACGAGACCAGATACTGTCTAATTTGAGATTATCTGCTCATAAAAATACAACTGACACAACTGACTCATGACGGGCTGTTTTCAAGACTCTCGTTTCAGAGGCTGCTTTTGGACATATAACAAAGTCACAAGAAGTCCTCAGTAGGCGACAATCTATCCGTAAGTCTAAGCAGTCAGTATTTTATAGGGCTGCGCAATATAACCGGCTTACCGGTTCAGACAAAAACGATACTTATTGCGATACGTGGATCGAAAACCGGTATTTTGACATGCATTCGAAAACTTCGTAAAACTCGGAAATTTTCGGATATGTCGGTTTTTCGCACCGGAAGGCATGCGTTTGTTTTAAAATGGCGACCCAAAACAACGAACAATTTATTGTGATACCAAATACAAGGGCACAGGCTTCAGTGTGGAAACATTTTTGGTTGAAAATGTTCACGGTAGATGGAACTATTTTATTAAAGGTTAATCAGGCATTGTGATTTTGTTGTGATTTTGCTTTATAAATCAAGCAATGACTCGACTATTGGTAGTGTGTTTTTACCAAAAAAAACCCTTCTTGCAATACATATCGCAATATGTTTCGGCATCGCAATATATCGTAAGATGAAATTCTCTGCAATAGTTTCTTAAGGATACAAACCTGCACATGACAGGAAAGGTCAAACTATTGACATTCAGCAACGACAGGTTCACCTTCTTTGAGAGGCATTTAGAAGTTGGATCAATAAGGAAGGATGAAAATATATGGATGAACAACTTCTTTATACTGCATGCTTCACTATCCCTTTTGTTTATACTGCAGACTTCACGCTTCCATATACCTAGACAATGTGTTGTTATTGTAACTAGCTCCCATATGACATTGCAGTCCAAATCCCCAAGTTTGCTGTACAAACATCTCCTTAAGCTTTATATATGCTTCTCTATCCTCATTCTGTTCATCACTTGCTTGGTAACAGTGTTAGAACTTACACCGAAAATTCGCTCTCACTGTAATAAAGAAGTTGCTCGTCCATATAGTGTCATCCTTCCTTCCTGACATGTTCACCAATTAAATATGCAAGGAGGAAGAACTTTTATTAAAGACGTCAACATGTTTTGTTTCCACGAAGAGTAATTTCTGTTGATCCGCTAGAGACAAATAAGCCATCACTTAATTGTGTTTAACCTACTGTATTGGCCTTGCTCAGTCATGCACATTGTGGTCCACGAGCCTCACAGTAAGTCCTTCCATGGCAATTCCAGAAAAACAAATCAAGATAATGGCGTCAGAGTGCTTTACACTTTAATGTCCTACAACTACTCCAAATGAATGCTGTGTTAGTTTTCAAATATAGGTACTCAGTCCTGAGTGTTTGGCAAATATTACTCAAGTCTTTCGATTGAGTTAAGGTCCAAATTGTACATGAATACAAACAAGAAAAGCCTTTAATAAGGCAACGTTGGAGGCACCTGGGTAAATTCAGAAATTTAGTGAGGACATGGGATGATTTGAGGGGGGGGAAGGGGTGAGGCTGATTTCAAGGGCATCACAATGACCATACATCCATCTGTTAGAGATCGGTACCCGCATCGCAAATAGGGTACTCCCAGCTCCATTATATGACATTTCATATCAAATCTCCATGTCATGTCTAACCATGTCCAGAAATGAAATACTGGTGACCCACGGAGGAAACATGGTCCTGTATAGTGTCACTGCCGGGCCAGGTGTGTGGATTCTCACAGTGATTACTATAGGCTGTAATTGGGTGTAACAACGCTCAGCACTCGCTGTACTGTTACTGAACACACCTCTGGAACCGATTCAAGGAAACCAGTCGGCCCTTCGCTAAATTCCAGGAAAAGCTAATGGGTGCTACTAAAATGGAATGGATTTTACAATTCTTCAATTCAAAATTATGCACTGAACTAGTACAAGTGTGCTTTATTGCATCTAAAATTGTTTTCAATTGAAAGTGTATCAGTTTATAAACTTGTTTGATCAGTAAACACACAGAATGTGGTTATATTAGAGATTTATAGAAAACTCGATTTCCGCATTAACTATGAAGAAAAGCGGGACAATTATTTCAGATTACTCACATGGTCACGTGGCTGCTAAATTGCTACAGCTATGTTCATTGGTCATTTGGAATTGCCAAAATACAAAAATTTTCAAAGGCTGAAAGTTTATTTTGAATAATCCAAGTGTATATTATAGAGAGAAATTTCACCTGAGAGACGAATTCAGCCTGATTAAAAGGTTTGCACCTCCAACCAATAATAGTGTACTCTGTCCAACACTTAGTGCCTGGATGGTCCCAATTTCTGTCTTTCATTATTCACATATCTAGACATATAACCAAACACAAAGTCCCATGTAGTTATTTTATGAAAATAAATAAACATTATGTACACATTTGTTTACACATTCATCTCATTGGATAACACAATGTTTCCTGAAATACAGACACTACATGCTTTACACTACATACATGTGTACATCACTGTTCCTCTGATTTCACTTCTCCAATTAAGTACACAGCAAACACATATTACCCTCAGGTTCATTTACTGGAGACAGTGAACCTTTTGATGTAATATTTTCTAAATGTATTGTACATGCTGCCAATGAGTGTAATGTATTATCACATAGCAGTCATATAGTACCCAGTATTATCTGTCTGTGTGTGGTGTGGTATTGTTTCGGTGAGGGTGATGGGTTGGGAGTGGACGGATGGAGGGGCTGGAGGTATAAGAATAGGGTAAATGTACATCGAGAACTGAACCCCTGCTCCCCTTCACCTTGACCAACAGGCTTCCTCACATGCTGTCAATGCTGTTGGCAGGTAGGGAGATGAATTCCTCACATGCAATCAATGCTGTTGGCAGGTAGGGAGATGAATTCCTCACATGCTATCAATGCTGTTGGCAGGTAGGGAGATGAATTCCTCACATGCTGTCAATGCTGTTGGCAGGTAAGGAGATGAATTCCTCACATGCTATCAATGCTGTTGGCAGGTAGGGAGATGAATTCCTCACAAGTTATCAATGCTGTTGGCAGGTAGGGAGATGAATATGTGTCATCCACAATGGTTCAATTACAAAGTTTCCAATGACTGTATGAGGGATTGGTTGGATCATTGTCTTCTGCCGCACTCAGCAATATTCCAGCTATATGGCAGCTGTCTCTAAATAATCAACTCTGGATCAGACAATCCAGTGATCGACAGCATGGATATTGATCTACACAATTGGAATACGATGACACGTGGCAACCAAGTCAGCAATCCTGACCACCCGATCCCATTAGTCACCTCTTACGACAAGCATGGGTTGTTGAAGACAAATACTAACCCGGATCTTCATGGGTCTCCAATGACTGTATGAAAACTACGTGGGATGAGATATCCAGTTCCATGCTCTCAATTTCATTTATTGTTAAAATTGAGATGTCAGTAGGCGTTCATTTGATTTGCAGCCTCATCAAACAACATCAGTTTCAGCAGACATTGTTTCTGTCATGTCCTTCACCGAAATAAATCACCAGACAATGCTGTATTTTCTTGGTATTCTTCAGGAACAATATCGGTGTTCATCTGATCCACTTGTGACAATACACACACTATCTGAGACAACCTGCTGATATATCACAACAGCTGTCACAGCATCCTTCAGTGTCAACGACGAGCCTATCACTACCTCACTGAATCCAGACTCAGATTAGTCTGCAACTATCGAGATGACAGACTTCAGGTCATCAGCACAGCGTGTCTGTAGGTCCGACTTGGTGGCAAGATTGACAATGTTTTGGTGAGAGTCCTTGAGTTGGCACAAGATGTTGGCATTCTTCATCAGAACCTTGGCCTGAAAATAAATCTGCTGCAATCATCGGCATATTTGGCTTGGAATGGATAAATGATTGGTTGACAGTATGAGAATCAATCACTAGGTACAATATGATCACCAAGCTAAGAATAAACCGTTGTAAGTACATTAGAGGCTTGCACTGACTAATGACCTTTTACCATGAAAACCATGAGGCTGCTTCAAGTAATATTGTAAACCAAGGAACCAAGCAACTACAAGTCTCATCACTCTTGAACACGAAAGGCTGCAATGGCAGTTTTTGTAAACACATTATCGAAACACTTACGATACGAGGGATGGTAGGGACTTTGCAAGCCAATGAGCACTAAGATTACACTGAGTTTCTCACATAATCAGTTAACATCTAGTTCTGTTACCTTCTGGTTGTTAAATATGAGAGCCCAAAGTGCTGATGCTGCCACAGCCTGCATTTTCTCCGTCCCCTCCTCCACACACTGCAACAAGGCTGGCAGCAGCTTCTCTGCAACATCACACACGTCATGCCGTTACTTTGAACATGGCAAACATACCCATCCAAGCACCAACACAGTGTGTGTACTTCAACTCAAACCCTTAATACCCCTTATTATCCATTTTTCCCTTCCAATTAGGAGCATATGACATATTTCTGTAGTTTGATTGTTTCAGCTTTGTCTACTACTTACATTGAGCTGAGGCTAGAGTACAAAGAAGGACGAAGGAAGATCTAACAGTAAATTACTGTATTCATTTCTGCATGTTATCAGTTTAGCTGCATCAACATCAGTCCATCCACATCTCCAGGACAAACACTTCGATACACCTGTACAACCCCTGCATCCCATTTTGTGCTTTTAGCAATCTTAAATAATCCATCCTTGATGTTCAGTTGCCAAATTCTGATTGGCCATGTTACTAGGAATAATGTACCGATCAGAATGCAAGTTACGAAGCAGGCTCATTGTTTGCTTGGTTTTGCAAGAAATGCAATATTGAAAAACTAACAATCAGAAGAAAGCCCTCAAAAGTCATTTTTAAGGAAAGGATGTCTTCATGTTAATAAAAAAATGTGATGAATTTGGTTTGTAGGTAATATGAGTTACCTCCCTTAACCTTTCCCTTATTGGCGCGCTTGATTGATTGGTTAAATGTGAAGGAAAATCAAGGGTGGGTAATCTGCAATCTCAAGAACAATGGGGATGGATCCAGGGCTTAGTGAAATGCCAGCCTCGGAGATATGGAGGATGACAGCAGCCATACACAGCATCTTCTATCGGGAAAAGTACAAACCATTGGCAAGAAGCTTGTGCTTGTTACTGGCATGGCAGCAAAGGTTACGGAGAATGAGGAGTGAGCTCTCCTGACATCGGGACGAACCCAACTCCAGGTAGTCCAGTAGCAGCTGCACTCCCCCTACATCAACAACACCTTCAACATTACTACAGGCATCATCAACACCATCAACATATTTGTCAACACCTTCAACCTTTTACATAACTATATGCAACATTATCATAAATGCCATCTATATCAATACACATAGCGTCATTAACATCTTCACACCATCATCTTCAACATCAATACATGCAACGTCATTGACATCTTCACATCATCATCTTCAACATCAATACACATGCGTTATCAACATCTTCAAAATGAGCTGGGTGCAGTCCCTGTCAGGACTTACCTGAGATGTTGAGGATGATCTGGTGGCCCTCCACTGAGAAGGAAAGGTTGGTGAGGACCTCCATCCACTGGACATCTCGTGGTGACTTCCACTTACTCTTGCTGGCCTTGTGAGGATTTAACTTGGAGAACTCGGAGAAGAAGTTACTCTAAAACACAGGAGTAGTGTCTCATCAACAAACAGTTTGGTTTTATACTTTTGTGTCTCGAAAATAAGAAATTGATAATCTGAATACGTGATGAAAAGAACTCCTGTTTGTGCATTTGTTGTTTTAAACACTCACCAGACAAAGGTGACGTTTAGAGTGCGATGACACACAACAAAGTAAGTCACCTAACCTTACCATCCATTTTCTCCCGCAAGCAAAGACTTCTAGGGTTAGGATCAGTTATAGTCCCGAAAGTACTGTAAGATCTCCCTCTGCATTATGTACTGCTTCTCTTGTGTGTACCAGCACTCTGTTGTACCCACCTTCCACATGATGTTGCGGCATTCCGAGGAGAAGGTGAGAGTGGCGAGGATGCTGAACACGAGCCTGGTGATGTCCCTGTTGGTGCTTTGTCCTGCCAGTTTCAGCAGGCAGTGCACCAAGGAGCTGCTGCTGAGGCAGGGCTTGCCGTCCACGGTGGTGTTGGGCACACCTGAGGAGCTGGTGTATGCTAGCGAGGAAGTAGCTGCAACAAGCATCATAAATAGCATTGGCCTAACATGCAGTTCTCTTATTATGAAAGCATGTGGAAGACAAGCAACAAAATCTAGAGTGAATGATGTTTAATAAAAGGAATAGTAATTGTGTGATGACTGAGCACTAACCCCTGGCAGCCCCACTAGATTTTGGATGAAGTGTCTCCACGGCATGAGACAGACCTTCACCCTTTGGATCCTTGCATTGTCCCCAGGACAAGTGATTGACCTTCACTTTGAAGTGCATGGTCACCCTCACAAGAGAGTGCCCATGAAAGCTTTTGATCCATACATTGTTCTCACGACAAGAGAGTGACCTTCACTTTGCTGCCTCCCAACATTTTTTCAACATGAGAATGACCACCACTACATGGTTATCAGGGCAGGAAAGTGACCTACCAGGTGGACAGTGAGCTGTGAAGGTGAGCAGCAGAGCCAGGACAGAGGTCATCAGGGCATTATCTACTTGTGCCCATGCCCACAGTCGGTGTATCAAGCCACTTAGACCAGAATGGTGGCACGCAAGCTGCAGCAAGGAATATAAGAAGAAAAATAATTTACAAAGGAAAACATTGAGATTTCTTTTCTATTTGACTTATAAACTGAGTCAAAAAAGAAACTTTCTTCAGGACACTATAAAAGAACAAGAGATGGTAAGATGGTTAAATTGTTATTATTTCATTGCTGAGATCTGTGTGATGTACTCGATACACTGACAGTGCCATAATCAGTTCCATTAGGCTACACCGCCGTTCCAAAACTTGGGTATACAGAATGTCAAGTCACAAGAATAAAACTGTGAAATTTCTCAGTTCAATATCGTGTATGGTCGCCCCACGCATTCACCACTGCCAAACACTGTCTCCTCATCGACTGCCTGATGCTTGTGAACACGTGGTTGGGGATTCTGCGCCATTGCTCTTGCAAGGCAGCGCCAAGTTCCTGCAAATTCTGAGGTTGGTTCCTAAGACCACGAAGCCTTCTCCCAAGTGCATCCCAAACGTGCTCTATTGGATTAAGGTCAGGGGACCTCGATGGCCAGTCCATGATGTTGATTCCAGCGTTTTGAAGGAAATTTCGTGTCAACATTGCGGTATGCGGCCGAGCATTAACATGCTGGAACTGTAGACCTGGGCCATGAGCCGCCATGAAAGGAACGAGTTCAGGGGTGAGCACCTGGTCGCGGTAAGCAGCAGCTGTGAGGTTTCCACGGATGACCAGAAGTCGGGAACGGTTGTTCCCACAGAAAGCACCCCACACCATGCAACTTCCACCCCCGAATCTGTCGACTTCCTGTACACAAAGTTGGGCATACCGTTCACGACGTTGTCTCCAGACTCTATGCCTGCCGTCTGCGAATCTGAGGGTAAACCTGGATTCATCGCTAAAGAGGACTCGATCCCAGTCTCTCTGGGTCCATCGGCGGTGACGTTGGGCCCACAGCAGACGTTGACGTTGATGAAACGGCATCAATATTGGCCCACGATATCGACGTCGAGAATGGAGATTGGCAGCCCACAACCGATTTCGAATGGTCTGCGAGGACAGTCGACCTCTAAACATCTCAGCCCTGGTTCGTGTAGCCGGCTGAAATCTGTCACGTAAGGACGATTTGACGGTCTTCTGCTCGTGACGTCACACGTGGGCGATCAGAAGTGGTGCCAGTTTGATGACCTCGCAAGTCATACACAGTACGACGGCTACATCCCATTGCTCTTGCGACGTCAATAACTGATCTTCCCGCTTGCAACATGCCAACGGCACGTTCACATTGCACATTTGACAATCGTGGCATTTCAAGTACCGTTAGAACTGTGGTTTAAAAGTGTTTTTTCAATTCTTGAGGCCAATGCAACCACGTGCATATGAAGAAACCTTCGATGCGAAGATCACGTGATCGACTGCACGTGCAAAACCTGATTTGGCACTAATGTCATTTGCACGACCAATGGATGGGTTTGAGTGGGTTTTGCTAACGTTTTTCTAGAGTCGAAAGATAGGGATCCCATTTCGGATACAAAGATGTATCATCAGAGAAATATTATTCATTATTTTTCAAATTACATTTTGTGAAGTTTCTTTTTTGACTCAGGATATTAGACTTATATATATGACAAAACTAAGCTGCAGGAATAGATTAGCAGTGTCAACCTCTCTACCAAAAACATGTACAACAACTTGATGTCCCTTGTTATACAGCATTGCTTACCTTGACCTTGTTGCAGCTGGCCGTAAAGTTCCTCAGCAGGGAGAAGAGGAGCAGGAGTTCCTGTAGGAGGGGCTCTTCCTTCCTCCGCCCCCCGGACTTGGAGAGCTGCAGAGCCTCAAGACTGAGCTTGGCATGGAGCTGCTTCCCATGCTGCAAGAGTGACTCAGCCAGACCCACTGAAATCAATGTACTCTTTTCTCAACAATCATATCATGACATATCTTTGCAGCACTAACTGATCTGCTTGTTATTTTCCAGTGCTGCTTCTTTATACTTTGTATCAGGCACTGTCTGCGTGGCACATTTAGTGGTGTCGGGAACATTGTTTCTTGTCACTGTCAGTTTCTGTATATTTGGCATTTACTGTCTGGTGCTGATGTTTTGAACTATCTGTCTGGAACTGTCTGATGGAAACTCACTGTCTACAGTTGTCTATCTGGAATTCACTGTCCAGTGCTGTCTGCTTGGAACTGAGTATACAGTGATAGAACTTTCTGTCTGGTGTTGTCTGTTTGGCAGGCTGTGAGAGGAGTGTTGTCTGTTTGGATATTCACTGAATGGATTTCCAGATGTCCAGTGCTGTCTGTTTCGAACTCAGTGTTTACTGCTGTCTGTTTAGGATTCACTCTATAAAGCTGTCTGCTTAAAACTTTCTGTCTAGTGCCGTCTGTTTGGAACTCATTGTATAGTGTAGTCTTTTTTACCTTACTGTCTAGTGCTGTCTGATGGGAACTTACTGTCGAATGCTGTCTGATGGGAACTTACTGTTTAGTTGTCTGTTTGGAATCCATTGTATAGTGAAGTCAGTTTGGACTTTCAAGTCCAGTACTGTCTGATGGGAACTCACTGTCTAGTGCTGTCTGATGGGAACTTACTGTCTAGTACTGTCTGATGGGAACTTACTGTCTAGTGCTGTCTGATGGGAACTTACTGTCTAGTGCTGTCTGATGGGAACTTACTGTCTAGTGCTGTCTGTTTAGCTGATTGAGAGATGACAAGGAGAGACTTGAGAGTGTTGATAACAGCTATTCTGTCAGCACTGTGAGGCCGGTCAGCATGTTTCAAGGTGATGAGATCGTAGGTGCTGATCAAGGCTTTACACAAGCTAGACCCTGATGTTCGAGGGCCCTGGCTAGGGTCATCAGATGCTGGAAACAAAAGGGTAAAACATGAAGCATGGAGCCTTTGTTTGGTTGCTACCTTATTCACCAGCAACAGTCCACCTATACCCAGTGTCATTAATGAAAGGTCACCTAGGTATGGGGTAACCCATGAACATGTGCCAATAAAACTCAAGTAGTCTGATCACGTCCACAGTTGAAGGACATGTTATTAATGACTATGTCACACTGACTCGCTGCTTTTATGAAACAAGAAAGGGCATATAAGATGGAAGATGGTAGAAAAGAGCTACCAAGAACGCACACCTAAATGGCTCAGCCCAAGCACAGGTGATTCATTACCAGTGCCAGTCAATGTGGCTATAAAACTGTTTTACAATTTCAACTGAACTGTACTTTTGAAAGTTCTAAATGTGACCACATTTCATCTTCAAACTCTAATCATCCGTGTGACCTCTTAAAAATGATCCTGAGTTAATATCATGGCAACTTGTCAATAACCCAGACTGGGTCAGACAAATCAGTGATTGTCAGTCATGGTGAAAGGAAATTCAACCAAGCTGCCAATCCTGTCAAGAACTCACAGCAAGCAACAGAGACCCAGAGACCTATTCTCACAAAAAGTCTAAACAAATAGTCACTGAAATGCTTTACTTCATGAAATGACAATTAAAACCAAAGATCCAGTATTCCTTGTGAGGCAATGAGACACCAAATAGCGAATATGGATTAGTTAGGTGTGACCCAATCCTGCAATACATGGAAGAGATTCATATTGGACTCACGTCGGCCGATCTGCATGTCCAGCAGCTCAGACAGTGTGTGGGACCTGTTGCCTCTGTCTGGGTGTCGTGCTGTGATCTTGCCTTCCTCACAACATATCCCAGACAGAAAGACCATACAGGACAGTGACACGGCCTGAGTCTCCTCACTTAGCATATCCAGGAGCCTCCGAAACATGTCTGTAACATTATCCCAAAGCTCAATATCACATTTGTGCATGATATTGTTGATAAACAGAAACAGTAAATATTTGAATCATTTCAGAATGACACAAGGTAATTGTTGCTGAAGGGGTCGTTGTCGGCACGGGTACTACAGATATGTACCCCAGGTACGTTTCTGTATACAGAAAAGTACCCTAGCCATAATGAGAATACAGAAACGTACCCTAGGACGATTCCATTCCCATTGTGTCGTATTCTTGATTGGAACTGTCATACTGTTGTATTAGATACATTTGATTGCGTTATGTAAGTAATGAGAATACACAGTAACAGATATTTGCGATGCACATTAATACCAGTCGGAATCAGTTGAACGGGAACAACTACATACGGCTTCGGTTCTGGATTGCGGATTATGGACTTGTCCGCCTTTCAGGGTACCGGGTACGTCTCTGTATTTTGACTTTGTTTAGGGTACATATCTGTATACAGAAACGAACCTGGGGTACGTATCAGTAGTACCTGTGCCGACAACAACCCCTTCAGCGTAATTGTTTCAGAGTGGTGATATCAACCTACTTGAAAGGTATGCCCACGGTTTGGAGAGGGCATCTGTGATTATATGGACCTATTTGAAAGGTGTTCTGGTTTTGGAGAGGGCATGTGTAGTAATATCAATTTACCTGATTGGTGTGCCCAGACTTTGGAGAGGGCATGTGTGATAATTTCTATTTATCTGACAGGTGTGCCCAGGGTTTGGAGAGGGCATGTGTGGTAATTTCTATTTACCTGGCTTGTGTGCCCAGGCTTTGTAGAGCGTATGTGTGGTTATTACGATTTACATGAAAGGAGTTCCCAGGCTTTGGTGAGGGCATGTATGGCAATATCGACTTACCTGTCAGGTGTGTCCAGGCTTTGGAGAGGGCATGTATGGTAATATCGACTTACCTGTCAGGTGTGTCCAGGCTTTGGAGAGGGCGTGTATGGTAATATCAACTTAACTGTGAGGTGTGTCCAGGCTTTGGAGATGGCGTGTATGGTAATATCGACTTAACTGTGAGGTGTGTCCAGGCTTTGGAGAGGGCGTGTATGGTAATATTGACTTACCTGTGAGGTGTGTCCAGGCTTTGGAGACTGCGTGTATTGTAATATTGACTTACCTGTGAGGTGTGTCCAGGCTTTGGAGAGGGCGTGTATGGTAATATCAACCTATCTGTGAGGTGTGTCCAGGCTTTGGAGATGGCGTGTATGGTAATATCGACTTATCTGTGAGGTGTGTCCAGGCTTTGGAGAGGGCGTGTATGGTAATATCGACTTATCTGTGAGGTGTGTCCAGGCTTTGGAGAGGGCGTGTATGGTAATATCGACTTACCTGTGAGGTGTGTCCAGGCTTTGGAGATGGCGTGTATGGTAATATCAACTTACCTGTGAGGTGTGTTCAGGCTTTGGGGAGGGCGTGTAAGGTAATATCGACTTATCTGTGAGGTGTGTCCAGGCTTTGGAGAGGACGTGTATGGTAATATCAACTTATCTGTGAGGTGTGTCCAGGCTTTGGAGAGGGCGTGTATGGTAATATCGACTTACCTGTGAGGTGTGTCCAGGCTTTGGAGACTGCGTGTATGGTAATATCAACTTACCTGTGAGGTGTGTTCAGGCTTTGGGGAGGGCGTGTATGGTAATATCAACTTAACTGTGAGGTGTGTCCAGGCTTTGGAGAGGGCGTGTATGGTAATATCGACCTACCTGTGAGGTGTGTCCAGGCTTTGGACAGTGCGTGTATGGTAATATCGACTTACCTGTGAGGTGTGTCCAGGCTTTGGAGAGGGTGTGTATGGTAATATCGACTTACCTGTGAGGTGTGTCCAGGCTTTGGAGAGGACGTGTATGGTAATATCGACTTACCTGTGAGGTGTGTCCAGGCTTTGGAGAGGGCATGTATGGTAACATCGACTTGCCTGTGAGGTGTGTCCAGGCTTTGGAGAGGGTGTGTATGGTAATATCGACTTACCTGTCAGGTGTGTCCAGGCTTTGGAGAGGGCATGTGTGATGACGTCAAGAGCCGTGGAGGACTGCAGCTGTACCAGAGAGGATAGAAGGTTGAACACAGACATCCACAGGCCACGACAGTCAGCAGCCAAGTCTCCTCCAGCTGCAAACACAGACATTATATGTTGAAACTATGTACAAACAAAATACATTGTGTAAATAAATATTGTATCATTGTCAGCTGATTATTGAATTTGCACCTATGGTAACTCACTCAGTCACAAATATTCATTCCTAAGAACTTAAGTAGAGAACACTCACCATTATACTCAGTTGTGGGGTTCAACATCACCCTCGATGGAGGTCAGAGATATGATGCAGTATAAGGACATAACCATCACCCTCGATGGAGGTTACCGATATGATGCAGTATAAGGACATAACCATCACCCTCGATGGAGGTCAGTGATATGATGCAGTATAAGGACATAACCATCACCCTCGATGGAGGTACCGATATGATGCAGTATAAGGACATAACCATCACCCTCGATGGAGGTCACCGATATGATGCAGTATAAGGACATAACCATCACCCTCGATGGAGGTCACCGATATGATGCAGTATAAGGACATAACCATCACCCTCGATGGAGGTTACCGATATGATGCAGTATAAGGACATAACCATCACCCTCGATGGAGGTCACCGATATGATGCAGTATAAGCACATAACCATCACCCTCGATGGAGGTTACCGATATGATGCAGTATAAGGACATAACCATCACCCTTGATGGAGGTCACCGATATGATGCAGTATAAGGACATAACCATCACCCTCGATGGAGGTCAGAGATATGATGCAGTATAAGCACATAACCATCACCCTCGATGGAGGTCAGAGATATGATGCAGTATAAGGACATAACCATCACCCTCGATGGAGGTCACCGATATGATGCAGTATAAGGACATAACCATCACCCTCGATGGAGGTTACCGATATGATGCAGTATAAGGACATAACCATCACCCTCGATGGAGGTCACCGATATGATGCAGTATAAGGACATAACCATCACCCTCGATGGAGGTTACCGATATGATGCAGTATAAGGACATAACCATCACCCTCGATGGAGGTCAGCGATATGATGCAGTATAAGCACATAACCATCACCCTCGATGGAGGTCACCGATATGATGCAGTATAAGCACATAACCATCACCCTCGATGGAGGTCAGAGATATAATGCAGTATAAGGACATAACCATCACCCTCGATGGAGGTCAGAGATATGATGCAGTATAAGGACATAACCATCACCCTCGATGGAGGTCAGAGATATGATGCAGTATAAGGACATAACCATCACCCTCGATGGAGGTCACCGATATGATGCAGTATAAGCACATAACCATCACCCTCGATGGAGGTCACCGATATGATGCAGTATAAGCACATAACCATCACCCTCGATGGAGGTCCCCGATATGATGCAGTATAAGGACATAACCATCACCCTCGATGGAGGTCAGCGATATAATGCAGTATAAGCACATAACCATCACCCTCGATGGAGGTCACCGATATAATGCAGTATAAGGACATAACCATCACCCTCGATGGAGGTCAGCGATATAATGCAGTATAAGGACATAACCATCACCCTCGATGGAGGTCAGCGATATAATGCAGTATAAGGACATAACCATCACCCTCGATGGAGGTCACCGATATGATGCAGTATAAGGACATAACCATCACCCTCGATGGAGGTCACCGATATGATGCAGTATAAGGACATAACCATCACCCTCGATGGAGGTTACCGATATGATGCAGTATAAGGACATAACCATTACCCTCGATGGAGGTCACCGATATGATGCAGTATAAGGACATAACCATCACCCTCGATGGAGGTCAGTGATATGATGCAGCTGAGGAGACACGATGGAGCTAGGGCACTCACCATCACACTCGATGAGGAGTAGCGACACAATGGAGTCGAGGGCACTGCTGTTGTCGAGGATCTCCACTCTGCTAGGGGAGTCATACAATACACAGGCTCTAAGCAGCATAATGATACTGTCATACAGCTGTAACAGGTCCCGGAAAGCAAGCTCCGCCTGGGCAGGGTTTGACCCACTCGACATCTCCTTACAACACTCCTGGATTTGCCCTGAACTGACCATGCTGAAAATAAGACAACATGGGGTAGGTATTTGTGTCATTCTGAATGAAATTCCAGATACAATGGTTGATCTGTTTTGATTAAGCCTGGCAAACATGACCTGAATATAGCTTGAAATTTTTTGGTTTAACAACATACATCTTTCAAATGCAGATTCATTCTTCAGTCAAACAAACAACATCTACCCAAGACTCTCTTATCGTCATCCCTGTTTCTGCCTTCTACACTCGGATCATCATTCCTGTTTCTGCCTTCTGCCTTCTCACTGCCATCCCTGTTTCTACCCTCTGATTGTCACTTGTCAAGCTCCTACCAATGTGCTTTCATTCAGGACAAAATCAAACAACCCTCTGATTTACATGTCAAAATTTTAAAAAATACACTCCCATGCTTGAAGTAATCAAACTACCCTCTGATTCACGTGTCAAGCTTGTAACAGTCCACTCCCATGCAGAGAAGTAATCGAACTACCCTCTGATTCACATGTCAAGCTTGTAACAATCCACTCCCATGCAGGAAGTAACAAATCTATCCTCTGATTACCTTGTCAATATTGAGATGTAGCCATCCTTCTTGAGAGCCAGGAAGGTATCCTGCGGGGCGAGAAGCACGAGGTTCTTGATGAGTCGGCAGACTGCCGACACCAGACAGGGGGTGACAACACTGTGGTACTCCAGGGTGTCGCTAGTGTCAGTGGTGGTGGAGGAGGTCATGTCACCAACACCATCTTCACAAACACATTTGAGAAGGCATTTCATTAATGTCATACAACATATTGACATCACATTAATCGGGAATGATGATGATGAATTCCGATATTGTATGCACGATTTAATAATGTCTTCGTTTGTAATACAAAATGGAATTTTTTTGTTTTCACAGTTGTAAATGAGGAAGTGAGTTACTGAATGCTGTTTTAGGACACATCAAAACATCAGATCTGTCAAACTAAACTATGAATAATCCTGACAGACACAACTTAACAATTGGTTTTCTGCATGAACTACAGTCTGCACCTTCAGGGAAAAAGCAGCAAGATCTTACACTGAACCACTCTGCCCTTGTCAGGAGGATCTCTTAACTAGCATAAGTTGTGAACAAAAGTACAACCTGCTGCGGCACCAAAATGTAATTTTTAGATTAGAATTGATATTTTATACTTATCCTCACTCATGCTTAATTGCTTGCTGTCTCTTTCTTCTTGCGAATGATAGTGGAACACTTGAATCCCCTTTTGAAGCTCCCTTCAATAAAGCGGACGTAAAATCACTCACCCAGTGTTATCTCCCTTGTGACTCTTTTAGGCGGGAAACCACGTCACATGTTTGGACATGTCCCTCACTCTCTCCTGAGATATGCGCCCGACACCTGGATTACAGGGAATCGAGAATGCCATGAGGGGAGATTGGTGGGGCTTACCTCATGAGTTAGGATAAGTATAAAATATCAATTTTAATCTAAAAATTACATATTTTTCCTTATCCTGACTCATGCTTAATTGCTTGTAGAATCCAACGGAATAGGTGGTGGGTCAGGCCACTCTGGATTCCATGCTGATTTACGTCCTGCATACCCCCCTGAGGGAACTTCTCAAAGTATATACTGATCCTTCCTTCCAGCTTCCTCTGATGAGTTTGGGGGGACCACAATAAGTCAGATTTTCCGGAATTGCTTCTCCTGACAGTAAAAGTGGATTTATACGACTCCATGATTGATTTCTGTATCAATGGAGAAGTGACCCTTCTTATATATGAGTAAGTCCTTACAAGTATAGGGTCTGTCACTCATGCTAGCCTATCTTTAGATGTGCGCACAGACTCTAAGCTCCAACTCTCTGAGTGTCGGCTTTTACAAGTCATGTGATAAAGGGTGAGATTCATCTCAGCATCTTTGAGGAACTGTCAATTGTTGTGCTACAACAAGAGGCCCAATCTGGTGGTTACTGGAGACATCCTCGGTAGCAATGTTTCTGAGGTAGTGGTTGGCAAACACTGTCTCCGACTTCCAATAGCAGCCTTCCATTATTGTCGAGATTGAGCAATTTCCATGTAGAGCAAGTGTCGACGCCAGTGCTCTTACTTCATCAGGATTAGAGGCGTGGTGGCTCAAGACCTGCTGCTTTATAGGCTCTCAATATGACGGCTCTCATCCATATTGATATTGTTGTACGTGAGACTTCTGTAGGTGTCTCTGTAGATAAAGGGATGAAAAGGCGCGCTTGAATTTTCGTCTCCTCATCTTAAACCTCTGTAGGTAGATTTGTAATGCTCTGACTGGACATAAGGATAGATCCTGAGTATCCTGTGGTCCAAGGGCTGACGAAAGTGCTGGGATGTGGAATTGCCTGTCTGGTTGACCAGGCAATTGGTTCTTTGCTATGAAGTCCCATCTCAACCCCAGATGTATGATATTGTGATTCAAATCGTATTCGTTCAAAGTCCAGAGCATGTATTTCTGACATCCGAGCTTCTGTTGACAAGGCCACCAGGAACAGAGTTTTATGTGTTAGACACTCATATGATGTCCTTCCTAGTGGTTCATAAGCATCACTGGTGAGATGCTGTAAGACTATGTTGAGAATTAGTAGGTTCGGCCGCTCTGGAAGTTGTAGGGTTGGAATTCTGAGTTCTTGAATGAGGATGGGAAACCACACCCTCGCTGGCCAGTAGGGCGCGACCAAAAGCAGTTGTAGGTTCTTTGTCTGCTTGATTTTTCTGCAATACCTGCGGTATTAGAGTTGAAGGTGGAAACCCATATGCGTTTTAGTCCTTCGCATGGGATGCTTAGAGCGTCTGTTGCCCATGCTTGTGGATCCGGAATTGGAGAGACGAATGTTGGTATTTGTTTGTTTAACCTTGTAGGAAACAGATCTATTAGTGGAGATTTTATCCTTTGTATGATGCATCTGAATGCTTCTGGGTGTAACATCCATTCCGTCGGGGATGGTTGTGTTGGACGAGAAAGGGTGTCTGCTATCACATTCTTGGCTCCGGGAATGTGACATGCTTTAAGTCGACGTTCAAGTTGTCTATTATGCTGAACAGATGAAAGCTGAGATCTAGTAGATTCCTTGATCTTGTTGATCCTTGTTTGTTGATGTAGAACGCCACGGTGGAGTTGTCCGTGTGGATCATCAGTTGAGCATTCCTTAGTATGCTGGACCAGTATAGTAAGGCATTTACGACTGCTTTCATCTCGAGCATGTTGATGTGCAGACTTTGCTTCTGGCTCGACCATTTCACTGCTGCCACTTCATTGTCGAGGTGGGCTCCCTTCCTTGGATTGATGCATCTACGTAGAGATGATGTTGTACTCCGGCTCTGATAAGTAGGTTCCTCCGCAAACATCCGACCTTCGTGTCCACCATAGGAGAGATATGGTTTCAATCCGTCCAGTAGTCCGAACTGTCTAGATGAGCGTTCACAAACACTTGTAGTGGGTGCAGTTGTAGTCTTCCTCTGCATGTCATGTCTTGTGCTGATGTGAGGAGAGACGAGTAGGCTCTGCCAATTTCATAGTGGTAACGGAGAGAGTAGTGCTTGAGATATCATCTGCTGTAACTTGACCCAATGCTCCTCTGGGACGACTATGCGATTCTGCAATGTGATGAATCGTATTTCTAGGAATTGCAGATCCTGTGTGGGTTGTAGTTCCAATTTGAGGAGATTTACTAGCCATCCTAGTTGTGTAAGTAGCCTGATCGCGAAGTCTAGTTGCAGTCTTAGTTGACTGGGATCTGGCGGAGCTTGAATCCCGTTGTCCAGGTAAAACACACTACGTAGACCTCGATGATGTAGATAGGCGATCATTGGCTTTGTCACTCAAGTAAACAACCAGGGGGCCGACAATATTCCAAATAGTAGCACCTTCCATTGGAAGTAACGTCCATTGAAAAGCAATCGTAGATATTTCCTTGAGTCCAGATGTATCGGGATGTGAAGATACGCATCCTGTTGATCCATGCTGGCGAGGTAGTCTAATGGACGTATGAGTTGTCACAGTTGAGGTAAATGTATCATTCTGAACTTTGCGGGGCTGCGTAGATAATCTTGGTTGAATTTCCTCATGTTGTATATAAGTCAGAACTTTTCCTTGGAATTTTTCTTTGGTACTAAGAAGATTGGGGAGTAAAACCCGAGTGTGACGAATTCCTGTTTTATTTCTTCGATCGCCTCCTTCTCAAGTAGAGTTGTGATGGCGTCGAGAAGGTTCTCCATCTCGTCGGCAGCATAGTTGTGGCCCAGAGAGTTGCTTGTCAATGGTGGTACTGCTTTTAATTGTATCTTGTATCCTCTGCGTAGGATCTGGGATACGTAGTCGTCCTGAAGAATTCCCCAATTCTTCAAGTAGCGTTGTAGACGTCCACCCACTGCTGAAGGTTGTATGGGAATGGCTGGGGGTGGAAGACTCCAGTCGTTCCGAACCCGTCTTTCAGCGTCTAAAGTTTCTGGTACTCTGGATGCACTGCCTCTTCCGGGATTACCTCTGGATGCTCCGGTTGGGCGACAAAAAGAATCCTTGCCTCCTCTGGAGTTGCCGTATTTCTTTTCTCTGGCTCTTTGTATGCCTGTGAACTTCGACTTTCCGGAGTAGCGTTGTGAGGTCTGACAGATAACACTAGCTAGTGTGTCGATGGACTTTACCTCCCTTGATTCTTTGGTTACTTCCTTGGCCACGTCCTCAATTTCCCTTTCGAAGATAGATGGTGCTGACCATGGAGCTCTGTATAGTGACTTGGTGAAGCGTTCACTCCACGTACAAGAAGATAGTAGTCCTTGTCTTCTTAACAGTGTCAATCCTGATGATGTAGAGGCCAGATGTTCAGACATGAACTGATGATCTTTCTTCCGTGTTAGTAATGCTGAGTAGATCATTCTATTTTCTTCCGAGGTCGAGTTACTAAACTTCGCTATGAGAGTTTCATTGATAGCTCTTGACCTGGCTAGTCCAAAGAAGGTACACTGGTAGTTGTGTCTAGTTGTGCCAACTTCTTGTCTTCAACTTTTTAAGTCCTGGCTCGGGAGTCGTTGATGATCTTGTAGTTCTCGTCTATTTCTGGGGCCTTCGTAAAGGGTTCCATGTGGTGGAGAGAGAACTTCTTAGAGTTGAATGGTGGGACGCTCTGACTCTGGAATTTCGTTGTCTTCTTGAAGGCTGTGCTGAGATTCCCTGGTACATCTGCGACCGGATCGATGGGTGGAAGAGTAAGTGTGTCAAAGTCCTCGTTGTACAACCTGTATGTAAACGCTTCACTATCCCCTTTAGAGGGTGATGCAAGTTCTAGTCCATTTGCCATCCAGGATTTAATTTCTGTGTCGGAAAATATAATTCCTCCGTCATCTTCGGATTTAGAGGCTTCTCGTTCAGGAGATGGTTGCCACTGTGATTCTTTCCTGCTTGGAGATCTGCATGGAGACCTGCATGGAGTCCTGCGTGGAGACCTGTGTGGAGACATTCTTGAATGCTCCTGTTGGTTGTCTGTGTCAGAGGAGGAGGATCTGCGATGATCTGGTTCTGTTCCTTCGCTTCGGTGAAGGTGTCCTAGTACATCGTACAGTGTGCGATCCTTCATACATGCTTCCTCCTACGGGAGTCCCTTCGTGCATGCTTCCTCCTTCGTAAGTGCTTCCACGCCTGCTTCTGTCTTCGCGCATGCTTCTGTGAGTGCTCTCGCGCCTGCTCCTGTGAGTATCTTCTTGCATGCTTCCTCCTTCGTAAGTGCTTCCACGCCTGCTTCTGTCTTCGCGCATGCTTCTGTGAGTGCTCTCGCGCCTGCTCCTGTGAGTATCTTCTTAGATGCTTCCTCCTTCGTAAGTGTCTTCACGCATGTTCCCGTGAGTGCACTCTCGCATGCTTCCTTCATGCAGGCTGCTGTCATCAGTGGGCTGTGATCTGCTGACTGCTTTCGATGTAGATGGGGCCTCCATCGCTGTTTTCTCTTCCGCGAATCTTCGCTCCATCAGGTCCATCATCTGCTGCGTAAACTGCTGCATGAAGACCCTAGGGTTGAAATTCTGCGACGACTGCTGCTGCTGCTGCTGCACTGCGGATGATGCATCTGAGTGTGTCGAAGCTTCTCCCAAGGACTGCGGCACTTGTGACGAACTGCCATCTCTATCTGATGTCTGCGTTGTGATGACTGCTGCTGTTGCCGTAGATGAAGACCTCGTCTTCTTCCTCACTGGCACTTCAGGGATGAGGATGGGTGGCTCATCATAGACGTCTACTTCATCTGCTGGGATGATCTCAGTACTAAACGACCTCGTCTGAAGTGCTGCCCCATGTGAAGACTTCGCCGGAGTCTTAGTAGACGACTTCTTCTTCTGGGAAGACGATGCCCTCGTCTTCTTTGACTGCGATGATGTTATCGTTGAAGTAGATGACCTCTTCTTAGAGCCGGAGCTGCCATCAGACACAGCGACCTGCTCCATAGACGCAGCCGGTAAACTACTAGAATGGCGAATGTCAGTAGGCAACAACAAACGGTTATTAACGCAATCATTGTGTATAGACATGACTTGAGAAAGTCGTCTACTCCTGTCCTTGGCACGCCTACAAATGGAATATAAATAATTATTACATTGAACTTCAGATGAATGCTGACAAAACTGACAGCGAAAGCTGGAAGAACATGGAGAAATACAATTAGGACATATTAAATGTGGATCAGCAAATGACAATCAGAGTCTACAACGACTGCAAGATTTCATCAGAAATCACCATGATGAAAACACATGTCAACAATGTGAACAAATTCAGATAATTTTGATCAAATTTCAAACCATATTGTTGGTATATCCATCCTAACACCTTAAACAGCTAACTTAGTAGCAAGGCCTAAAGGTTTAAAGGATATAGGGGACCCAGGCGCTCTCACAACCGTCCTCAAGGGCGAAGGAGGAGAGAGTGAGGGACATGTCCAAACACGTGACGTGGTTTCCCGCCTAAAAGAGTCACAAGGGAGATAACACTTGGTGAGTGATTTAGCGTCCGCTTTTTTTGAAGGGAGCTTCAAAAGGGCTGCTGACTAACTGAGTTTGGTCTTACGCCGCTTTGAGCAATATTCCAGCAACATCACGGCGGGGGACACCGGAAATGGGCTTCACACATTTTACCCATGTGGGGATTCGAACCCGGGTCTTCGGCATGACGAGCCAACGCTTTAACCACTAGACTACCCCACCGCCCCGCTTCAAAAGGGGATTCAAGTGTTCCACAATCATTCGCAAGAAGAAAGAGACAAGCAAGCAATTAAGGATATAGAATATCCCATAGTCAGCACTCACCATATCCTGATCGTGGTGTCCCTGAGCTGCCCGAGGTGGGAGGAGTTTGCACGGACCTCCTCTGGAAGACAGCTCGCTGTCCAGGGTTGGTACCGTCTCGAGACATACTTAAATGTCTTGCACCAACTGTAATATGCACAAGTTGAGGAAACATGACCTGTTTACTGAGACCTAAAGTCATCTAGGATTACCTTTTTTCACTCACAGAAATCAGAATACTATACATGTATTTAGTTCTAATATAACTGCTACATTATCCACAAAAGGAGATGAGCTACTCAAGAAAAACTATGTTAATTTTATGTATACTGTACATTATGAAATTCATCCATCACCAAACTAATATAAGTGTCTGTCCTGAGCCTAAAATGTGCCTTGAAAAAACTGGATAGACCAATCAACAAAGGAATTTAGTATTAAGAGAATTCTGTGATAATATTTCTTTTACAAACTCCTCATCTATCATTTGTCATGTGACCTAACCAACAGGAAGTGAAGAGGATGAAATTCTCAAGCGATGGGACATGTCAGCCAAGGAAAGGTTCCGAGTTATGTTCAAGAAATAACTACAATACATTTACACATAAACGAGCAGAGTTTGTGTATTCCATAGTGGCTGTTGAATATTTACTGTGTGGATGAGAAGTGTCTTGCTTGAATTTATAAGATTATTTGACAAGATTGACAATAAAACATCTCAAAACGGCAACAGTAATGACAGCATGAATATATTGAGCATAGCAAAGAGGTTATGGCAATGTGGTAATGATAACAAACATTGTCTATACAGTCAATGAAGAACGGAGAGGGGTTGGGCATACCGAATGTACTGAGAGTTGAGTCAGTATTGCCAGTGGACAGCAACTGTGTCTCCATGGTAACACTAACTGGCTGGACAGTAGGGTTGGAATACAGGCTGGCTAAGAGCATCATCATCTCCTGGTAGAACTGGCTGTGGTGCAGCAACGCCAACAGCGCTGTCAGACCGACAAGAGACACCTGAAATACAGCACAGAACCATCATCATCTGGTAAAACTGGCTGTGGTGCAGCAACGCCAACAGCGCTGTCAGACCGACCAGAGACACCTGAAATACAGCACAGAACCATCATCATCTGGTAAAACTGGATGAGGTGCAGCAACGCCAACAGCGCTGTCAGACCGACCAGAGACACCTGAAATACAGCACAGAACCATCATCATCTGGTAGAACTGGCTGTGGTGCAGCAACGCCAACAGCGCTGTCAGACCGACAAGAGACACCTGAAATACAGCACAGAACCATCATCATCTGGTAAAACTGGCTGTGGTGCAGCAACGCCAACAGCGCTGTCAGACCGACCAGAGACACCTGAAATACAGCACAGAACCATCATCATCTGGTAGAACTGGCTGTGGTGCAGCAACGCCAACAGCGCTGTCAGACCGACCAGAGACACCTGAAATACAGCACAGAACCATCATCATCTGGTAAAACTTAACCAAACCTGAAGAGGTTTTAAATTCTTCGAAGAGAGTCGTCCTTGGGGTACATATTATGCATTTTCCAAACTGAAAATGTCCTGTGACAGTTGTATCAATGTTTTTTGAATAAAAAGATTGTACAATAAATAAACTTTTTTATTTATTATACGGCCCCCACCTACGGAGTTACCTCCCGTTGAGCATGCGCACCAACTGGGTAAGCTCCAACTGGCCCGTATCATCATTCCTTCTGCTGAATATATCAGTGAACAGAATTGCGGGGAGGCGGGAGGCCCTACCCCAAGGACGACTCTCTTCGAAGAATTTAAAACCTCTTCAGGTTTGGTTAATTCTTCTTCATAGAGATCGTCCTTGGGGTACATATTATGCATAAACACAGACTCCCAAAGACCGGAGGCCAGGGAGGAGGGAATTCTGTCCCAGCACACACAAATAGCGATCGTATCATGGAAAAAAATTGAACAGACCCCATAACACTCACCTGTCACTTGTCCCAGTTGCGCTTCCGCGAGAGGCATTATGGGAGGGGAACTGACAGGGAGGAATTGTGCACAAAGACGACCTCCATACGTTTAGCATAGGCAATCGCACATGGTACGAATGTCAACAAAACCCCACCCACCACGTGTCGATTAGTGAGCACCGTAGGGGGGAATGTCAAAACCGCTCACAATCGACTTAATAACTCCTGAGAGAATCGAAAGGGGGTAGTTAGCTCCTAGTAGCTGATAGATCAATAATACACATTATTGTACAGCAGCGTCAATAAACAAACCAATAAACCAAGACTCACGTGGTCAGGCTGGCAGGACACTGTCCACTGGAGAGAACAGAACGGCCAAAGCTCGCACGATCACGGGAATGTGTATCGAGCTGATAGTGCCGTATAAACGTGCTTGGCCGGCTCCAAATAGCGTCTGAGCAGATCTCTTCAATGGGGAGTGCCGATGCAAAAGCCTTTGATGCGGCGACTGCCCTGACCGAGTGAGCCTTCAACCCCTCAGGGGGAGGCTTGCCCTTAGCCTGATAAGCAGCACAAATACACGAAACGAGCCACACCAGCCTTCCCGCCACCGTAACAACAGAACAGCTGGGTACCCGTACGGATTCCCTGCGTTCGTTTGATATAGACTTTGAGCGTCTTACGGACATCCAACGGGTGAGTGCTCGTAGGAGAGGTCCCCGATGTGGAAGGCTGGGTAAGAGTGGGAAGTTCGATAGGAGCTCTCACATGGAAAGCGTGATCGACTTTCGGGCGGTAAGTATCCGGGAGGCGAATGCTGACACGATCAGTGTGAAACACAGTCAGCGCCGGGTCGGACGACATAGCATGTAAATCGCCGACCCTACGTCCAGATGTTACCGCCACCAGAAAAACAGCCTTCCAAGTTAACAACTGAATGGAAATAGCCGATAGGTGTGACAATTGACAAATCCCAAGGTGGACTGGTTCGCCTGAGAGCAGGTCGAACCGGTTCCGCGCCAGCGAGAAAGCGCTGTACGAGAGGGTGCTGCCCCAGAAGAGCACCATCGACAGGGGTGTGAAAAGTGGAAATAGCGGTGGAGTAGCCACGAATGGTCGAAGCCGCCAGGCCTTCTTCCAAACGAGCTTGCAAAAACTCCAATACTCGGACTAAATCCGCAGAAAAGGGATCTGCAATCCCCCTATCTGAACACCAGCGCGCATAGCGGGACCACCTATCCTCATACTGAACGTTTGTCGAATCCCGCCTCGAAGCCAGAATTGTGTCTGCAACTGCTGCAGGAATTCCGCGTGCCTCGAGGCTAGACCTGACAGAGGCCAAGCCACCCACTGAATCCGTGTATTTGGGTGGGGCGCTCCGTTCTGAGTGAGAATGTCCGGTCGTAAAGGTAATAGAACAGGAGGCTGAGCCAGAAACCTGAGAATTACTGGAAACCAGCTCTGTGACAGCCAAAGCGGTGCCACTAGCACAAGCAGCCGAGCTGGCTGGGTGGACAGCTGTGAAAGGACACGGGGAATGAGTGGTAACGGCGGGAATGCCCAGAGCACTTTGCCCGTCCAATCCAGCAGGAAGGCGTCGGCAGCCTACGCCCCTGGGTCCGGTATTCGAGAGCAGAACACGGGTGTCTGATCGTCCCGCCCGGACGCAAACAGATCCACCTGGAGCGACCCGATACAACTGGGAGATTACTCTGAAAATCTGCCTGTCGAGCATCCACTTTCGCGCGGGGCCAGGATCCGGCGAGAGAGGCGTCTGCTCGCGACGTTCTCCAGCCCGGGGAGATAAACAGGGAGTACCTGACAATCGCACTGGTCGCACCAGAAGAGGAAGTCCCACGCCTCCCGAGGCGCTGGGGACACCGTGCCGGCCTGCTTCAGGATGTACGACATGGCCGTCTGGTTGTCCAACTGAAGACGGACTACCTGGCCACGGACATGCTCTCTGAAGCGCTCGAAAACCAACCGCACAGCTCTCAGTTCCAACACGTTGATGTGAAGGTGGGCTTCGGCTTCGGACCAGAGTCCGGACGCCGACAGACTGCCCAGAACACCCCCCCAGCCCGTGAGGGACGCGTCGGTCTGAACTGTGAGAGCTGGCGTCGGGATTTCCAAGGGGATCCCCCTGGTGAGATTCCCGACATTTGTCCACCACTGAAGGTGAGGTGTCAACCACCCGGGGACTGTGAGACTGCGCTCCAGGTCCTCCGTGTGAGCCCACAGCCGAGCCAAAGCTTGCTGTATACGGCGCATCCTCAACCGCGCCCGCCACACTACAGAGATCGTCGCCGCCATATGGCCCAGTAGACGGAGCCAAGTCCGTGCTGGTGCCTGGGGCTGGGAGAGGAACAAAGATACCATCTCCCGAACTCTGGTGATCCGGTCGGGCGACAAGGAAACGAGATCCTTGTTTGTTTGGAATCGCGCCCCAAGAAAAACCAAGATTTCTTGAGGTTGATGATCCACCCCAGACGAATTAGAATGTCTATCAGTGTGTGAGTAGCATCTAGACTCGCTGGCTGTGTTAGTGCTCCGAGCAACCAGTCGTCGAGGTAAGGGTAACAACGCCTTCCTTGCGAGCGAGCGAGGGTAGCCGGGACTAACATGAGCTTGGTGAACACCCTTGGGGCAGTCGATATGCCAAAGGGGAGCACCCTGAATTGGTAACACATCCCGTCGTAAGAGAACCGAAGGTACTGCTTGAACGATGGATGTATGGGCACATGCAGATACGCATCCTTTAGGTCGATTGACGTGAGCCAATCGCCGGGCTGAACAGATGAGATCACCGAGCGCAGTGTCTCCATCTTGAAGGATGGTACTTCTAGCATGCGGTTCAACCCCTTGAGTTTGAGAATGGGACGGAACCCGCCGTCTTTCTTCGGGACGAGGAAGTACGTGGAGTAAAATCCCGCCTGTTCCTCTCCCGGTGGAATGCGCTCGATTGCGGACTTGTCCAGCAGAGCCTGAACTTCGTCGCGCAATATGTCCGCCCTTGCCTGACATGACGGCACCGGAGTGCGGCGTATGCCGGTGAAGTCGGGCGGACCTCGCTTCCACAGTGGTAAATGGCCGATGCTGACGGTGGACAGCACCCAAGCATTGTTGGTAGCCTTCTCCCATTCCGGCAGGAATAGAGAGAGGCAGCCTCCCACTGGGATATGGGGTAGGAGCGCGTGCGTTGTCCCGAGTAGCGGAGCTGACTGGGCGTGACACACGGCTTGAGCGACAGCCTGATGGGTTAACGGGAGGTCGGGGCAGACCTCCCGCGCCCGCGAAAAGGCTGGGAGCTAGTCGACGAGGACTGCTCCTTGCCCCTACCCTTGGCGGACCGGTTCCTCCGCCTACCCCTACCAAGCGGCGAAGCCAGCCGGCGGAGACTTCGGTGTAGGCTGCACCCGGCGGAGGAAGGTGGAGCGGAGCTGGGCGAGACACCGCTGGTGCTCCAACAAGGCCTTAGAGTCCTTGAAGGAGGTAGCTGCAGCGGCAGCCTCCCGAATGACCTGCTGTGCCCCTGGAAAGAGGGTCGCTCCCAGACGGAATGGGAGGGCCAGCAAGGTCTGCTGTGTCGCTGCCGAGTACCAAGACGTCGACAGCCACAGCTTGCGCATCCCCATGACTGCACACATCACCGTCGACGCAGCAGACCGCAAAGAGTCGCGAGCGAGGTGGGCCTGTACTTCCAATAGCTGACGGAGCAGCACGGCATGCGGCGAAACTTCACCAGCATGCCCCTCCGCCTCCAGGGCCGACCTCTGTATCGAGGAGAGGTAGGCCTCATGGACCACCACCCTGACCTGCTGCATGGCGTTCCGGTAAACCTCCTCGTAGGTACGTGTGCATGCTGCGAAGCTCCAGCGAGGGCAAGCGGTGGAGTAACACGCCCTTGCCGAGCAGCCGGAGCTGCTCCGGAGGAAGCCGAGCCTCCCCCCAGGGCGACGGAAGTAAAAACACACTCGTCCACGATAGGTACCACGAACAGGGAATCCTCCCCAAGCTGGTATCTCCTGACAAGCTCCGGCAAGTCAAATCGGAGACGAGAACCAGACAAGAGGGGATCCACCACGTCCTGTACTCACGAGGGCAGAATGCGGAGCTGCGTCTGTGTAGGCTGCCTAGGGGCAAACGCCTCGCCTGGCAAGCGGAACTCAGCCGAGTCCGAGCTGCTAACAGGCACCGCGGCCTGGGGTAGGTACTCGGCAATCCTTTGCCGGACCTGGGAGCACCTCCCCCTCCGGGGCAGCCGAGGCGTCCGGACCCGAAGCCAGAGGCAACGGGTCTACAGACGCCTCAAGGCTGAGGGATCGAGCCGAGCCCGGCGATCCCACCCCCTGACTCTCCGCCCCCCGTCCAGAGTGAGCGAGGAACTCCTGCCGGAGCCCTCCAACAGACTCATGGACGAGGGACTCCACGGAGTCCATATGTTGCTGAAATAATTGAGTCATTAATGACATGTCAACCCACCAGTAGTAGCGGGAGAGGGGGATTGGCTGTGGGATTTTTTTCCCTTACGAGACCGCTTTTGGGTCTTAGACGGGGGGACCTGGGTGAGTTCCCCACCCGCCTCTCGCATCTCTCTATAAAAGAGAGTGTCAGCTGCCCTCCTCTTTTGGGCACGGGGGGAAAACCCAAGACAGATAGTACACACTTCGGCGTCATGGCCGGTTTTCTCCAGGCAGGCCACACATTGGTCATGCCTGTCGGCCCGTGGAATGCTTTGTCCACAGACCGAACAGGAGGTAAAAGCCTGAAAGCAAACACGCAAGCATGTAGCTAACGGCGTACCAGCAACATATATACACGTAGAAAACATTGAAAAATACGTGAAGGCTACCACGGGAAGTAATAGTTGGTACAATACGCAATATTACGACCACATGGCACGCTAAACTTCCCGCCATGGCAGAGCAACGTGTGCGTAAACCACGGGAAAGTTAGCGTAATATAATAAATACAAAGTCACAATTATGAAACAACCAACTGCAAAGCTTTACAGTTCCTTTCATTAGGCAAATAAAGACCATACATACAGGTGGTGTCTCAGACATGTTCTTTATCTCGGATAAAGTCAGCTCTGCACGGCACATTCGTGTCTGTTCACGGCAGTGACAGCAGAAGGAATGATGATACAGGCCTAGGAGCTTACCCAGTTGGTGCGCATGCGTAACGGGAGGTAACTCCGTAGGTGGGGGCCGTATAATAAATAAAAAAGTTTATTTATTGTACAATCTTTTTATTCAAAAAACATTGATACAACTGTCACAGGACATTTTCAGTTTGGAAAATGCATAATATGTACCCCAAGGACGATCTCTATGAAGAAGAATGGCTGTGGTGCAGCAATGCCAACAGCGCTGTCAGACCGACAAGAGACACCTGAAATACAGCACAGAACCATCATCATCATCTGGTAGAACTGGCTGTGGTGCAGCAACGCCAACAGCGCTGTCAGACCGACCAGAGACACCTGAAATACAGCACAGAACCATCATCATCATCTGGTAGAACTGGCTGTGGTGCAGCAACGCCAACAGCGCTGTCAGACCGACTAGAGACACCTGAAATACAGCACAGAACCATCATCATCTGGTAAAACTGGCTGTGGTGCAGCAACGCCAACAGCGCTGTCAGACCGACTAGAGACACCTGAAATACAGCACAGAACCATCATCATCTGGTAAAACTGGATGAGGTGCAGCAATGCCAACAGCGCTGTCAGACCGACCAGAGACACCTGAAATACAACACAGAACCATCATCATCTGGTAAAACTGGATGAGGTGCAGCAATGCCAACAGCGCTGTCAGACCAACCAGAGACACCTGAAATACAGCACAGAACCATCATCATCTGGTAAAACTGGCTGTGGTGCAGCAATGCCAACAGCGCTGTCAGACCGACAACTTATACAAACCTGTAGAGGTTATGAATTCTTTGAAGAAAGTCCTCCTTGGGGTACATATAAGCATTAAAATGTCCATTTTAAATCCTACGACAGTTGTAACTATATTTTTAATAAAATATTTACAAAACAAAAAACTCGTTTTGTCTTGTGAGACCACCCCTACAGGGCCCCACCGGACCAACACAGCCAAGAGCAGGTAACTCTCGCCCGTCTACCTCGTACCTCACTTTTCATGCTGAGCGTGTCAGACAGAATGAGGGGGAGGGGTGGCCATTACCCAAGGAGGACTTTCTTCAAAGAATTCATAACCTCTACAGGTTTGTATAATTCTTTTCAGAAGAAGTCCTCCTTGGGGTACATATAAGCATATGACAGACTCCCAAAGATATTTGAGGCGGGGTGGCATTCTGTCTGGCAACAACTAAACCCGTGGTGGAGTGAAATCTACAACCCGATCACGAAATAGAAAACACCGAGCCACCTGACGCTGATGTCAATCAGGCGAGTGAGGAACTAGAGAGCCCAAGCTTATATGTCAATTGGCTCAATATCAATGACATAAAACCCGCCCCAACCATTACAATGGAAGGAATGTATGGGGACATGTCGAAACAACTCCCAACCCTAATATAGCCCCAGCCAGACAATGCGTGGCGAGAGGTATAAGGGTAGGGAAGCGTAAAAATTTAAGCTACAAAGCCAATAACCCAGAAGTCGAGGCTAATAAGTACTGCAAACTAATGCTCGAGATGCAGCCCCTGTTTGGAAGAGGGCTAGCGGGACCTCGATAAAACCCAGAGAAATTATTAGCCTCGCTAAAACTTTCTGAAATCGAGCAGTACAAGCGCCATGCATTATGCAGTGAAAAACACCACCAAACACTCTCGGGTGAGGAGGGTAAGTGTAGGCCACCATCCCACAAAGCTGATTAACACAGACTCCCAAAATGCGAGGCTCGGGAAGAGGGAAAAACTGTAAGCGTGCAAAATCCCTGAATAGCGGCGTAGCCGAACATATGTTGGCTCACCATTACACTAACCTGGTCGCGTGACATGCGGCTCGAGAGAGGCATACCAAACAGTGCCCGTGGGGTTAAGCACCCAATTCGTCGCAAGGCGGGTTAATAACATATGACTGGTTAAAGCGTTCAAAGCGGACCGCCCTCTTGAAGGGGCGTAAAGGGGCGTATGTACCCAAACCCGACCCAACCGAAGGATGGTAAGGTTAATCACGATGTAGTGATATGAAATATATCGACATTGAACACAGAACCGATACCAATGACCAGTTACTAACTTGGTCAGGGTGGCAGAGTCACTCTCCACTGGAAGAACCGAAAGACCGAACCGAGCCACGATCCTTAGAATGCGTGTCAAGTTGGTAATGGCGAATGAAGGCGTTCTGCTGGCTCCAAAAGCGACAGAACCGATCTCTTCATTGAGCAGTGCGCTGTGTATTGTCAACAAAGCGGCATCTGCCCTACCAGTCTGCCTTCAACCCCGGGGAGGTAAACCGTATCATTGTAACCATACAATTACGGAAACAAGCCAAGCGAGATAAAGTCGCTTGCTAGCAGACTCCCCAGTCTTCCGCCACCAAACAGCACACATGGGTACCCGTCACGGATCCCTTTTGTTCGTTCGTTAAGTGACAGGCGCGGGTGAGCAATCGAAGATTGGTCCCCAGTCGCGGAAGGCTGGGTAAAGGGTGGAAGTCGCGATATGAGCAGTCGCGTGGAAAGCAATATCGCGCACTGAGAGTGGTAGGTATCGAGTCGAATCACGGACATGATCAGTATAAAATACTGTCAGTGTCGGGTCAGTGGGAATCGCATGGATGTACCCGACCCTTCTACCAGAGTTCACCACAACAAGTAAAAGTCGTCTTCCCGTCAACAAGTGAAGTGAGAGGCGATATACTTGAAAAATTAGGGCCAGACAGCCATTTGTGAATAAGTGGCAATTTTAAGGTGGGCTGGGTGCGCCCGCGAAGGCGGTCGAACCCTGTTCATGCCAGCTACTGACGCGATGCGAGAGGATGCTGCCTAGGCAGAGCACCATCGAGCGAGGTGTGAAGCGTGGAAATAGCCATGGAGTACCCGGCAATGGTGGAGGTCATAAGGCTCTCAACCAAAGCGAGGTTATAGTAACTCCAATATCGAACTAAGTCCGCCAGAATAGGGATTATGAAATCCCCTTTCTGCACACCAGCAGCGCCCACCTATCAACACACTGAGCAGGTGCCGAATCCCAGGCAGAATTGTGTCTGCAGCGGTTGCAGGAATTCCGTGTGTTATACCCGACAGAGGCCAAGCCACCCAGTGAATCCGAGGATTGGTGTGGCGCCCGTGCAAGTGAGAATGTCTGGCGAAGAGGTAATTCGAATCCGGCGTGCGGGATCGAACACCAACCTGACTGCTGTCAAATCCAGCACATTGATGTGCAGGTTGTGACCGTCTCAAGAGGCTGCAGGTCACCCAGAACATCGCCCTAACCGGTAGGGATGTATCTGGCTGGACTGAGGCGGCGGTGTCTCCAGGGTGGGGACCCTCGGGAGAGCGCCTGGCGTCTGTCCATCTGACTGCGTGAGGTTGACAATTCCGCCCAGTTTAAGTAACTGATGCGTGAGGTCGAGACTCAACAGTTATCTGAAACCCACGATGAGTCAGTAAGCCTATATGCGGGTGACAACACGGCACTGCGATCTGGCTATCTGAGCTGTAATAAACCTCAATTTGGTGAACACCCTTGGCACCGTAATGTAGCCTAAGGAGAGCACCGCGAAACTGGTAGCGCGTCCGTCAAACAAGAAACCGAAGGTAAATCTTGAAATCAGGGTGCAATGGAACAAGGAAGTGCGACCTCGAGGTCGATTGGCGTCGCCAATCCCTGTCTCGGCAGATGAGATCACCCGGTAGCGGTGTCTCCATCTTGAAGGACAGTACCTCTATAAACTTGTTCAGCTCTCAGATGAGAATGGGTCTGAACATTCCGTTCGTAATGGCAACTATGAAATAAGTGGAGTCAAACCCCACATATTCCTGACCATTGGAAACCACCACACTGGTTGCCTACCCCAGCAAAGACTGGATCTCGGCGCGGAGTATTGTCGCCGTCTCGGGAAGCCGACACAGGAGTGTGTGTGGCTCGCCCGGTGTTCGCGGCAGAATATAGTAACCCCAGCAGTCGGCAACTTAGCGTTTGCGATGCCTGGGCACCTGAAGTAGCGAAGCTCAACAGACTTCCGTATTCCACCGAAACTGTCGGTATATGCCCATAACCGCCCTCATCATTTGACTGGCACAGCTACAATGCAGTCCCTAGCCAGATGAGAGTTGCCCCGTCAGATACGCCCAGAGTAAGCCCGGCGAAAAAATTCCACCGGCGGCTCTCCCCTTTCCACCAGCTCCCTCAGCAGCTGAGATGCGCCAGTGGAGCATACAGCGTTGAGCTGTGAAGGGGAAACAACGGCAGACTGGCGGTAGAGTGTGAGGCCTTGTCCCGGATGCGTGCTGGAAGCAGGCTTCCCTCGGAGGCCGAACTCCAGCGGTTCGGGTAGTCGACATGGACAACACCTGCGGCAACACAGCAGCGATTCTATCGCGCACTTGCCCTCAGGGGCGAACCTACTTAGTGGTAAGTTCAAAGTAGCGAAATGAGCGAAGCTCAAATCGACTTGTCCACTGTGCGAGCCTGAACCCGATTCGAGGCACATGTGAGAAACCTGACAATCAAGGTTTCACAAGCACTCAGACAGACCTCGGGCGGCGAGGTGACAGTCACACCGGCACACTCGATGGCATCTAGGTCAATCGTCGATAGACATCAGGCGAGACCTGAACTACGGCGCCGAGACCTGAACTACCGTTGTCGGGGAATCTGCGCCCTACCAGTGCGAAGCCTGGGTCGGCGCTACCCGCGGGGTTCAGAGAATCCGCCAGAGCGAAGCTCAGCTGTTCTGGAGCCGAACCCGATCGAGACTGCGTAGGAGTAGCCTGATAAATCAGGTTTCCCCAAGTACTCTCCAAAAGCACTGGCGTATAGTCAAAACATAGCCTATAGCGCTATATAAATACCCATACATACACATGTATATGCGTCAGTCTTTCGGTCGGCGGTTCGAGTTCGAACCCGATCCCCAACACATGGGAGTGGCCTGACAATGCAGGGCTCCCCTGGTGTGCCGGGTAGACCTCGGCGTCGAGGTGATCGGCAGCTTCGTCACACTCAGCGGCCTCTTGGCCAGGGCATCGATAGACATCAGGCGAGACCTGAGCTAACAGCGCCCGGGGATCTGCTCCGTGCGGGGCGAAGCCCAGGTCGGTGCTAGTCCGATCTGCAGTCGAGACACAAGGGAGTAGCCTGGCAATGCAGGTTGCCCCTGGTGGACACAGGTAGACCTAGGGCGCCCGAGGTGATCGGCAGCTCAGTGGAACAGACGAGGCCGAGAGGAACCTGCCGATATACAGGTTTCCGGGCAACCCGACTGACCGCGTGGCGCCGAGGTGTCCCGAGCTGGTCGGCCTGGCGACCGCCAGTCAGGGCACCAGGGCAAAACCTGCAGAGGGCGAAACCTGCATCGCCCGGCCAGGCGCCGTGGCGAACCTGAGGCCGAAGCTAGGTAGCCACAAGGTGCGAAGCGCCGAGGTGTCCCGAGCTGGTCTGCGCCTGGCGACCGCCAGTCAGGGCACCAGCGCGAACAGGGCAAAACCTGCATCGCCCGGCGCCAGGCGCCCGTGGCGAACCTGAGCCGAAGCTAGGTAAGCCACAAGGTGCGAAGGCACACCATCACCTGAGCGAAGCCAGGATCAAGCTGCCTGGGAGGGGCGTTCTCGAGCCAGAGCTCGGGCGCGTAACCCCCAGATCGTCCGATCCACCCCGGCGACAGGCGTGCTGAGCTCCTTGCGGAACCCAGACAGCACCGTGTCAATCGGTGGAATTTCACCACAGGCGACACCTGGTGAACTTACCGCCGAGATCAACGCTGCGAGCGAGCTCCTTACGGGCCGGACATGGCGCTATCAATCATCGAATTGACATTATGTTGAAGAATATGTTGCTGCAATAGTGAAGCAAATTGAGTCATATTTAAGTCAGCAACATTGTTTGCGGGGGAAACGATAAAGGGATTTCCTTAGAAACCTTTTATCAAATATTATCCCCCGCCTGAAGCAGATTAGTGAAAAACATAAAATCTGCGTGTCGGAAAAGAATCTTGGCGTGGTAGAAACCCAGACAAAACCACAACCTCGGCCTATGAGCCGCGTTGTGTGTAAGCGTATGAAATATGTATCATAATACAACATAATGTAACAGGAATATTGGCCTTAAAGGCGTTTATTATGAGCATCCTTGATGCGTCGTGGCGTCCTCGGCTAAACACGGAGGCACACTTTATAACCATCCTGTGGCGGTAGTGTGCATGGCACTGCACAGGGCTTAAACTGCAACAAACAGAACCGCGCCAGTGTTACTAGCAGGAACTGTGAAGCAGCAAACACATAAACACAAGTAATAGCAAGAATAATCCGCCGCGGGCGATATATAAATGCTACAAGCTACAGCCATTTAAATACTAAACATACAATGCAAAGCAGAAAAAGGCTAGCCACCCCTCGTGTACTAGTGATAGAGTAAAGTTGGTGATCTGAAGCGAACACTATCAAAATTACTCAACAACGACTTACCACAAATTGGCTGAAAGAAGAGAATTTAGGCAAGCCTACCATATAATATGCAAACATAATATATGAACTCCCTACTACAAGCTACCAAGAACATATAGCAAGGAAACCCGCGATCGTAGCGGTCCGCCATTTTGCCTGCCACATGGCTGGAAAACAGAGAACCCACGGCAAAGTTACAACAAAGATGAATGAAAATATCCACATATGGCGTCCATCTAGCAGCCCGTGCGCGAGAAAGGAACCATACATACAGATTGAGACTCTTTTACACTCATCATTATCGGTGGGAGAGCAAACTTCGAAGCGAACACCCGCGCCGCGTCTATTCAACAGAGCGACAGCATGAAAAGTGAGGTCACGAGGTAGGCGGCGAGAGTTACCTGCTCTTGGCTGTGTTGGTCGGTGGGGCCCTGTAGGGGGTGGTCTCACAAGACAAAGCGAGTTTTTGTTTTGTAAATATTTTATTAAAAATATAGTTACAACTGTCGTAGGATTTAAAATGGACATTTTAATGCTTATATGTACCCCAAGGAGGACTTCTTCTGAAAAAGAATCTCAAGCTATTGTCCCTGTAATGTCACATGGCCTACATAAAAATTCAAAGCAAAATGTTAGATATCAGTCATCCATATCGTCACCTCATGGTTACAACAGCTGAGCTAACAAAGGGTCCTGTGTCTTACCTGTTGTCGGACCATGCTGCACTCTGATTGGTCCAGCAGGATGCTGAAGGCTGCCCCCCAGATGCCCCCTGGGATATGTTTACAGTTCTCTGTGATGATGATGCGGCCCATCTCAGTGGATGTCAGGGCTACTGCTATACCCAGGCCTGCAGCTCGCACCTGGAAATGTGGACAGGTGTGTAGAGTCAGAGAGTGAGATTCATCATATCTTGAACAATGTTTCAGTCACTTCCTACAATGTCAGCTTAATGAGGGAGGAAAACCTAGACTGACACACACTGTAGTAGGTGATTATCACTTTGATGAAATCCACAAATCCATAAATGATCACATGGACAACCCATGGAGGTAAATCTGAGATTCAGTCCCTTAAACATCCAATCCTTGCACAAATAGAAGACAAGAGGAGGTAAAGCTTGAGTAGGTTACTAATACTACTGCCTGAGTTATGGTCTCCCATTATGCCTGACTGCCTGACAATGGACCACAGATTCCGGCAGATAAACATCTTTACAAGCAGTTTGTGAGTCTGAGTGAGTGAGTTTTAGATTTACACCGCTTTTAGCAATATTCCAGCAATATCACGGCAGGGCATGAAGTTTGTATCAAAGAAGAAAACAATATCATGAACAGTTACTCACTGTTATACCTATTATTGAATGCCCACAAAATACTTGTGAAAGAACATAATAAATCTGATCATATGCTAAACTCTGACAATATAAGTAGGTTTTTGACAGTAAATGTTTTTCAAGAATGTAAGTTTGGTATCTCCAAAATGCTTATTCATCGTTGATATACAAAGACTGGGTGCTAAGTTCATAAGTTTATCCATCTGAAGTGACAAAGGTCATCCGCACATCAAACTACAGAGGGTAAGATCCCCCAGCATCCCTTGCTCCCTTATGCAGGATGCAGTTGGACAGTTCCACTAGTACTGAGAGCTTTACATTCTCTTCCCACAGAGGTTACTTGTCATATCCTCCTGCGAACCTCTGTTCTAATACGGCCATATTTCCCAGTTCTCGTAAAATCCCCTAGCGGCAAAAAGTCTTTTTATCCAATCAGAACACGTGTTATGTCGACTTAGATCCAGCTTGACTAATACAAACAAATGTGGGGCCACAAATGTCCCCCCTCAGCAGGGAATTGTGTTGATGTGACACACAAAACATTTAATGACTAGCTTGTCCGTTGTCAACGAGGGCGATGGAGATGCCATTGATCCGCCATTACATGATTGAGTTCTGTCTAGGAGAAACGTTTGCGCATCGCACAGGGGAAGAGGCTCTAGTTTTCTCGAAGCATATGGAAATTACCGAGGCCTTGCGAATGATCACTTTTGAAACAACGTCGCTGATTGCACAACTAAATCTGATTGCAACCAATGACGAATCCTGAACACTCGCACCATGAAAGGGCCGTATTAGAACAGAGGTTCGTAGGAAGATATGACAAGTAACCTCTGTGGGAAGAGAATGAGAGCCTTAATGCTTTCAAATTGCTGATTCAATATCAGTCGAGTTTTTTGACCAGTTCAGCCAGTATGTAGCTGACTGACACTGAGTGAAGTACCTCAGGGTCTCTGTAGGCCCACAGAGTCAGCATCCAGTTGAGCCCCGGCTCCCCAGCTCCATCTGTCGTCCGCCGACTGTAGATCCAGCTCCGTGGCCAGTCCTGGAGACAGACAAGGAACCCTGCTTCAGCTCTTGGATATTACATTATAGACCGTATACTGTTATAATCTGAGGGTACACAATATGATAGATTGAATACTGCAATCATAAATCCTGTCTCACCTGGTCGTCCGTGACAATGGCCATCTCATGGGCCAGGTGACGCAGGCACATGGTGGCGGACTTGGTCACGCCCTTCCCCATGTACGACATAGAAGTGCTGCCACGTCCGATGTGAAAGGCCGACACTACCTAGGAACACAGGAAATCATAACAAGAACCATAAGATTAGAGCACTAAAATTCAGACCATTTTCAAATATGTCAAAAGTTTTCAGCCATTTTAAATTCTTTTCTAATTTGGTTATTAGCTATGGTCTGTCACCTTGTTAAATTCACCCAGACTGTATTCTAGTCATAAGACATTTATAGGAGTATCAGCACTATGAGTTTTCATACAAGATCTATTTTCACAAGCTAAGTAAAAAATAATTTAAGCATGTCATGAATTTTGATACTTTTATCAACAAATAAACATCTTTTGTTACAATATGGCTTTTCAAGCTATTTGGGTGATTTTCAAGACTTTTCATGGCTGTCATTTTAATAAAAGGGCATAAACTTCCAAGACCATTTCATACTTGTATAAACCTTGGATAAGAAATGCTGAAAATAAGCAACAGGGGCTTTAATGTTCAACAAAACTACACATATATATATCAAGAGTTGTTTAACTATTTATTCCTTTTTGTCAACATGTACTAACACTAAGCAGGCCTTGCTGTGTTATTGATCAGATGCATAAGATCAACAGACATCAATAAAACCTGGGACCAGATGATGTTCTGCATTACTGGAACTGTCAATACCTCCATCCATTATGCATCGATTATGCAAATTGTCAAAGGTCCTAATACCAGATAGATCTCTGCTACATGAATCACAGAAAGAACCTCTACAGTACACAAGCCTCCATAGCTCAGTGGTTAGAGCACTGGTCTTGTAAACCAGGGGTCGTGAGTTCGATCCTCACTGGGGGCTGAAGTTTTCTTTTTCAGTCAACAGAGAATGTATCACTAGTCAACTCTCTAATCTATGTCCTCAATATGCAATTAGTAAAGCAATATTGTGTGAAAAGGGGAACACAACAAAGAAATTATATCACATGAAATGATTGAAAATATTGAAATATCTCCACAGAAGTAAAGATGAAAGACAGTTTGTTTAAATCAACACCTACAGCCCTTATGGTAAAGAGACATTGTCTCACACACACAAACACCTTTAGGTGAAGAGACTATGTAATACACATCTTCAGGTAGAGAGTTAATGTAACACACTCATGTGTTTGGTAGACTGTTAGGTTTACCTGAAGTCATGGTGATGCTTACTATAGAAATGAGCCTTAAAAGTATGATATTCAGGTAGAGAGTTAATGTAACACACATTAATATGACACAATGTAACACATACAAACACTTTCAAGAAAAGACACAAAATCACACACACACATCTTCAGGTAACAATGTAGCCCTTACCTCCAGCAGACAGGCGAGGACCTGGGAACAGAGGGAGCTGCTGTCCACATCTGTGCACTCATGGCTCCAACCTGGCCTGCAACACACACACACAGTTTACCCCTACCTGTACACAGTTTGCCCCACCCACCTCACATCAAGTGCACGAAGCACTGCAATGTCCCTCCATCCCACCCTCTTGCAGTCAGATGCAAAAGCACTGCAATGTCCCCTTCAACCACCCTTCAGTACAGTGCATCAAGCACTGAAGTGTCCTTCCACCCTACCCACCTTGCAGTCCGATACATCAAGCACTGTAGCGTCCCTCCACCCCACCAACCACACAGTCACGCTGATCAAGCAGTCGTGTCCCTCAACCCACCCACCTTGCAGTCAGATGCATCAAGCACTGCAACATCCCTCAACCCCTCCCACCACACAGTCACGCTCATCAAGCTCTGTAGCGTCCCTCCACCCCACCAACCACACAGTCACGCTGATCAAGCACTGTCGTGTCCCTCAACCCACCCACCTTGCAGTCAGATGCATCAAGCAATGTAGCGTCCCTCCACCCCACCCACCACGCAGTCACGCTGATCAAGCTCTGTAGCGTCCCTCCACCCCACCAACCACACAGTCACGCTGATCAAGCACTGTCGTGTCCCTCAACCCACCCACCTTGCAGTCAGATGCATCAAGCACTGCAGCATCCCTCCACCCCACCCACCTTGCAGTCAGATGCATCAAGCACTGCAGCATTCCTCTACCCCACCCACCTTGCAGTCAGATGCAGCCAGATGCATCAAGCACTGCAGCGTCCCTCCACCTCACACACCTTGCAGTCAGATGCATCAAGCTCTGCAGCGTCCCTCAACCCCACCCACCTTGCAGTCAGATGCATCAAGCACTGTAGCGTCCCTCCACCCCACCCACCTTGCAGTCAGATGCATCAAGCACTGTAGCGTCCCCTCCAGAGAGGCCAGGTTGTAGAAGTGGGGAGCATCTGTCACATTCAGTCGCAGCAAGAGCTTCTTGGCAAGGTCACCTCGCATCTGGTACATCTTCAAGCTGTGAGTGAAAACAACAACCTTATGTTTCTTTTGGCACAACCACTTCAATTAGTAGCATCAGTAGTTTTTCATTACTTGCAGTTCTAAACACACAATATCGTCAGGATATTTTCCATGTGACATAATCTGTAGAACACACTTGCCAAGAATGACAACAAAATGAAATTATTCACATGTAAAGTCTGAAGCTTATCTTTCAAAAAGGATTCATTATCGTATATCTTGAGGTTCAACTTTTATAGTTCAGTTGATTCAGTGATGGAACTCCATTTACATCACCCCTAGATCACATGGAGTACTGCTAATGTTGCCTGTATCATTACTGTACAGTGCCTCACCTCTTGCAGAGCTGATATGGCAGCTGGCTGTTGAAGGTGGCTATGAAGTGAAGCAGCTGTCGGTCCAGAGACCTGGAACAGGAACATCATGTATGGGCAACTGACAACTGGAGTCCTCCCTTTTTTAATCATCAAATACACAAATTCAGTGATAGTTTCCATATTCCAGTCAACAAGGTACCAGGCTGAAGCACAATTATAGGTCCATTTGTAACTTTCCCCAAGGCAGCGCATGTCAAACTTGTTCCAAAATGATGAATGGAGGTGTTTTTCTGACTTTTTAAGACTGCACTGAGTGCAAATAATCTGCAATGATTGTCCAGCTTTTCAAAGAACATTGCCGGCCATATTTCTTGAATATGTCAAGCTTACAAATTTCAATTGAATAACTGCTTGATGCAGTTCTTTGACCGTATTAACACATACTTTGTCTGGATCAAAACCACAAGATTACCAATGAAAAAATCCAAACTTTTGCCTCTGAGTATATATGGCAAACACAACAATGTAAAGTGAACCAAGTGTTAATGGGTTTCCCTGCTGAAACAAGGTAAGATCATGGCAGAGGAAACACTGAGGTCAATCTACAGGTCATGACATGATAAACTGTAGGTAGAAGTTGAAAATCTACTGTTAGTTTAAGTGCACAGGCTGGTTTAATCACTTCCTTAAGTGGCATTTAGAAGCTGCTATGATGAAGAGGAACACTTTTTATGGATCGACAACTTCTTTATTGCAGGGGATGTGACGTTTTCGGTGCAGATCCTAACACCTTTATCAAGCTTTGAGAAATTTCGATAGGCATTCAAAAGTAGTGGCTCGAGGCACAAGATGGATTTCAACTTCTTTAACCTTCTTACACATTATTCTGTGGCTGCTTGTTAGCCCTTCAGTATGCACCCATTGAGGTAGCAATAGATAAGGTGAAGAGTCAAGAATTAACTGCATGTAAAGTCTACAGACATCCATCTATCTTGCACCTACCTATCAATCTAGATCAAGGTTTTGATATAACCACTGATAGTTCTGTAGGCAGACGATATTGGTTCAAGTGTTCATCCGTTCCAATACTTTATCAATGACATACAAGGAACACAATCAGGCCCCAACATGAAGCAAGGTGTATTCAGAGAGGTAGCTTGGAATGGCACAAGAGTGGAGAAAAAAGTCAACAAATTCAGCATTTTAGTTGCTAGAGAGCATTTTATTGATTTCAACAAACACAAATGTTAGTAAACTTGAAAACAGAAGCCACCACAGTTTATTGTTTAGAAGATACCTTGAGCCATATTCATTTGTTACCACCTAGTATCACTTTTGTGATGGCAGTAGTAATAATCAAATAAATATATCAATTACCTTTTCCTGGTAACATTGCTGTCAGCATGGTCATCTCCCATGTCTGTCCCACCTGACCTGTTCAGTAGACCAATCAATGGCCCTGTTGCATCATACAGCTTGTCTGCAAGCCATGGCAGCATGTCAGGTGATGCCTGATTGCACATTTTGAGGGTGATGCTGGCAAATTTGAGGACCTCAAGCAGCAGACTCTCATCAGCAACAGATGTTGGCATCACCTGGACAAACCTACAGCAAGAATTGAGGGTTACATATGAAATGGTGCTTTGTCTGTAGTCCATCATTTCGACGCTGACATATTGGACTATTTACAGACCATGTTCATAAAATATTCAAATTAACATGTTACATTATGGGTTAAATTTACTGTACCAAAATAATTCTTCACATAACACTGTCTTAGCGTGGACTTTATTTTGAAAGGTAGCTATCTTAAAATCTTCAAATACTATTTATAAGAATATGTCATTGTAAGAGATGTGTAATATTCCAGCCAAATGACAGTGGTCTATCCACAATCAGACAAGCACTGACTGCCTTTGTGGTATTCTTAACCAGATTCTTCACTGGATCTGTGAATTAGAAGGACAACTCCACAGAAAGGTCATATTGAACAAAATATAATGATGCAGTCTCTGATTTAGTGAAATGTCAACAATCACAATGAAATTTCTTCTCATTGTTGCATTTGGGTCGGTAGGGTAGCCCAGTGGTTAAAGTATTTGCCCACTATGCCAAAAGCACGGGTTTGATTCCCCACATGGGTACAAAGTCCATTTCTGCTGTCCCCTGCTGTGATATTGCTGGAATATTGCTAAAGCGGCATAAAACTAAAAACTCACTCACTCACTCACTCACTCTTTTGGCGCTGTATTCCACTCACTCACTCCTAGCTGCAAGACTCACCTTCCCAGGATAGTGAACCAGTCTTTACTGGGCAGCAGCTCACTGGAGTGGAGACTCCCAATGTTAATCATGAAGCTGTTGAGGCGAGTAAGGGCAGCTTCCACAGCACTGTGGGATGTGGCGTTGCTGATGCCGTACACGCCCTGCTGGAAGCCCCAGCGGAAGTCAGTCACTTCCAGCACTCGTTTCATTGCCGCTGACAACTGCAACTTGCTGGAAAATCTTAAAACAAAATATACACATAATGTATAGTATAATCAGTGAAAATGTGTATAACATACTAAACCCGGTTGCTCCTGGTTTGTAATAATCACAGTAAAATCTGTTTCTTAGATCACAGTAAAATCCTGAACATGATATATCCTGACATACATACAGTAGCTCAATGCTATTCACATATATTGACACATTTAGTATGCTGACATTTTATCATTTGATCCCAAACAGCATACTCTGTGAAATGCTAAACTACGATGTTTGCTTGATTGTATGTGTATCTTATGGTATTCGCCACATCAAGCCACATCAACATAGGCAGTCTGTGAAGATCTGGGTTAGAATTGGTCTTCAGTAACCCAGGCTTGTTGTAAGAGGCAATTAACGGGATCGGGTGGTCAGGCTCGCTGACTTGGTTGACATGTCATTGCATCCCAATTGCGTAGATTGATGCTCATGCTGTTGATCACTGGATTGTCTGGTCCATACTCGATTATTTATAGACCGCCGCCATATAGCTGGAATATTGCTGGAGTGCGGCGTTATAAAAACAACCAAGCAACCAAACTAACATAGGCCAACACATATCCACTACATCTTCTCTTACAACCAGGGTCCTGGAGACCAGTTCTAACCCTGTATCCCCATGGCACATACAACAACACATTGTACATACTGTTCCTTGGGCTCTCCATCTTGTTTCTCCATCTTGACCAGGCTAAAAAGTTCCTCCATGCCACCATTCCACGCTACATTCCAGGCAACACATAGCTTCTCTAGTGCGGGGCCGCACTGAAGCGGGTCTTCCGCAGGGGGGATAACCACACAATGAGGGCTGACTTCATGATGGACAGCAGGGCGGAAAGGCAGTCGGTACCTCTTGGTGATGATGGAAGGCAAGGTGAAGGCCATTCCAAGCTTCCCTCCTTTAGATGTGCTGTAATTGTAAGTATGTGTGTGCTGTACAGCTGCATCAATGGATATGTTCATTACACGTAAACAGTCAATTTTGCTGAAAGGTTTTGGTTATGTTACCTCTTGAGGAAGCTGTAACTGACAAGTAGCTGGAAGGCAGATGCTTTCTTTATAGCATGTGGAAAGGTTTGCTGAATGAAAATAGACTTCAACTTTTATGTATCATTTTCATCAAATCTGCATAGTGGGATATATCAACCAAGTAATTATACGAAATACCAATTTTGCAACTATTCACATTTCATATAACATTAAATGAAGCACTGAATAATTCAAACATCTCGATCAAGGTAATATAAATCTGACAGATTACTCAGTGATTCATTTGTAGTTTGCCAGCTGTATCAATGGAGGATGAAATTTAACTTTGATGGCACATTTTCATATTCACAGAAATAAAACACCGGAATTCTAGCACGTTTCTAACCAGTATGAAGCTTTTGGGATCAGTTTTACTCACAGAGATAATAATAGGTTTACTCACTGGGACGTAGTGTATACTGAATACTGTATATCATGATATTTTTGCGAAAATTACGAGTGACATGAGCTCGCAAAAATATCATGATGCAATTTGCTGGTCAAACGCAATAAACAAAAAACAAATAACATGTCTCATTATCTCTTTGTTATTTACCAGTTTATGTAATCAAAAAACAGATTGAGACAATACATCAGTTAAGCAATGACACTGATTACTAGCATTCTAGTACTTACATGTCACATGTCAAACAAGAGATACTCGAACAAAATTTACTCAATCAGTACATCTGACAGTCCAGACACACACACATTCTTTGTCTTTAGAGACTGTTTGATAGGCTTATCTGGCCTATGCAGTGTGTGTTGTTTTTAGGAAAACATCACTACATGCAAACACACGGAAGTACTCTACTGAGCTATGTTCAAGATTAGCGGCAACCTTTCATACGTGATTGGTCATACTTTAGGTAGAACTTTAAGTTGCAATTCATTTTTGAGAATTAGGCAAGTAAATGTAATTTTTTAAGTAAAATTGATATTTTATACTTATCCTGACACATGATCTTTTGCTTATCTCCCTTTCCTATGCAAATGGTAAAATCAGGAGAGAGTGACAAGTAAGGCTAGTCACATGACTGTTTATGCGGGAAAAGGGAGGTAACTCGTGGGTGAGTGTATTTTTACGTCCACTTCGGGAACATCAAAGGATTCAGGTGTTCCACTACCATTCGCATAGGAAAGGGAGATAAGCAAAAGATCATGAGTCACGATAAGGAAAAATATATCATGATGGAAAAACGTCTGTTGGGTCGCCACTCGAAAAAAAATATCATCAAGTTTACATTTCTTGATTCTCAGTAAATATCAATCAGTAAGCCAGAACTGACTGAGACAATACCATGTGATTGTTGAAACCCTGTGTGAGGGATAAAGTCACACGTACCTGACATCAAACTTGGCCACCTCATCATGCAACAGCAGCGTGAGGACATGTGACACCTCGTAACACACCTTCTCATCTTTCTGGAACATCAGGGCAACTGTAACAACAAACACAAGGCATAGAGAGGAATGAAGGTAACAGCTGTAGGGTGGAGACCATTATTAAGGTAACATCTGAAAGGTGGTAACAGCTGTAGGGGAAGTCCATGACAGGTTACAGCTGTAGGGGATGACAGGAAGTCCATGACAGGCACAGCTGTAGGGGTCCATGACAGGTAACAGCTGTAAGGGGAAGTCCATGGCAGGTAACAGCTGTAGGGGAAGTCCATGACAGGTTACAGCTGTAGGGGTCCATGACAGGTAACAGGTGTAGGGGGATGTCCATGACAAGTAAGAGCAGTAGGGGGAAGTCCATGACAGGTAACAGCTGAAGGGGGATGTCCATGACAGGTAACGCTGAAAGGGGAAGTCCATGACAGGTAACAGCTGTAGCGGAAAGTCCATGACAGGTAACAGCTGTAAGGGGCTGTCCATGACAGGTAACAGCTGTTGGAGAAAGTCCAGCTGTAGGAGGAAGACTATTACAACGTACAGTTGCATAGCAGTCTGTAACAAGTAAAACCTATGACGTTTGCAAGGTGACAGGTATATTGTCTCAAGTCTATCAAGAAATCTACAACATTAACAGGTGGAGGCTGAAATATAAAAGTAACAGCTGTAGTTAAAATCTCCAGCTGAAGGGTGAAGTCTATAACCAGGTAACACCAGTAAAGTAACATTTAGAAGAAGGTAACAGATGCATAGTGTAGTCTATACCAGGGTAACAGCTAGTGAGTGATGTGTACACCAGGTAACTGCTGAAGGATGAAGTATACAACACAGAAGAGCTGTAGGGTGAGGTCTACAACAAGTTAAAGCTACAGAGTGTAGTCTACAAGTAACAGCTGTCGAGCGAAGTCTGTTAGTAACAGCTGTTGAGTGTAGTCTACAAGTAACAGCTGCAGAGTGTAATCTTTAACCGATAACAGCTGCAGGGAGTCCTCCATGAAGTCATCACTCACCTCTTACAAGACAGTAGTAGATTTGAGAATCATGTGCCAGGTTGTGTCTCAGTGTGTAGTCGTGATGAAGGAGATGTCGTAGAATCGTCACACATGCCGACAGGTAGGGGATGTTGGCGTTCTGAAATAAAGTAAAACTTGTAACAAGAGCTAAGGAAATGACAAGTACGTGTTACTACGACCAAAGAACTGTTTGTGCTCTTTAACAAGTGAGTTATGGAAACTGTACTATTTTTAATGGCAGAATAGCCAGCATCAGAGAAAATAATTCTCACAGAGCAACATTAATTTGATCAAGTGAGGGCACATATTACACAACAATCCTAATAAGGAGTCTGAAATTAACTATTTTGATGGCTCCATGAGAGTTACCTCAGCAAATACCATGATCACCTGGTTCTATTTATTTTGTAATACGTCTTTTAACCACTTGTATAAGACATTTTCCAAAACATTTTAGACATAATGTGAAGGACAAAACAAGTATGTAACAGAAAACAACAATTCAACCAGCAGTCACTCTCAAGCCACTGGTACAAACAATGAAGCACAGTGCAACTCCAGAAAGGACTGCATGCATCTACAGTGGAAACCGCCTCAGTATTTAAAGACCGCTTAACTAAACAGGCCGGAATAGTAAACACTATTATCACTATTAGAGTCCGATTAACTAAACTCGGTAAACAATACCGCTTAACTAAAGGTGTTCTCACGGTCCCTGGAAGTAAATTACTTAACAAAAGAGACCGGATAACTAAATCTGGTTATCCGATCACCACATAATCTGACAAGGGGGCACGTGTCAGTCTCCAGCTAAACAAACATCCTACCTACAATACACTGACAACTGGAGGCCAGTTGTTCATCGTTTTATATAGCTTGCAATTATCAGTTAGTAGACCAATGAGCAATGTCAGTGAGTTTATCCAATTTACATGATGAATGACTTGAAGCAGGCCGCCATTACGGTCATGTGACAAGTAATAAAAGCGGAAATCTAGCGCGAAATCGGAAAAAGATCAATTGGAATTTTTATATTACTTTGTATTATAAATGTATTACGTAACTCAATGAAATTTTACGGAATAAAACATGCCATATTACTTACAAATGGTACCTGTTATTCTGCTGTATATATATATACATGTACATGGTTGTCATTTGCAGGTTTTGATAAGTTTGGATAAGTAAAATACCTGATTAGTAAAATATTTGTCGAGTCCCTTGAAATATTACTTATCAGGTTTCCACTGTATTTCCATGTCATGTTAGCGTTGGACAGAAAACGATAACAAAGCTGCCAAACTGCCACACAGGTCACGGTAATCGGTCTCCAGTTTTCTAAATCAATCGTACTAAGTCAGATTTTGATCAGTGTTCAAAAATAGGCTGGAATAGTGGATCCTTGACATTTTCTCCAATGGTATTTGAATCCAGGAAGAGCAAAGTGAAGGACACCTTGACTGCCAGGCTTAGTTGTGAACACTATTAATCATGTTAAGATGCAAAGTAGAAGGGCACACTTTAGATATTCATTCTAAATACCTAGCTTCACTGCACAGCAAGAAGACTCCATACCAGTCTAGGAACAGGATGTTAAGGCAGTGAGTGACTGAAATGGTGACACTATAGCCTGCAAATTCCCTCAAGGCGTGGGAGTCCATTGTGAAACTCAGGAAGGCACTGATTGCTGTGTGACTGAGGATTGCTCCAAGGCAACATTGCTCCATGCAACGTTCCTACGATCAAATATGGCCTAGCTTTGAAAATTTACAGGTTATGAAAACATTCACTCATTCACTGCCTCATTACACCCCTTGAAGACAATTGAACCTGGAAATAGATGTGTGGTTTGTCTGTGTTGCATGTCTGCAACTGCCTAAGGGTGAGGAAGTCTTTGCTGTGGTACTGGGGGTAGAGGCGGGGCAGGGGCACGCTGGCCAGTTTGTCACAGTGGACTTGGAAGCAAGATACACAATGCCATGGCGACCACTGTCTGCATCTTGCCTCAAGACTACTGACAAAGCTAGACACATGTCAATTAAAGAACTTTTTTTTTTTCCCTCTTTCTGTGGGGTAAGAGGATCCCATGTCATGAATAACATTGCGCATCTCACCATCCAACCTCCCCTCAACTAAGCCTGCGATGTATAATCTCTGGGTGATATGTGTTATATTGCCCTATGTAAACGTACACACCTGTGCTGCAGGACCCCAGCTCATGTGATCACCTGTCTCACATGGCCAATCCCTGCTTATAACCCTGAGATATCATCCACGGTCTCATGACATGACTCGCTGGCATCTATTACCATGTCTCCTTGATATGCCTCTCAGTCACTTGAGATAATCCCCTTGTCAATTGTCATATCTCCACCTGCCTCATGAGATAATCCCCTTGCCATTTTCCACCTGCCTCATGAGATAATCCACTTGCCATTTTCCACCTGCCTCACGAGATAATCCCCTTGTCATATCTCCACCTGCCTCATGAGATAATCCCCTTGTCATATCTCCACCTGCCTCATGAGATAATCCCCTTGTCACATCTCCACCTGCCTCATGAGATAATCCCCTTGTCATATCTCCACCTGCCTCATGAGATAATCCCCTTGTCACATCTCCACCTGCCTCATGAGATAATCCCCTTGTCATATCTCCACCTGCCTCATGAGATAATCCCCTTGTCAATTGTCATATCTCCACCTGCCTCATGAGATAATCCCCTTGCCATTTTCCACCTGCCTCATGAGATAATCCACTTGCCATTTTCCACCTGCCTCATGAGATAATCCCCTTGTCATATCTCCACCTGCCTCATGAGATAATCCCCTTGTCATATCTCCACCTGCCTCATGAGATAATCCCCTTGTCACATCTCCACCTGCCTCATGAGATAATCCCCTTGTCACATTTCCACCTGCCCCATGAGATAATCCCCTTGTCACATCTCCACCTGCCCCATGAGATAATCCCCATGTCAAATCTCCACCTGCCTCATGATATGACCCTTATATCACAGGGTTCTTGTTGTATGACCCACTACTCCATATGATCAGAGTTCACATTATATTCCATATAGTGTGACCCCTACCTCATATATGACCCATCATCATTTATGACTCTTGTTATATGATACACATTATATACCACATAAACCCATCTCATGTACCCCCTTTTCCCATATGACCGATGTCTCACAGGTCTAAAGACATCCTGTCTCATATCCCACCCCTCCCGTATATGACCCCCTGTTTCATATGCTATGACAGCTCACCCACCCACTTGTTTTATATAAACCCCTGCGTTTCTATACCTACCTGAGCATCCACCTGAGGCTGTTTCACCACCCCGGTCCGCACCAGGTCCAGCACTGTTTCCAGGCCACCCTCCTGCCGGAATGTCGTGTGCAGGTTCTGGTCTGAAGGAAGGAACATAATCATATCAAGCAAACACTGCTAAGTGCAGGCAAATAAACATCAGCTCCACCAACATGAACACCAGATGCAGCAAAGTGAACACCTGTTGCAGCAATATGAACACCAACTGCAACAATATCAATATAAACACCAATTGCAGCAATATGAACACCAACTCAAGAAATATGAACACCAGTTGCTGCAATATGAACACCAGCTGCAACAATATGAACACTAGCAGATGCAATATGAACACAAGCTGCAGCAATATGAACACCAGTTGCAGAAATATTAACACCAGATGCAGCACAGTGAACACCAACTGCAGCAATATGAACACCAGCTGCAACAATATGAACACCAATTGCAGCAATATGAACACTAGCTCAAGAAATATGAACACCAGTTGCTGCAATATGAACACCAGTTGCAACAATATGAACACTAGCAGAAGCAATATGAACACAAGCTGCAGCAATATGAACACCAGTTGCAGCAATATTAACACCAGATGCAGCAATATGAACACTATCTGCAGTATCATGAGCACCAGTTGCAACAATATGAACACCAACTCCAACAATATGAACAACAGCTACAGCAATATGAACACCAGCTGCAGCAATATGAACACCAGATGCAGCAGTATGAACACCAGCTCCAGCAATATGAACACCAGCTGCAACAAAATGAACACCAACTGCAGCATCATGAACACCAGTTGTAGCAATATGAACACCAGCTGCAACAGTATGAACACCAGTGGCAGCAATAACAACATCAACTGCAACAATATGAACACCATTTGCAGCCATATGAACACCAGCTGCAACAATATGAACATCAGCTGCAACAATAGGAACACCAGCTGCATCAATATGAACACCAGCTGCAGCAATGTGAACACCAGTTGCAGCAATATTAACACTAGCTGCAGCATCATGAACACCAGTTGTAGCAATATGACCACCAAATGCAACAATATGAACACCAGCTGCAGCATTATGAACATCAACTCCAACAATATGAACACCAGCTGCAGCACTACGAACACCAGTTGCAACAATATGAACACCAGTTGCAACAATATGTACACCAGCTGCAACAATATGGATACCAGCGGCAGCAATAAGAACATCAACTGCAACAATATGAACACCAGCTGCAGCAATATCAACACCAGTTGCAGAAATATGAACACCAACTGCAACAATATGAGCACTGGCTCAAGCAATATGAACACCAGCCTCACAATATGTACACCAGCAGCAGCAACATGAACACCAGCTGCAACAATATGAACACCAGCTGCAACAATATGAACACCAGCTGCAGCATCATGAACACCAGTTCCAGCAACATGAACACCACCTACAGCAATATGAACACCAGCTCAAGCAATATGAACACTAGGTGTAGCAATATGAACACCAGTTGTACAAACATGAACACCAGCTGCAGCAACATGAACACCATCTCCAGCAACATGAACACCATCTCCAGCAACATGAACACCAGTTGCAGTAATATGAACACCAGTTGCAGCAATATGAAAACCAGCTCCAGCAATACAAACACCACCTGCAACAATATGAACACCAGCTTCAGCAATATGAACACCAACTATAGCAATATGAACACCACCTACAGCAATATGAACACCAGCTGCAGCAATATGAACACCAATTGCAGCAGTATGAACACCAGTTGCAGTAGATATGAACACAAGTTGCAGCAATATGAACACCAACTGCAGCATCATGAACACCAGTTCCAGCAACATGAACACCACCTACAGCAATATGAACACCAGCTCAAGCAATATGAACACTAGGTGTAGCAATATGAACACCAGTTGTACAAACATGAACACCAGCTGCAGCAACATGAACACCATCTCCAGCAACATGAACACCATCTCCAGCAACATGAACACCAGTTGCAGTAATATGAACACCAGTTGCAGCAATATGAAAACCAGCTCCAGCAATACAAACACCACCTGCAACAATATGAACACCAGCTTCAGCAATATGAACACCAACTATAGCAATATGAACACCACCTACAGCAATATGAACACCAGCTGCAGCAATATGAACACCAATTGCAGCAGTATGAACACCAGTTGCAGTAGATATGAACACCAGTTGCAGCAATATGAACACCAACTGCAGCAGTATGAACACCAGTTGCAGCAGATATGAACACCAGTTGCAGCAATATGAACACCAGCTGCAGCATCATGAATGCCAGCTACAGCAATATGAACACTACCTGAAGTAATCTGAACACCAACTGCAGCAACATGAACGCAATTTGCAGCATCATAAGCATCAACTGCAGCAATATGAACACTAGCTACAGCAATATGAACACTAGCTACATCAATATGAACACCAGCTGCAGCAACATGAACACCAGCTGCAGCATCATTAACACCAGCTGCAGCAACATAAACACCAGCTGCAGCATCATGAACACCAGCTGTAGCAACATGAACACAACCTGCAGCATCACAAACATCAGCTGTGGCAATATGAACACTAGCTGCAGCATCATGAACACTATCTACAGTATTATGAACACCAGCTGCAGCAATATGAACACCAGCTACAGCAATATGAATGCCAGCTGCAACTATATGAACACTGACTGCAGCAGGAAGAACATAAACTGCAGCTATAAGACATGACTTACAGCTTTGCTAACACAAGCAGCAGTTACATGAGGTGAGTTTAGTTTTTCGCCACTTTTGGGAATATTCCAGTAATATCACAACAGGGGACACCAGAAATGGGCTTCACACATTATACCCATTTGGGGAATCAAACCCAAGTCTGTTATGATGAGCGAAAGCTTACCCACCAGGTTACGCCACTGCCAGCTGCAGTTTTATAAATACCATCATCATCATCATCATCATCATGTTAAAATATGCTTGGTGCAGTATCTTACCTTGCAGCATGACAGCCAGCTGATCAACAGCTGATTTCTTGACCCCAGGGTCAACAGGTTTGGAGGAGAAGATGCCATACACCTGGTGGAGGTCGCTCACCTGGAGGTACAAAGACAATTGAAAATAGAATACCGGGAGTAGATATTGGCGTACATCTGACATTACACTGTACATAGAGAATGACAAAAGGCTCCAACTGACAAAGAAGGCTGGATGTCCTCACCTGGAAGATGGATCTGCCGGGGTCAGGGTCCAGGGACCTCGGGGTCTCAGTGATGAACACGTTGGCCAGGTTAGACACGTCCAGCTCAGAGAAGGTGGGAATCTTGTTAGAGCTGTCGGTCTCGTTGGAGAGGAACCATGCCAGCTGACGCAGAGATTCTGCCCTAAGTCTGGGGAAAGACATATACCACTAAATATACACAGTGTCAAGTTTAATTATACATTCATACACATCATACACAAATTACACATACAATCAGACACAGCATATTTCTATACACAAGATGCACACACTGTTAAGATTAATCTGAAACTGTCATTTTATCCATAACATGAAAACATTGTGTTGTTTGTTAACCTTGAAAAGACAATCGTTACAGTGTAAATGTAGGTAAAATGTTCAGCTGTGCGATAATGATAAACTACTCCAGGCAACCAAACATGCTACTATACTACCCTTCTAAAGTTTATACTCACTTAAAGCTTTCACTATATGTATATATATATATACGGTTACATCGAAGATGAATTTCTCCACTAACTTAGGGGAACCATCTGCAAACCTTATGCAGATGAATTGCACGAGGATCATGCATCGGTTTTCTGAAAACCATGTGTAACTATTGTGCATGTGAACAGCTGTGTTTTGGTGTAAAGTTTTGCTAAGAACTTGCCAATTTTCACTGAGTTTTATGATTTATTGAACTCATGAAAATATTTTTTTCAACGTTACAAATTTGTTTTACATCAGTTCATGTGTAAACAGTACCTTTAAACATTATGGAATATTTAGCAAAATCTAGTTTAGAACATTTGACTGAAGTATGTGGCTACATTTACACTAGAGAGCCTAACTTTTGATTGTTAGTATACTTTAAGACAAGTATCTTTAAATTCACAAATAGCATATTTATGACAAGAACCATTTTCAATCTTTAGTTTGTATTAGAAGAGGTAAACACTGATTTGTCAGCTCACTACATCACTATGTTATGCAACTTCCATTTATTTTTATGTTACCTAAGTTTCAAAATAATATTAACATTTGGTTTGGGAGGAATGGTGATTAAGCTTTTGTCACATATCAGTTCTTTGCCATAGAATCAAATGATCCACATGCAAGCACCTGCCTGGTGATGTCATCAACTTACTTCATGTCAGCAGAGAACATGTGCCGCAGAGTACCTCGAAACTTCTCAATGAGAGGCAGATTGTCGGCAGTAGAAACTGGGTCCAGCATCGTCTTCAGTCTCTTCCCTAGCACAGTGCCGCTGTCAGCATATGACTATAACAAGCACATCGTCATCAACACCCTCATCAACACCTTCATCAACACCCTAACCTACACTCTTATGAACACTTTGATCGACCTTCCTCAACACCCTCACCAACACTCTTATGAACACTTTGATCGACCTTCCTCAACACCCTCACCAACACTCTTATGAACACTTTGATCGACCTTCCTCAACACCCTCACCAACACTCTTATGAACACTTTGATCGAGCTTCATCAGCACCCTCACCAACACTCTTATGAACACTTCGATCGACCTTCATTGACACCCTCACCAACTCTCTTATGAACACTTTGATCGAGCTTCATCAGCACCCTCACCAACACTCTTATGAACACTTTGATCGACCTTCATTGACACCCTCACCAACACTCTTATGAACACTTTGATCGACCTTCCTCAACACCCTCACCAACACTCTTATGAACACTTTGATCGAGCTTCATCAGCACCCTCACCAACGGTCTTATGAACACTTTGATCGACCTTCATTGACACCCTCACCAACTCTCTTATGAACACTTTGATCGAGCTTTTCATCATCGAGCTTCATCAACACCCTCACCAACACTCTTATGAACACTTTGATCGACCTTCCTCAACACCCTCACCAACTCTCTTATGAACACTTTGATCGAGCTTCATCGACACCCTCACCAACTCTCTTATGAACACTTTGATCGACCTTCCTCAACACCCTCACCATCACTCTTATGAACACTTTGATCGAGCTTCATCGACACCCTCACCAACTCTCTTATGAACACTTTGATCGAGCTTCATCAACACACTCACATACACTCTTATGAACACTTTGATCGAGCTTCATCGACACCCTCACCAACTCTCTTATGAACACTTTGATCGAGCTTCACCATCTCTTATGAAACCCTCACCAACTCTCTTATGAACACTTTGATCGACCTTCCTCAACACCCTCACCAACACTCTTATGAACACTTTGATCGAGCTTCATCGACACCCTCACCAACTCTCTTATGAACACTTTGATCGAGCTTCATCGACACCCTCACCAACTCTCTTATGAACACTTTGATCGACCTTCCTCAACACCCTCACCAACACTCTTATGAACACTTTGATCGAGCTTCATCGACACCCTCACCAACTCTCTTATGAACACTTTGATCGAGCTTCATCGACACCCTCACCAACTCTCTTATGAACCCTTTGATCGACCTTCATCAACACCCTCACCATCACTCTTATGAACCCATTTGTTCGGCCTTCACCAACAACCTCACCAACACCTTCACCTAGAAGGTGCCAAAATTTCATAGTTGCATCCCATTACATGCGAATTTGAACCTCAGATTTGCATTCAAGAAATCCTATTGGTTGCTCAACACGACCCAATTACTACTGTATTCTCCAAAGAGGAAAATATTCAATATTTGCATTACTTTAGTTTTCCTCCTAAAATATATTGGCACACTGACATACCTGTAAGTCTGCATTAAACCTCACTACAGACTCACTCACTACAGACTCACTCACTACATTACATATACCCATGTTTGTGTTGCTGATGCTGAGGACTTGACTTACCTGGAGTACTGACTGAGACTTAGTGAGAGCTGTGGTGAATTCCTGCCACAGTGAGTCTGTCATCAGCAGTTGACCTTGTAGCAAGGTCAAGGTCAGGTCACCAGCAGCAGTGGCAACCTGCAGATATAAAACACACAGCATCCCATTAACAGTGACCTCTGTCAGTGTCTGGTTATTCAAAAACACAAACAAGCGCCACTGTTTCAAACATTTGATAGGGTCATACGGTGAGTGAGTTTAGTTTTACACCCAACTTGGCAATATTCCAGCTATATGGCAGTAGTCTGTAAACAATCAAATCTGGACCAGACAATTCAGTGATCAACAGCATGAACATCTATCTACATGACTGGGATACGATGACATGTGTCAACCAAGTCAGCAAGACCGACCAGCCAATCCTGTTAGTCGCCTCTTACGACAAGCATGGGTTACTGATGATCAATTCTAACCTGGACCTTCACAGGTTGGATCATACAGACATAGAACAGATATAAACAAGCCTTACAGTGACACACACATAAACCAGCCTTACAGTGACACACACAAAAACCAGCCTTACAGTGACACACACATAAACCAGCCTTACAGTGACACACACATAAACCAGCCTTACAGTGACACACACATAAACCAGCCTTACAGTGACACACACATAAACCAGCCTTACAGTGACACACACATAAACCAGCCTTACAGTGTCACACACATAAACCAGCCATACAGTGACACACACATAAACCAGCCTTACAGTGACACACACATAAACCAGCCTTACAGTGACACAGATATAAACCAGCCTTACAGTGACACACACACAAAACAGCCAACAGATTGACACAGGAACATACAAACCTTTCACTGACACTACCGTAAACCAGCCTTATGACACTGCCATTATCCAACCCTGATATGATATTGTCAAAATTTCCTTGCATTGACACAGTCATGCAAATTATCCATCTATTCGGATCTTAACTTCTTTGAGTGGCATTAGAAGCTAGTGTGATGAAGATCGGGGACAGTTTTATGGGTATACAATTTCTTTAATATTAATGTGAGCAATATTTTATTGTACCTGCTAACACTTGCTTGATAATGCTGATAGCAGCTAATCCGAAACGTCACTCACATTAATAATATAGAAGTTGTATATCCATAGAACTCTCCACGTTGTTATTCCGATCTTACAACAAAGAGTTGGCTGTAACTTCATACCTGAGGGTCAGAGTCAGCTAAACCAAAACAGATGATTTCATACAAGACATCATGGTCCAACAGAAACTTGACTCGGAGACATGTGCGAGACTTGGGGTCAGCAGCCTGATTCACATTCAGTGATGTCTGTAACAAGGAACAACATTGACAGGAAACAACTACTGAGAAAAAACCATCAATAAGTTCAACAGGACATCATCAGTTCACATCTCATTTGTCAAACATCTACAAGACTTTTCCATGACACATTATGCACAGTTAAGTCCCTAAGGACATGTGCTATAATCCTGAGACCAGATACATTAGCAGGTAGTTACCTGCACTGTATGGAGTACAGTCTTGTACGTCTGTTGCCGCACCAGTGGTAGAGGATAAGCCAGGAGTCGCAGCAGGCATCTCTGACACCGGGCAATGGTAGACTTCTCCGTTGCAGTCTTATACCGACTGATAGAAGAAACAGAACTAAGTAATGCTTGAACAGGGGAAAATGTTTGCAAGATCTGTTATGTAACTTAAAGCTTTGCCATAAAACAATAACCAAGATCTTTCAGTTTATGAAGAGTTGTCATCACAGTTGCAGTCATGCAGAATCTAAGTGGAAATGAGGCTAGCACAATATCTACAGTATCGTACCGTTACTCATTTACACCCAATCCCTATTTTCGCTCAGCTATTTTGAGTCCCGAAATCTATGAGAATTTACGACATGTGATGTCACCGGGAGCTTGTTTACAAACAAGCATCGTACTGCTGCCACTCAAGCAACAAAATGCTGAGGATGAACCTAAAAAAGGTGACTTATCGAAACAATTTGTGAAATGTATGATTTTTTAACAGAGATCACTAAGACATAAACTATCGCTAAGTAAACGATGTATTCAAACAGTTTTAGACGTGTCATTTTTCCAAGTGATAGTTCGTCTGCTAGGTATTTATTAATTTCATTTTGTGATGGGAATTCCCTGCAGTACAAGGGACCAGCTTGTGTGCGACTGGGAGGCCATAAATAGCCAACCAATGAGGTGAGTGAAAATAGATGACGTCACTACAAAGTATCATTTGTATATCCGAAGCGAACGCAATCGACTTTCACTTCATTTTCCGTCACAGTAATTAAAGATAAGGAAACGATTACATCATCTTAACGAGTAGGTATGATCATACGCTTATCCTGTTTTTTGTCTATATTTTATAAGCACTGTTTCTTATCTGAGCGAAAACCGGTAACCCCAGTATATAATATTTAGTAACATGTTGATATTGTTGATCATTTGAGGCTGAAGAGACCAAAAATGCTGTTACATCTTGTGGTAAACTGAGAAATATGGTTTCTGGAACAAAGTTGGTAATCTGATAGATGGGAGTCAAACCCAACTGCTGGCGTAAGCTTCGAAATACAACACAAATGAGTGAGTGAGTGAGCGAGTGACTTAAATTTTTACTCACTCACCCATTTGTAGATTTAGGACAAAGTTGATTATAGCCACGAAACTACGGCAACATCATAACATTGGCTCCTCATTTAGTTTCAGTATGCTCCTGATACATATTATAATGTCTTACATGTTGGAGAAGAACTTGATGAAGTCTGAGACCAAGGGAAGGTGCACATGGTAGGGAAGGCTGGGGAAAGCTTCCTCCATCTGTATAGAGAGTTCCTCAGGGGAGGCAACCTGTGACAGATCACAGTCAGACAAATGTTTGCACAAAAGAATAATTACTAGACTGATTACTATCAATAAAAATTCGAGTGACATTAGGATGTTTCATGATAGAAAATCAAAGGGGTGATTATTCAACATAAAACATAAGTAGCAATATTCAGTGGCATTTATTCAGTTACTTTCTGGACATAATGCATTCGGTGTAATATGATTAGACGACACACAAGATATTGTTATGTCAAGACTCAACGAAAAAAGATATATTGGAAAAGCAGACATTTCTGGAACCATAGTTCTGATGAAAGTGATAGTTAGAATACTTTTACATACTCCTTGTTTAAATCCTGTGATGAATCTGCATGAGTGACCCATGGACTTGCAGATGGTCACCGCATCACGATACTGCTGGTGGACAGACGGGTCCAGCTGCTGAACCTGCCTCAAGAGGGTGCTGTGTGTGATAGGGTAGGCCAGCAGGAGGCCCTCATCAAACACCAGGGTCGTCAGGGCAGACACAAGGCTGTCTGGCAGCAGGGAACTCACCTACACAAACACAAACACATCACATTCCAGTAGCCTATTTTTCTCTCTTCTGGAGGCTAGGTTGCTTCTGCTTGAACACACTGAGGAATCAGTTGTGATACTAACTGAAAAGCAACTGAAAACTTTCATAACAACCAGTTTCAAAATTTGGGGAAGAATATTTTTATTAACATCTTATAGCGTCTCCTATGTATGTAAGGGGAGAATGTGTTATAGTTTGCTACATCAGTCGTAATGTACAGTAATAGCATTCCTCATAGGTAGTGTCTCTTCCATTACGACAGTGGAAATGAATTTGTCCCAATTTGATGAATTTTGTACGGTGGGGATGCAGAGGATGAATGTTCATCATGAAGGAGAGGTATGACTTCTTGGACTCATTTACATAGTGCTAGCTGAGGCAGCTGATGGGACAAATATCTGGAGGAAGAAGAGGGGTTGGGGCAGTTACCATGTGACTCGTGCATTAATCAGGATGGAAACATTCAATCTGTATATATATTTATCCAGGTTTGAATAGATCTTCAGCAAACCATGCTTGTCATAAGAGCAGACTGATGGGATCAGGTGGTCAGACTCACTGATATCCCAATTGCATAAATTGATGCTCATAATCTTAATCACTGGATTGTCTGGTCTAAACTTGATTATTTAAACAAACTGCCACCATATAGCTACAGTCCTGCTGCATGTGGCATTAAACAACAAAACATACAATCTGCCAATCGACAGTCTGACTCTGAGGAAGGTAGAGCTAAAAGGGGACAAGTCCTACCCCTATATCATTGCCGCAGCCCTCCCCCTGACCTACCTGGCCTGGAGGCAGGAGTTGGAGGAGGTGCACCAGGTAGTTACAGACGCTGATGTATGCCAGTCTGTGCTGGGCCAGGTCACTGGGACCTTCCTCCTGGACATTGTGGTGTCCGAGATAGTGGAACGACAACAAATCGCCAATCACATTCAAGCAGTCTGTCAACTTCTCCACCTAAACAAAACAGTTATATACACAATCTGAACCAAACACATATGACAAGTCTGGTCTATTCTGCATGCAGCCTTTATTGGCATAATGAACACTGACAGACATAATAGCATACAGGGTACACAACCAGTCTGATCAAACTAACTTCAACACCAACATTCTGCCCCTGCAGCAAAATGGGTGAGTGAGTGAGTGAGTGAGTTTAGTTTTACGCCGCACTCAGCACTATTCCAGCTATATGGCGGCGGTCTGAAAATAATCGAGTCTGGACCAGACAATCCAGTGATCAACAGCATGAGCATCGATCTGCGCAACTGGGAACCAATGACATGTGTCAACCAAGTCAGCGAGCCTGACCACCCGATCCCGTTAGTCGCCTTTTACGACAAGCATAGTCGCCTTTTGTGGCAAGCATGGGTTGCTGAAGACCTTCTCTACCCCGGATCTTCACAGGTCTTGCAGCACAATGGCTAGAGGGTAGGCCAGGAGTCACAGAAATCTCTGACATTGGGCCACTGTAGACTTCTCTGTCGCAGTCTTCTACCAAGTATTGAGCATTTATGACAGCCTGTACCCTCCTACCGTATATGACCGTCTATAAGCCGAATTTTGAGGACCAAAAAAAGCAGTCTGTAGAAGGGGGTCGTCTTATCCACGCTTTCGTCAAACTTTTTTCCAGGGGTAAGAAAACAACATCGTATCACTTCGCGTGAACAAACAACAGAAGACGACTTTGTCAGTAGAGACGTCAAATTTGCAATTAAACATCACTAGACAAGATTATTTACCTTTTAAGTTATAAGTTGTTTTTGCTGGGCATTGTATTATTTCCAGGGATTAAGATTACCGTGTGTATCTGAGCCGGAAATAGCAATCAGCTGTGCACATGTTTCCCGGCGATCAAGTTCAAACATGCACAATAATATAACGGGACGAATTCTGACGCAGTCGTCAGTAAAATATAATACAGAATACTATTATTTAACCCAAAGAAATATATCCTAGCATTGTGTAATTTGATTTACAGTTTTTATGTAAAATATATATAATCAACACTAAGGTTATACGGACCCTCATGAACGTGGTAAGCACATGGAATGGGGTAAAATACGGAAGCCATTTAAATTCACACATTTTTACCGATGTTACTGTAAACTAGCAGTCAGTATGGAAAACGAGGCGGTAAACAGTTCGTGATTGTTAAATGAGGTAAAATAAGCAAGCCAGTTTGTTGCTACAATAAATATGATATTTAGAGAAGCAAAATATATTATGCATTTTCTGTCAACTACACTTCGTTTCGATCCGTGAGTAGACACAATATATATGACTGTGAATTCTTTGAATAATGTGGACCAAAGATATAATTATTGGTAACTGCCAGTTGTCTGTGTTTGCCGCGATTAGGACCCCATCGCGGGGGATCGACTTATGCACAAAACATACCATTTTGACACTGATTTTAAGGGTCAAGTTTGGGGGTCGTCTTATCCATGGGGTCGTCTTATAGACGGTCATATACGGTACACATCACGTTTCACTGATGTGATATGATCTGATATATGATAAGCCAATTCCTTCTTTAATTTCTTTGAGTCTTGTAAGCTTCGTTTATCCCATATACTAATTAAAGTTGAATGATACATCCTTCCCGGCTGACCAACAGCTTTAAAACATGGTACCTTTGTATTTGGAACAGTCACAATTATCAGATTGTCCACGTTTACGTACCACTTCCCTTGATGGTTGCGATGTCTCGCTCCACACATGCGATGTCACAACTTGTTGCAGCAGGTCCGACACTGCATACAGCAGCTGCATCCCCTGCACCACCACAGCCTCATTCTGAGTTTGCAGCACAGGCAGCGCGCCCTCTGCAGGGAGATGACACAGAACTGGGGCAGAGTTATCTGATGGTACTGCAGGATGTGACTATCATCAGCATCTGTCTCCTCTCTCAGTTGACCTATGTCAGGGTCAAGGCCAAGGCTAGAGGCTCCAGACACAGTTCTGAGGATAAACAAAATCAAAACTACATACAAACTTTGTGTTTGTTATTTAACATATAAACCCAATTTGATTAGTGTTTTAATTCTATCATGTTGGGTCACTGTGGGAGAAACATCCAAAATGAAGCAGGTCTGACTGACAGACATAATAGCATACAGGGTACACAACCAGTCTGATCAAACTAACTTCAACACCAACATTCTGCCCTGCAGCACAATGGCTAGAGGGTAGGCCAGGAGTCACAGAAATCTCTGACATTGGGCCACTGTAGACTTCTCTGTCGCAGTCTTCTACCAAGTATTGAGCAACTATGACAACCTGTACCCTCCTACACATCACATTGACCTGATCTCCAGTCCCACACATATGGCCCTGACAGACAAAGGGATATCATCAGGGCAAATCTGGGAATTCACACTTCTAATGGAGTGAATGAGTTGGGTTTTACACCGTTTTTAGAAATATTCCAGCAATATCAGGGCGGGAACACCAGAAATGGGCTTCACACAGTGTACCCATGTGGAGAATCGAACCCAGTGCTTCGACGTGACAAACGAGCACTTTAACCACTAAGCCACCCCATATACCCACTTCTAATGGATGCACCACATTTAGCTAGCCCTCAGTCACTGATTTGAAAGATGGATAACGATATATTTTGTTTGTTAGTTATGTTGACAGTTTATGACAGCCAACCACCTGTAAAATATCAAGTCAGGAAGTGACCATAAAGTTGTTATTTTGAGTAATGATCCATGGCACCACATAGACCAAGACCACATCAAGTGTTATTACAGCGAATACAAGCTAAATGTGATGATAATAATGATAATTTTCAGATCAATATTCCATTTTTGTGCATAGACACAGCATCAAAGTGTAGAATTTCTAAAATCACTCTTCTGATTTTTAGTGACAACTCTAGTTACCCCATGCATTGTTAATTCTATCATCAGACTTCATCGGAGGTTAATTTGAGAATGCACCTGACATGGAAACTTTGGTGAATTGAGAATTCTCTATTTCATTGTTTCAACTAAAACACAAGAACAAAGTAATGCTGATATAAGGCATACTTCATGTAACCTTGGTAACAATCAAAATGGCCACAACCTGTTTGATGAGGTGGAGCTGTCCCCATCTCGCCCATCACCCCGATGCCGTGCAGCAGTCCAGCCAATCACAGATGGTCGTGTATCTGAGGAGTTTCCTGATTGGTTGGAGGAAGAGTTGGCAACATGGGAGAACGAAGATGAGGAAGAAGAACTGAAATCTAGAACACAGAACCAGGTCAACAAATAATCATCAACATTTTTTGAAAAACAAAGACAATTCTCAATGAAATCATATTTTACTCAGGTATAATACCACTTCACATTGCATGGTCAGGAGAACTTTCTTATCAGTCTATCAATGGTGAGGCTTTAATGTTTGATTGGAGTGAGCAAAGCACCTGTATATCTGTTCTATCCTGAAATGCCTGCAACCTTATCTTTACTGTTGTTAGGGAGTGGACGAGTGGGTAACAGAGTGAGTGAGTGAGTGAGTGAGTGAGTGAGTGAGTGAGTGAGTGAGTGAGAGAGAGAGAGAGAGAGAGATAGTGAGTGAGTGAGTGAGTGAGAGAGAGTGAGAGTGAGTGAGTGAGTGAGTGAGTGAGTGAGTGAGTGAGTGAGTGAGTGAGTGAGTGAGTGAGTGAGTGAGTGAGTGAGTGAGTGAGTGAGTGAGTGAGTGAGTGAGTGAGTGAGTGAGTGAGTGAGTGAGTGAGTGAGTGAGTGAGTGAGTGAGTGAGTGAGTGAGTGAGTGAGTGAGTGAGTGAGTGAGTGAGAGTGGTTTGCGACGCTGCTTCAAACAGTATTCCAGTTACATCACAGCATCTCTAACTGATGTGGAAGGAATGCCCAAGTGACGGGAAGTCTTAGACATTTAACACAGTGGTGAAACCCAGGAGCACAAGCACAGTGTTGACAAACCTAGAAACAGAGACCTTGAATTTTGATGAAGAGATACTAATGCAAACTGGTGGACGTACCCTGTTTTGGAGTGTAGAGGACTGGATCCTGGTAATATCGAAGTCGTGTATGGAGGCAACGACTGACATCTGTCAGAGTCCGCATGGCTCGCATCAGCAAGGCTGTGTTGTCCTCAGACTTGACACCCAGGAGTGACCACAGACTCTGTGGTGAGACAAGCAAGAGTTACCTCCCTTCACTTTAGGACACAGAAAGTCATGAGGCTCAAGCACTTAGTAAATTTAAGCAGTGAAGTGACACGAGAACTTTCATGCTAGGATGATTATGATACATGTTAATAAATTTGGATGCATACAAATCTGAGGTTCAGAACTAAAGCATGGCAAGTAAAATGTGAAACAGATGGCACTTGATACGTTTCTGCCTAAACCCCAGCATATATCTGTATGTTTTCTTGTTCGTTTGCTTGCTGCTTGTTTAACGCTGCACTCAGCTATATGACTGTGGACTGTAAACAATCGGGTCTGGACCAAACAATTCAGTGGTAGATATTCAATTGTGAGCAATGATCAATATATATCCTCAATCTAGGCCCCACATTCCGTTTACATTATTTGACTGCTTTATCTGTGAACTCAAACAAAGTGTATAGATCTCTCACATACTAACAATATAATCTGACTGACTGCCTACCTTGATGGCTGGTGAACTCAAACAAAGTATATAGATGTCTCACGTACTAACAATATCTTCTGACTGACTGCCTACCTTGATGGCTGGTGAACTCAAACAAAGTATATAGATGTGCCTACCTTGATGGCTGGTGAACTCAAACTAGAACTAACAATATCTTCTGACTGTCTGCCTACCTTGACGATCTGTGGTCTCTGCAGGAAGATTTCTGCAGGAAAGTCCTGCAGCACGACATCACTGAGGAACTCATACGCTGACATCAACATGGAGACATCCTTGCTCTGGAGGGAGCTGGTAAAACAGACAGCATTCATTACTTTCCAGTCAGAAAGGGACATCGGTACATGTCCACTGGTTCTTCATAACAAAAGAATTCATCTCTACAAGTAATGAATAAGACAGAAATCATCCAGGAACCAGTGCTTGTAAGACAGCCTTCTTTCTGGCATCTCAAACATCTGTGACATTAATGTTATAGAGTAAGATATCGCTGTACAGAGTTTAGGGAAGATGTTGATGTCGTGAATTTGAACAGGTAAATCAACATGAAAAACATTCTCTGAACATCGTGTGCGCACAAAATATCAATCTGTCTTGTTTAAGCAAGAAATGCTGTGTGACTTTGGTCCATTACAAGTGAGTATTACACTTCAGCCAACAATGAGCTCCTCACTTGTTGTAACATATGTTATATCTGGGATTACACTTTCTCATCTGGACTCAAACTAACAAAAGTACTAGATTTGGTATTTTACTCAGAAGTGTAATGCCAAATATAACATACGGTACATTTGATCAATTTCTAAATCCCATTGTGTAAACACTCACCTGCAGGTTGGAACAGTCTCCATTTTATTATAATAGTGAGTGAGTGAGTAAGTTCGGTATTAATCGCTTTTTGCGATATGCCAGCAATATCACAGCGGGGGACACCAGAAATCGGCTTCACACAATGTACCCATGTGGGGAATCGAAACCGGGTCTTCGGCGTGATGAACGAACGCTTTAACCACTAGGTTACCCCAACACCCCTTTTATTATAAGAACATGTAAATAATGTATCAAGTACTATTACACAAGTAAACAATCAGAATCTGTCACAAACATGAAATTTGATCACTGTTCTTTAACAGTGATAAAACAGGCAATCTTCTGCAACACCGGGAGGTAAAAAGCATGTCCTGGATGCGTTATGTTATTTAAACACCTTCCCAAGGCCTGATTCTAACTTACCTGTTGGTAGACTGGAGGACATGCTGGTCAGTTGGGGTCAGTGGTAACCATGGAAACACTGTTACACGAAGTCCAGCAGATCCTCCTGACAAGGAACAAATACCGGTACAGTCTAAACCAACTGGTTCAGTTTAGAGAACCATGCTAACAATGAAGTATCACCAAGTAGTTGGAAGACAGGATTGGAGCATTTTTCAACTGTTGGCATACATATGATATTACTCGACATACAGCAAGAGACAGGCGGGTATTGGAATATAGATTAGGTGTAACATGCATGAGTTATTAGATTCCAGTTTTATGAAACAAGTGAACTTCCTATGGTATCTGATTGAACAAAAGCTCAGGTGTAAAATAGGTTTTGAGAAATACAGGGGTACCCCTTGCCAGGTATGTCATACGTCAGGGGTACCACTAGCCAGGTGTGTCACAGGTCAGGGGTTAAACTAGCCAGGTGTGTCACAGATGTGGGGTTAAACTTGCCAGGTGTGTCACAGGTCAGGGTTAATACTAGCCAGGTGTGTCACAGGTCAGGGGTACTACTGGCCCGGTGTGTCACAGGTCAGGGGTACTACTGGCCATGTGTGTCACAGGTCAGGGGTACTACTGGCCAGGTGTGTCACAGGTCAGGGGTACTACTGGCCCGGTGTGTCACAGGTCAGGGGTACTACTAGCCAGGTGTGTCACAGGTCAGGGGTACTACTAGCCCGGTGTGTCACAGGTCAGGGGTACTACTAGCCAGGTGTGTCACAGGTCAGGGGTACTACTGGCCAGGTGTGTCACAGGTCAGGGGTACTACTGGCCAGGTGTGTCACAGGTCAGGGGTACTACTGGCCCGGTGTGTCACAGGTCAGGGGTACTACTGGCCCGGTGTGTCACAGGTCAGGGGTACCACTGGCTAGGTGTGTCACAAGTCAGGGGTACTACTAGCCCGGTGTGTCACAGGTCAGGGTTACCACTGGCCCGGTGTGTCACAGGTCAGGGGTACTACTAGCCAGGTGTGTCACAGGTCAGGGGTACCACTAGCCCGGTGTGTTACAGGTCAGGGGTACTACTAGCCAGGTGTGTCACTTGTCAGGGTTACCACTAGCCAGGTATGTCACAGGTCAGGGGTACTACTAGCCCGGTGTGTCACAGGTAAGGGGTACTACTAGCCAGGTGTGTCACAGGTCAGGGGTACTACTAGCCCGGTGTGTCACAGGTCAGGGGTACTACTAGCCAGGTGTGTCACAGGTCAGGGGTACTACTGGCCAGGTGTGTCACAGGTCAGGGTTACCACTGGCCAGGTGTGTCACAGGTCAGGGGTACTACTAGCCCGGTGTGTCACAGGTCAGGGGTACTACTAGCCAGGTGTGTCACTTGTCAGGGTTACCACTAGCCAGGTATGTCACAGGTCAGGGGTACTACTGGCCCGGTGTGTCACAGGTCAGGGGTACTACTAGCCAGGTGTGTCACAGGTCAGGGGTACTACTAGCCAGGTGTGTCACAGGTCAGGGGTACTACTGGCCCGGTGTGTCACAGGTCAGGGGTACCACTAGCCCGGTGTGTCACAGGTCAGGGGTACTACTGGCCAGGTGTGTCACAGGTCAGGGGTACTACTAGCTAGGTGTGTGACAGATAAGGAGTAACACAGACCAGGACTCAGATAGATTAAGAGTAACAGATTATACAGTATTAAATCATCCATACTTTAGCTTAAGTTGAAGTAGATAGGGTTAATACATGGTGATTAAGATATTGCATGTCATCAGGTCCTAGTTGTTTAGATGGATAACGATTTGAGTGATCCCAACATGGTTACAGATTGATGTATGATAGCTTAACCACTAGGCTTCTCTACAACTCCTCCATTCCTATTTAAACAACATTGACATTCAGACATGTACTTATTGACCAGCATCATATACTCACCAGGTTCATATTTGGCTAGAGGTGGATCCAGCTCTTCCTCAGGTAAACTTGTAAAATAGCCTGTTGTTGGATCACCATAGCAGCCAAGTCTCTCTGCATTTGGCAGGGATGTTGTCATAGAGACCTGACCAAATGACCTTGGAGTGGCTGACATCTGATTGGTCCGAGTGCTCTCATCAATGGTGGTTATGGTCTGGCTCAAGCCTTCAAACAAACAGGGGAGTGAATTAACTCATAGTGTGCAAGCTTCATCCTGAAAATATTATGAATTCCTATTACAATGAAAAAACCTAAGGCTTTAGCTTTCTTGCTTACTTTGTTTCACAGAACTTTGGAAAAAGGGGAGCATTAATTATCATTTTTGTATTATATGGGTATTTATATAGCGCTATAGTTCATCCCATCTACATGCACAATCAAAGCGCTTTGTTTTCCCTAGATCATTGGATGTCAATGTCAATGGCACAATGAAAATCATAATTTCAGTCTCAACTCCCTGGGGATCATACAACTCGTGCAGCCACTTGGTGCACCAAGTTAATGTGGCTTTCCCATCCTTACAAGGACAGCTGGGGGACACATAGTCTTACTGCATGTTGCTGTACCCGCAACAAGGTGTTTGCACGTATACATGTGGCCACCATCTGGTCATTTACCAACGGATTCGTAGGTTCTTTTAAGTGCACAGGGTTGTGTACTGTACACTAGGGGTTGTGACAACAGGGAAAGAGTCTGCACACAAAGTTGACTCCAAGGCTTTTACACCTGGTCACAGGTGGGCTCGATCCCGGACCCATTAACTCACTGTATCTTAGACACCTTAGACAGTTGGCCCACCACGCCCCAACAAGTATGTACAGTCCATAATTTAGTAGTTGAACATATACATGCAGACATATACTGGTCAAAAATTGTTAAGGATCGTGAATAATTTGGGAGATTTTGTTAGTAGTAAATATAGTGCACACAATTTCATGATATTCATAAAAATATTCATATTTTAGTTCAGTATATATATAGACAACCAGCTACGTGATGGCTAGTTCATGAATATCATAAAATATTTTATATTATTACATAATAAAGTATATTCACTTACCAGCGTCGGCAGGCTTGTGGTAGATACACTCAGGAGCATGAGCACTGGCCTTGACCTCTGGGAGGCGCATGGTGTGCTCCAGGATCTGATCAAGAACTGGTCGCTGACCAGGACTGGCATTTTCCCGAAACTGTGTGAGGAAGTCGACACCTCCAATGTCCTGGAGGATCTCTGCAGCAGCTGAGTGCTGGCAAACAACACACATGGATATATCAACTTTTCTTGATTATGTGCTCAAGGATGACATCAAAAAAATCTAAATTTCAGTGCAGTAATGTATAACAAATATTGAAAGCATCTCCCTCCTAATAGGTCCTGTGATCAATGGAACAAAAGCCATAACATCAGTCATGACAGTGTTGACATTCAATTATATTTCCAGTTTTGGAAATTGTAGTGACATTTGCCAAGTTTGATGACTTACAGGACACCATCAAATAGCTGGAATATTCCTGAACCAACAAGACACTCACACAGATGTTTGTATGTTGACCAGCATTAAACAAGACACACTCACACAGATGTTTGTATGTCGACCGTGATAAAACAACACACTCACACAGATGTTTGTATGTCGACCAGCATTAAACAACAACACACTCACACAGATGTTTGTATGTCGACCATGATAAAACAACACACACTCACAGTGATGTTTGTATGTCAACCATGATAAAACAACAACACACACTCACACAGATGTTTGTATGTCGACCATGATAAAACAACACACACTCACACAGATGTTTGTATGTCGACCATGATAAAACAACACACACTCACACAGATGTTTGTATGTCGACCATGATAAAACAACAACACACACTCACAGTGATGTTTGTATGTAGACTAGCATTAGACAACACACACTCACACAGATGTTTGTATGTCGACCATGATAAAACAACAACACACAGTCACACAGATGTTTGTATGCCGACCATGATAAAACAACACACACTCACAGTGATGTTTGTATGTAGACTAGCATTAGACAACACACACTCACACATGTTTGTATGTCGACCGTGATAAAACAACAACACACTCACACAGATGTTTGTATGTCAGACTTTCATTAAACAACACACACAATCTAGGGCTGCAACTTATTCAGTTCGATTCATCAAAAATAAGGTGTCAGATTCGATTTTCGATGAATCGAACCGTATCACTATTTCAATTCAATATTTGAATACCTATTTAAATTATTTCCACACAGCCAGATCGAAATTTTGACTCCAACTCGAACTGTTTCAAGCACTGAAATAAGGCGGAACGTGTTTGCTTGATGCCACGCTAATTATGCAAAGAGAATTGTTGTTAGTAAACATCGCCAAGTTGACAACGGATTTCACGCAAAAAAACCTAACTCAGTGTTAAATGAAATCTGATGTTTTACTTGCATGAAGAATCAAATCGAAAATAATCGAATCAAGGGTCCAATATTGAAAATCAAATCAAATCGAGGTCAAGGTGAATCATTGCAGCCCAAACACACTCACACAGATGTTTGTATGAGCACACAGTCTGCATGCAGTGATGTGCATAACTTTTTCCACAGAAGTACTGAATAAGGAAGAACTGCTTTCCATACAATTACCTGCGACAGTCTGCTTAGCAAACCAAGGACATCAGCTGCCTTCGGGCAAGATGAGAAATTGAACCATTCCAGCAGTCGGATGAAGAGATGCCGCTCATTGACAAGATCTGCATCACATATCAATTTATGCTCCAATTTAGACAGGATATTTTCCAGTGCTCTCACGCGGATCTCTTCAAGGTTGTGACCTGTATGTATAAACAAACAGAAATGTTGACACCATCATGCCAAGACAATATTCATGACATTAAAAAGTGGGATGCATATCAAACTGTATTTAACAAAAAATAGCACAACCAAATATACCTGTGAGTGAGTGAGTGAGTTGAGTTTTACGCCACACTCAACAAAATTTCAAATATGTGGTGGAGGTCTGTAAATAATCGAGTCTGGACCAGACAATCCAGTGATCAACGGCATGAGTATCGATCTGCGCAATTGGGAACCAATGACATGTGTCAACCAAGTCAGCGAGCCTGACCACCCGATCCCGTTAGTCATAATATACCTGTTAACCATGGCAATCATGTTATGACACAGGTGCAGACATGTGAGGTGACAACGTTCCTAAATATTGCTTTTCAGATGCCTTGATTAAAAATCATTGAAAAGTGAGAAAGAAATACATTAAAAGCAAGCAAACTGACATGTCCTGGATATATAGATTAGAAAAGAGACACCATACAACAGAATTCACTATTCCTGTATCGATATGGGCATCATTCTAATACTGACTTTAACTCACATGTGTACCAGGCTTTTACCTTGGCTTAGAAAAATGGGAAACTCAGAGGACCCCCATCAATAACTTTTACGGGTCCTCACTGGTGATATGAGGGTCATGTCTCTGACTGTGTAAACTAACAGTGTAATGTACTGTGCCCACAGATGATTACTTCAGAGCCTGGAATGAATCAGTGATCATGAGGACAGTGGTCATGACTGAGTGAGTGAGTGAGTTTGGTTTTACGCGCTTTTAGCAATATTCCAGCAATATCATGGCGGGGGACACCAGAAATGGGCTTCACACATTGTACCCATTTGGGGAATCGAACCCGGGTTTTCAGCGTGACGAGCGAACGCTTTAACCACTAGGCTACCCCACCGCCCCAGTCATGACTGATGGGTGAAACAACAGACACAGATAACTAGTCTTGATGTGCTGTAGGTACTCTCTCTGTACTTTTGTGTGTCTTTCTAGACACAGTATTTGGGGTTTAATGCCTCCATCACACAAAACCTTGTATACCATAAGGTACTTATAAGGGTTTAGGCAGCGTTCGAAATACCTACCTGCCCAACCGCCCACACAGGTTATTTTCAACTCGGACTGCCAGATTCCCAAATTCACATACCCGACAGTCGGGTTAAAGTTTAGACATGTATATGAAGATATTTTGTTGGCAGGTAAGTTTTGGTCAGGCTGGCAAGTTTTACATCTAACCAACCCTGTGATCTGGCTGAATTTTTTGGGAGTTTCATACCCTGGTTTAGGGTGTACAAAACAGGCCTTTTAATGATGTTGTGATGCACTAGAGAGCAACTTAACACTGGTTATTTATTACCAAATATTAGCATGATTAATCTTTAAAGACATGTCCCCATGTCTATCATTGTATCTTTTAACGTTGAGAATTTTTACTAAAACACATGTAGTAGACAGGTCTGTGTGGTTGACAATTTCTCTTGCCAGTGGTTTCTTACTTTAATCATGAACTTTGCTGTATATCTGGCCATCCACAATAACATTAAACATGCAACATGTTGTAGCTGCAGTGACCATTACCAAAATGACTATGATTACAGGTACTGCGTTTAAATTTTAACATTTCAAGATGAAAGTATCATTTCCATCTTTGCTGATGAAGTCATACTGGCAATATTATGTCGGTTCAGACTGCAAGCACTAGATTGTGTTTCTCAGACATTAAAATAACGGGGGCAGTCTGGATCTTTTGTCAGTGATAAAACTGTATTTATGTCACTGTTCAAAGATTATTTTTTTATCTGGAGACAAATTAAAAGTTTTACGTACAACTAGGGCTGCAATGAATACACTATGTGGCGAATATGATGCGTATCATGAATATTGGATAACGAATACGAATAATTATTCACGAATACAATATTGTAGTTAAGTGATTGATGTACAGTATGGAACAGACATGTTGACAGTGTTAATTTGTCACAGCAATAACCAGTGATCTCATGACACTCAAATGTGGTATGTAATAGTTATAATCGACAGTACCATGTGCAGTCTTGGCAAACTAACATGACTTGCACTACTGCAATGCTAGTACATGTTCTATTCTTGCATATCTCACTCTGGAAAGGACATAAGGGTTCAAGTAAAACATGCTCCCTTAAAAAAATCGTAAATATTCGTTAATATTCAGTTCTGGTGACCACGAATAACGAATTGAATTCATGAAGGGCTACGGTTCGATTCACCGAATATGCGATTGAATCGTTACAGCCTTACGTACAACACACATTGAGAATTTCAAACATAGCTAGACTGATCTTACATCAATGCATGTCAAAAGACCTCAAGCTGCTGTATTGGTTCGTCTTTCATTCAAAATGGCAGAGAAAAAAAACATGCAGAGTTTAAAATATTGATAATAAATGAGAAAGAATATTTCCTCTTTCTTTATCATATTTACATAACATTTATCACACAGATGTACGATCTGACTTATTTGCAAGATTATTTTTATATTATTAACATGGTACATTTGACAGAATAAACATGTAAGTGGTAGTGTTCTTGAACCCAAACAATTTATAGTGACTATTACTTTTCTGCAGTTGTTGGTGTACATGTTGAATACTGAAAGGAAGTATGATCTTCAAGCTGCAGTACATTCAGTACTTGGGAAGGAACATGAGCTGCAAACTTGATAATCAACTAAATTTGATTCAAATCACATTATCCAACAATAATAATCTGCCAAATATATTTTACACTGCCTCAGATTAAATTATTACCTCAACAATCAACTTTGAGAAACACTGCACACAGCAAGTCTAGAGTGTCTGATCAAGGAGCATGCACATTTAAATTGTTACGAAGTTCATCCATGGCAAAAGCTAACCTGCACACATAGCAACATTATGCTGAACAATACAGTCATAATGGAAAAGAACTTTCTGAAAATATTTGCCATTTATCATTTTTAGACATATGTTAGCATCATTTAAATCTGTAATTTTTCAAGTAAAATTGATATTTTTATACTTATCCTGACTCATGATCTTTTGCTTATCTCCCTTTTCCTTGCGAATGGTAGTGGAACACTTGAATCCCTTGAAGTTCCCGAAGCGGATGTAAAAATACACTCACCCACGAGTTACCTCCCTTTTCCCACGTAAACAGTCATGTGACCAGCCTTACTTGTCACTCTCTCTGCTGTGCAATCCAAAGTGTTTCCAGCGGGGAGGTTGGGAGGGCTTCTCGTCATGAGTCAGGATAAGTATAAATATATCAATTTTACTCGAAAAATTACATGTATTTTCTTATCCTGACTCATGATCTGTTGCTTATAGTGCTCTGGCAACAGAGTTACGTAACCTGTCTCTGGTTTTGTTGGCGGTCGAGAGTGAAGCAGGCGACTTTTTGGCAACTTTTAATCGCTTGGTATTAATTAACCACAAGTTTTTTAAGAATGAATTTGGTGTTCCGCATTGGACTAACCACAAATCTTTCATACGTAATTGTTAAAAGAGTACAAAAACACAAAGTTTATTTGTTCTGTAATGATATCATCTGTACGTCTGTTCAAGGATACTTGAAGGCGTTGTTAACCTTCAGCCCTGTATAAGGTCGCCTTGAGGTTTTCCAGTACTTGAGATATCGGCTTCATAGGTGATATCATATTGGAGTCGAAGTCATCAGCGTATATGCAGTACGTCTCTGTTGGGTTGGAGTGAGTGAGTGAACTACAATATCCACAGGCCATCTGCTACCGGGATAAGACCACAGCATCCGTGTAGATGAAGTGATTCCTTTCATCAAGTAGGTTGTCCGAAAGTGAACCTATACAGGTATAAGGTTTGTGCAGGTTGTAAACTGTAGAGATCGCACATGTTGTAGATCTTTTTGTTGAGTTTTAAACTCTGACAAAACCATCCGTTTTCAGCATTGCTTCATTTTATTCAGCCGTATGGTAACAGAGTCGACGTCAACATCCTGCCTGTTGATGTAAGGGTTTGTTAACCCTAGGGTTTGCGAACCCTGTAGATGTCTGCGTTGCTGTTATCTGTCTGTAGATCTGAGAGTTCTCGAACCTTGTAGATGTCTGCAGCTTTCTCAAAGATGTGCGTAGGTTATAAGGTACCTTCGATATAGGTTCAATCGGAGGAATAGTCACCGAGTCAAAGTCGTCATTACGCATCTTATAAGTGTAGACTTCATCTATATCCTTAGAAGGAGACTCCAAGTTCAAACCATTGGCTATCCAAGCTGTAACCTCTGAATCCGGGAAGACGAAGTCTGGTTATACACCAGTTATCTCCTGATCGGAAGAGCTATGCCTCTGCGAATCATCCTTCTGCAAACCTGTATCCCTTCTCGAACGTCTATCTTGAGAGTCCTCTCTTCGCTAACCTCTATCTGTGGATTCATCTCTTCGCGAACCTCTGTGACGTGAGCCTACTCTTCGCGAACCTCTGTCGCTAGATGTATCCCCTCCCGAACCTCTGTGATGTGAGCCTTCTCTTCGCGAACCTCTGTCTTGTGATGAGTGACTTCGCGAACGTCTGTGAGAGATAGGAGATCTCGATCTAGAGCGGCTAGGTGTAGGAGATGAATCCTTCGATGTTCTCGAACGTTGAGGGTTCGCAGATGTAGAGTGGTGAGTAGGCATGACATGTCTTCTATCCTCCTCCAAGATAACAGAGTCATCCGACTGTGGAGACCTTCGCAAAGGTGTACGTTCGCCAACGTAGTCTTGAGATGTAGTTCTATGTGGAGTAGGTTCGCACAGGTCAGCAGGTTCGTGCAGGTCTGTAGGTTTGCGCACAGTGTCAGTAGATGAGAGGCTTCGCCGAGCCTTCGCTTCTTCCTCGAACCTCCGTTCCATCATGGCCATCATCTGGTTGGTGAATTGTCTCATAATTTCACCCAGATCAAGTTCTGTGTTGATTGAAGCTGCTGCGGTGTAGAAGAAGCGGTCGCGAACGCTGATGAGTTGTGTGCCTCAACTTCACTCCGTTGAGAAGTTGGTGGCAGTTCGTCAAACAGCTGGCCTGCTGTGACCGTTGCAGGAGACGATCTAGTAGTCGTGGAAGTCGATTGAGTTGCTGATCTCGTAGGTACTTCGGGTAGAAGTAACGGGGATCATCAAAAAAACGTCTACTTCATGCAGAGATAATATCTCTTCGTTGAAGGATTTCTGATGCGTTGACTTACTAGGCCGCGTAGATTTACCCTTCGATCTGGTACCAGATGCTTTCTTCTGCGACGTAGAAGAAGACGTCTTTTTCTTAGCTTGAGTCGGAGTCAACTGCGTTGTAGACGATCTGTTCTTGGCCCCCATACCAACAGACTCAACGTACTCAACATAGCACCAGTATTATGAATCTCCGCAGTAGCAATCAACATACGGTTTGCAGGCTGATCTCCTGTTTTATCAGCTGTGACTTGAGATGACTTCCTCACCCGATCCATGGCAAGACTATAGATATAAGACAAATATTGATAAAATTGTAGATTTGATAAATCAACACGATAATACAGTGCAAGCTGGAAAAACATGGTTTTATGCACGAAAGGCATTGGGGGTGAGGATCAGCCATGAACAACCTGTGCCTGCAAACACTGCAAGATTTCATGAAATATAAACAAAGTTACATAGCGATGAAATTATGACACAAATACAAATAACTTGTACAAAATTTTTACATATAAATTATAATACATAGTAGTTATTGCCAAATCCATACACAGTGTAATTTGGAAGTATAGGACCTAAATAAAAAGGATATAATGCTGTATACGGGACTCCTGTGCTTGCCCAACCATCCACTTGGGCGAAAAGGGAGAGAGTGACAAGTAAGGCTGGTCACATGACTGTTTGTGCGGGAAAAGGGAGGTAACTCGTGAGTGAGTGTATTTTTACGTCCACTCCGGGAACTTCAAGGGATTCAAGTGTTCCACTACCGTTCGCAAGGAAAAGAGAGATAAGCAAAAGATCATGAGTCAGGATAAGAAAATATAATAGATTTTTATTTCCAGATCGTATCTTTCAAAGTTCCTCTTTCTACTCAGGATGTGCGTCAGGCTTTTGTTTCAGCCTTGTCACAATCAGGGGCCACATTTGTTAAAAAATCAAGTGCAATTAAAGTGCCCAGTGGTGTTAGAAAAATGGTATGTCTTTATAAGCACTTATCATATATAATATGCCCCAAAAGGATTGTTTTTATTTTCATCCAGTTTGGGTTAAAACTCATCACAGACATATGTACATTCCATGAGCTACAGACACCACATTTTGCAGCAAAGTGTGTATTTATTGAACAGACAAACTGAAACAAGATAACAACTAATGTTGAATATCAATAACACAACTACTTTTAAACTTGAAATAATTCTTACGGAATCTTGAAGGTCTGATATTTAGTTGTTCAGTGGTAATATATTTTGTGACAATACTGATGAATAACTCCCTCGACTAAAGCAAGAATAAGTTTCTGTGTGTTCGTCTTATATATGATGAAAAAAAAGAACTGTCATTTCAGTGATGAATTTGGTAGAGATTACATCTGCACAAAGCAGCGTCTGCAATCACATCATTTCCAACGACTCCATTATAGACAGTTACTAATTAACCAAATTGGAGAAGGGGGAGGGGGTGTGGTGTGTGTGTGTGCAGACCTGAGTAGTGAGTACTGACTGTAATCACTGATCATGTGCAAATCATATTCACCGAAAACCATGTCGGTCTGACAGTAACACTGAAGGCAATAATGTTTACACATACCGAGTTTACGAAAGAGTCCATGGAAGTCGATGTCTTGTCTCAATGTAGCCATTATATTACACAGAAGTCATTGGAGATCAACGAGTAATTTAGTTCCAAATATCACCGATCCGTGTCCAAACATGTTTTGAAAGATCCGCCATTATCAAAACATTGACTTTCGTATACTTACGACAAAGAGAGTTTTCAAAGGGGAGCAACTGTGTATCTTTTCCGGTGACATTTTACGTCCGACTCGAAAGTCCTCAGATTAAGTATCTGGAACAAATATATTCTAAAGTATAGGTCCAGACAAAATAAAAACAAGTGCAATGTACTGAAATGATTCTCTTTCAGTGGGGAGACCCTTTTATAGGATTATTGCTGCTTATTATTTATTTGACTAGATTGCTTCTGATCTTTTTTTACTTTTTAGTTATAATGAAAACAAAGATACTTAATGATGTAAGGAAGGATAACAATATAAGGATGAGCAACTTCTTTATTGCTGTGAGAGCGACGTTTCTTTGTAGGTTCTAACACCGTTATCAAGCAAGTGATGAATAGCATGAGGATAGAGGAGCATATATACAAATTAGAGGAGATGTTTATACAGTACATTAGGAGGTGGAGGTGAGGTGAAATTGGGTTTAACGTCGCACTTGAGAATATTTCGCTCATATGACGACGTGCATGCGTGTGTATGTGTGGCTGCTTGTACTAGCCCAGACTGAAGCTGGTTTTATAGTGCTATCCCACTGAGATACCATGCCGCAGTGAAGCATGAATACCCCACTCAGACACATTATACTGACTCCGAGCCGACCAGTCCTTGTTGTACCCATTAATGCCGAGCGCCAGGCAGGGACCAACAAGTACCATATTTTAACGTATTTTGGTATGACGCGGTCGGGGATCGCACCCGCGACCTGCCGCTCTCCGGACGGACGCTCTAACCACCACACCACGCAGGCGGTCAGGAGATTAGGAAGCCAGACACAATAGCAACACATGGACTTTGATAAAGGCGTTAATAAGTGAAGCCTGCAATATACACAAGGGGATAGCGAAGCCCGTAGTATACATAAACGGGGGGATTATCGGTGATGAGGATCTTTAATGAGTTGATAGTATGCAGGAGGTATGTAATAACCTTTGTCACGGTTAAAGAAATTACTTATTGATGTGTGGACATATGCGTTGACATGTTTTGTAAACTATTTTTCATGAGAAGTTACTTTGATTATCGTAACATCCAAACAGTTTGAAATTATAATGAGGAGATTGAACAAAATAGTCTTATTCATATTAGTTAATCAGTCTAAAATCCAATCTCATGTATGCGGCAATATGTATATTGAACTTTCAGTCAAAATGCACATCCTTAGTGAATCAGGCAGTATGCATACTAACATTTTTAGTGCGAGTGATATGTCTTGTCCTAATTTTTTTCGATTCATTTAGTTTTTTTCTTTTATCATTATAATTTCTTAATATATATATTTCTTTTCATTTTCTTTATTTTTATTTATTTCCATTTTTTTAAATCTTTAAAAAAACCTGTAACCGCTATCAGAATGCTATACATCTATACATGTAAACTGCTAGCAGGAATAAAAAACAAACAAAAAACACATTTTCAGTCAGTATACATGACAACAGATGTATCTGAGATATATCAAGACATCAGGGATGACACTCGCTTTTTCAAGAAGTTCTTCCCAATTACACAAATTGAAAGCCGCAAACATTTTCTCTAAATTGCTAGGTCATTTTTGAAAGGAGACATTTTAGTTTTTACACAGGAAGAGACGCCCGTGCTGCCTGTACTTGAGAGCCGTGTTTCCCTACTGTAAGACAGGGACTATTCAGTGTATGGTTTGTGAATCATTCATTCTGCAGCCACCTGAAGCGGCTAGAATCTTTAACAATAATATCTGATCTTTTTCAGGTAATTGAATGGGAGAGTACGTGCGTTATGTTGCTTTTAATATTTGGTGTATACTATTGTTGAAAATTATCAAGTCGATGTTAAAGATGATTTGATTTGAAGATTCTCTGCACCACATGAGGCGGAGACCTTTCTTCCGTCCAGCTACTCTTTGCAAGAAAATTACCTGCACAGTCACTTCTCGCAAGAAGGGCTAGAATTAATCTTCAGCAATTAATGCTTGTAAGAGGCGACTAACGGGATCGGGTGGTCAGGTTCACTGACTTGGTTGACACGTGTCATCGTATTCCAACTACGTATATCGATGCTCATGATACACTGGATTGTGTGTTCCAGACTCGATTGTTTACAGACCACTGTTATATAGCTGGAATGTTGTGAGTGCGGCGTAAACCTAAAAAAGCATTTATTATATTTATATATGTATTAGCAATGTTCCCTCACGCTAAAGATATCACAACAGCTGCCAGCGGTTCACCTGGACACAATGACGATAAATGCCTACAGTTTTCAAGTTTCAGATGTTCTATCTGTAGATGATATAGATATAAACATATTTTATTCATGAAATATTAACATGACATGAATATAGATTGGCACAACAAGCCAACGGCTTATGTGAGTGCTGCCCCATAAAATATACTCTCCCAAAAAAAGAAACGCATATAGGAATTTCAACTGTATTTGTATGTTTATTTTGAAACATCTTGTAGGCTTTATGAGTCAATGAAATATAGCGAAATTTCACACTGGGAATGCAGACTTATCAGTCTTTGGCACCAGCTCGAGGAAAGTCTGTTTGAGTGTCACATGGAGACGTGTGGTGGCGCTGAAGTCAATACCTCGTGTGACCACCGTGGGCATCCAGAACTGCTCGGCATCGCCTCGGCATCGAACGAATAAGTCTCAGAATATCGTGTTGCCCAATCGCAGCCCACTCTGCCTGTAGTGCCTGTGCGAGTTGCTGAAGTGTCTGGGGCTGAGGGTTACGGCGTCGCACCCATCTGTCCAGGGCATCCCACAGATTTAAGTCCGGTGATCTTGAGGGCGAGGGGAGCACATTGGTGTTGTGGTTCTGGAGCAAGTCTCTAGCGTGATGTGCTGTGTGGGGCCTGGCATTGTCCTGTTGAAACAACTCCCTCTGGCGATCAATGATTGGAAGGAGGTGTGGGCGTAGGATTTCGTCACAGTACCGTTGAGCTGTCAGGTTGCCCTGGATCATCACCAAATCACTTCTCCTACGGCAGGTGATCACCCACCACATCATAACACTTCCCCGACCGAATCTGTCCACCTGGGGAACGCAAGCGTCGGCGAAACGTTCACGTCGACGTCTGTATACCCGCATTCTTCCATCGCGTCGTTCCAATAGATATCGTGATTAATCACTGAACCAGATTCTACGCCAAATTCGGTAGGTTGCAGGCCTGAACGTTGGTGCACCATTGAACTCGATGTCGACGATGTTGTCGAAGCACAGGGCCAAAATAAGGTCTTCTGGCACGAAAACCAGCCTCTCTCAACCTGTTCCTGACAGTCTGTGCAGAAAGCCTCCTCAATCCGGGTATTTGTTGAGCGGTACTGGTCGCCGTAGCTGTTCGATGACGCAGGTGATGTACCCGGATGTAGCGATCCTGCGCCGCAGTGGTCGCTCGAGGTCGCCCACTAAGAGGGGCATCTGCTACCGCATTCTGCCGGCGATATCTCTTCCAGAGCCGTGAAATGGTGCTTTGGTGAACATTCATGCGTCGGGCAACTGCACGTTGAGACTGGTCAGCTTCAAACAAACCAATGGCGATATGACGGTTGGCCTCACTTAGACGTGGCATTTTGCGTTCGTCAACAATATTCCAAATACAGTGAATAATCGACAGACAGGATCAACCTTTTATACCCATCATTGAAGACTATCTGTTCCCCAACTTTCACGTGCATTGCATGTGAATTGTGTATTCTGTGACACTACACGCCGAAATTGAAAATCATGCTGTTAAATACGGGTATTTTACGGATGGTGCGTTTTGTTGTGATGTTTCAAAACATAAACACCATAGGACTCATAAACAGAGCAAAACCTTTTGTAAAATTAATGACGTTTTAATTCATGAAATTGCTATTTTCATGATGCGTTTCTTTTTTGGGAGAGTATATAATACAATACAATCAATAATTAATTTCAAACAATGTACAGAAGCAACTATTTCCACAAAGGCATGAAATGCATAATAACAGGAAAGAGTCTACACAATTACATTAAATGATTCGCTAGTTACAGTTTAGAATAATTTGAATCTATTTGAAAGTAGTATGTATTTGTGCACAGAGTCAAGAATAAGCTGATTTATGATGTTGCTTGAAGTTTGATTACCATGGAGAATTTAATTTAAGTCAAAACAATTAGTGTAGAAATAATTATCTGATCTTATTAAGTCATAACAAGGGCAAGAAGAGAAGTAATGGAGAGAATCTTCCAACGGATGTATGCACAATTCGGATTATTTGAAATATGTCTATCAAAACAATGAGCGTTCAAGTCACTACAACCCAACCTGAGGCGAGCATGAATTATTTGACAAAATCTTGATCCAGAGTTTTTATCGAAGAGAACATTTCCTTGTTTGGCCTGTAATCGTGTTTTGAACGAATTTACTGATTGTGAGTTAATTATTTCGGTTGGTAAATTGTTCCATAAACGTATGGTGTCTGGTAAAAAGGAGCGTGCATACGAGTCTGTATGGCAATGAGTTGTGCGAATACTATCAGTATTTCTCAAATTGTAAGAACTTAAAACTGAAACATGTTCTGGAATTAAATCAGATAAGTACTTTGGAGTAAGGTAATTATTCATTTCGTAGAATAAAGTAAGTTTTTTAATTTCTCTACGCTTAACTAATGGTATGATTAGATGTGATACGTCTCTATTAATGTGTGTGCTTTAAAATTCAGGTGGGATATGGAATAGGTTTAGTTACTGCGAATTAATTACCTGTCGTCTCAAATCTTGCTTACCTCATCGCAAAAATGTATTCTTTTATTTCTATTTTCTGTTGCATGCATACCTTGTGTTGGGACAATTAAAAGCCCATCAAAGAAGTAGGAACAATTGTCATTTATTAACATCCATAAAACATCGACTGAGGATACTGAGAAAGTAACTTATGCAGACAGATGGCGACTATTCATACTTGATGTTTCATGCATGCTTCCAGTCAATCATTTCGATCCGGACTTAATGTTCCGAAAATATGCGCCGAATACAAGTGAAAGCTATCTCATATCAAACACGGCATATCATTTTCACCGCTCAGCCAATTAAGGTACGGTACCTACGATATATGATAACACAATACTGTAAATGTATGTTGTATTCATACATTCATGACAATTATTGAAGGGACCTGACACTTCACTATAGTTATTAATGAGTCCTATGTTTTGTAGTCCTACTTGAATACGACGACCAAGAGGTGCATGTAACCACGCTGAGAAAGGTATGTATTTTTTCTTTCTTTACATCATTTCAATGTCTAATACATGTATTTCCGGAACATGTATGTAAACTTGTATAAAATCCAATGAAGTTATATTCACAATTTAACATGTTTTACTACTTTCTCAAGAATTAACTGGTTTGTCTAACGCTACAATGATTTCAGCTGCACAACGTTATCACCAAGGAACATAGAATCAGTTCAGTGTAAATACACACATGTCCAACATCGCTGACTTTTGCATGCTGCTGTAATGTGAAAGCATTACGAAAACCAACTAATGTGGAATTATCTATTGTATAAACGTGTTTGGATCAGGAACACTCGCATCAGGAAACACACCTTTGCTCTTTTGCGCACGTAGACATTACCCCAATCGTTTAGAGCTGACATGGCGTGTCTGTCGTTTAGTCGTTTCAAAACACACACACACACACACACACACACACACACACACACACACACACACACACACACACACACACACACACACCCCCACACCCACACACACCCACACACACCCCACCCCCATCAGCACTCAACACATTTCGCGTAGTCGGATTTCGCCACAAGCCTGTATGAAAAAATACGTGACTTCAAGTTTCCAATTGTCAAGTTTTACTGCATGTAGAGTAATATTCCTGATGTCTACTTTTTTTACAGTGATGTATTAAACGGGCATGTTCCTTCAACGAAGATACGAAAAAACCGTGTCAGATGAAATGTTTCTTTAAAAGCTGTTCAAACAGGTTTACAACATTTTAGGCCTTGAATATTCTTTCAAGAAGTGTGTAGTGATCGCGTAAAATTTTCCAGATTTGAATCATCACAGACAAAGATGGTGTCCAGTACTGTGTCCTATTTTTACCTGCACCACATGTTCTCGTGTTCTCGAAATATCTACTGGCCCGCTTGCCAAATGCTAGCTGATTGTGAATTGGGACAGTAATATATTGTTAAACCTATCCCGACTGGCTAGCTGAGAATCTCAGTTAAATTGTTCTTTATCTGATGCGCATGAATATGATGATGTCAATTATGAAGGTGTTAATAGTTGGTCAGCAAAAGTGTCGTGATAGTTATTATTTCTTGTCACACGAAGATCGCTATATAACGTTTTACGTCGTGCTTGAGAATATTTCGCTCATATGACGACGTGCATGCGTGTGTATGTGTATGTGCGCCTGCTTGTACTAGCCCAGACTTAAGCTGGTTTTATAGTGCTAGCCCACTGAGATACCATGCCGCAGTGAAGCATGAATACCCCACTCAGACACATTATACTGACTCCGAGCCGACCAGTCCTTGTTGTACCCATTAATGCCGAGCGCCAGGCAGGGACCAACAAGTACCATATTTTAACGTCTTTTGGTATGACGCGATCGGGGATCGAACCCGCGACCTTCCGCTCTCCGGACAGACGCTCTAACCACTACACCACGGAGGCGGTCAATGTTAATAGGGATGTTAATAACCATTACAATACAATTGTAAATTTTAACATCTTCAATTACAAAACATCACACCAATTCTGAACGATGTGCATTTTGATATTGATATTTTGCAGGGCAAGTGCAGTATGAGGTGGGTTAGCAAATTTCATACTTAACTAGCCCTCCTGGCCTATGACTTTTGCAAATTAATTCATACACAGGTGACGGGTGCTACTGATGGGGTACCCGTTCCTGAACAACTTACATATAGTATGACCAGAAATTATTGAGAATTTCAGGTATAGGTTTAATTGGATTTCTAGTATAAACAATCTTGACCAGCTATCAAGTGTTTGGTTTCATTCAAGAGAGACAACTCCGTTAATCCTTTTTCATTAGTTTGTTAAGAGGTATCCTCCCTTTGTTTACTTGCTAGCAGACGACATTTTCAGTGATCCTAAGTATGGATGATTTAGAGAAGAGGAAGTTGATTTTAGAGTATTATAACAAGGACATCAGATCAGCTAAAGTGATTTCAAGTAGAACAGGCATCCCTTTGTCCACTGTTTATCGTGTTTTGAAAAATATTGCAAATGGATATGGCATTGAGCACCAGGGAGGAGCAGGTAGGCCCAGAAAATTGACTGTCGGTGACAGGAGGCGGCTTGGTATTCTTGTTTCTAAAAACAAACGAAGGAGTTTAGAAAACTTAAGGCTGGATATGATTGATAGAGGAACTGTGGCTGTCTGTAAGGAGACAATAAGAACTGAGCTGCATGCAATGGGTTGGCAGAAAAGTCGAGGAATTCCATCACCGATCATGAAACCTGAACAAAAGGAGCGAAGGTTGAACTGGAACTTTTAACTGGGACAATGTGATTTTCTCAGATGAAAGTTCTGAACGGCTGTTTCCTAATACACTGAAATTCTGAACCAAACAAACTGAAAAACCTTTGTATCAGCGTCCAAAGTACACTCCGAAATTTAACGTGTGGGGTGGCATATCTGTGTTAGGGGCAACGCCCCTCTGTGTATTTGAAGGGAATATGAACAGTGAGCGGTACACAGATATTCTCGAGGGACATTTACTTCCATCTGCTCACGTGTTCTATGGAAACTTTTGGATTTTCCAGCAGGACAACGACCCAAAACATCGTTCAAAGCATTCACAGGCCTGGTTTCGGACCCAAAATATGACATTATTAGATTGGTCAAGCTCTAGCCCTGACCTAAATCCAATAGAAAATGTTTGGGGACTTATGAAGGAAAGTGTCAATAAGAAAAATCTCACAAATATTGCTGAAATGAAAGAAGAGGTGGTCCGATATTGGGACAGCATGGACCACGACTTCTTTGATCAGTAGTATGCCCCGCCGCATTGAAGCCTGCATTGCTGCCCATGGTGACTTGACAAAATACTAACTGTTCACCTGTCTTTGAATCTGGAGTTATGTTCTGCTAATATTCACATTTAATACGTGAGTAATGAGTGAAAAAAATTAAAAAATTACAATCTTTAAATTCTCAATAATTTCTGGTTGTACTATTACAGTGATTCATAAACACAGGTTTATGGCACAGCCAAACAGCAGATTCTGATTTCAGCAGATATTTTTTGTGATTATGGAAGGGTTTTTTTTCGCTTTTATGACAATTATAACTATGAAAGTTTAACTTAACGTCCACAGGCTCCGGCAATGAAGACGTTGGAACTCCTGGTTGCAGTATCATTGTTCCATACGATATCCGAGGACTTCTTCCCCCAGCTGTACACAATAGGCACACATTACCAGATAGGTCACACTGTGGTACGTTGTAGTGTTTGTAATACATTCGTCAATAATATGTATATTTTCATTGTCCTGGATGTGGGTGAGTGAGTGAGTTAAAATAATCGTCACATCGGCAGTATTTCAGCCAAATCGTGACTAAATATGTTCTAAATACATGATAAATATATTTAAATTATAAACGACTGTCGACAAAGGACAGTAAAACGACTAGACTATCATATAACCAGAATTTAAAACTAGCCTCTATCTTTATTAGTGGATTTCTTAACAGTAGAAAGAAAAGTAAAACATTTTGTCATTTTAAAACTTCTCTACAACCCGATTTTTCTATTGTGGAAAATTATATATCAGAAAATACGTTTCAGTTCAACCAAAATCTTTAGGATTAGGATTAAGGTAAAGCAATAGTATTCGCTTATGCCGTTCAAATAATTAGACATCAATTTCAATGGTATAAACTGTATCTACTACTGTGTTGTATTCCAGGGCACGACGTTCAGAAGGATGATTCAGGAGTTTTATGAGCTGAGTAAATCATTGGCTGCAGTCACTAGATTCATACAAACAGACGCAGGGAAACGCGTAAGCTTCCTTATGTTTTTATTCATGCATCCTGCAATGACACTACTTGGACACAGTGAAGAAAGTGTTCCTGTAGATGGTTCTGGTCAATCTGTATGCTTGTGTGTTTCAGTATTACAGTGGGTTCTTGGACACCATGAAGAAAGTGAGTGAGTGAGTTAATATTTATCGTCACATCGGCAATATTTCAGCCATATCGTGACGAGAACAGTTTATAATTATTTTAAAGATCAATAAAGTTAGAAATTAAAAACCTGTTGACGAAGAACCGTAAAACTACTAATGTATCACAGATATCCATTTCAAACTAGTAATTAAATCTGAAATATTGGAGTGAGTGAGTGAAAATACAATATAAAAACAGGCTATAGATTGCCAACGACTGAAGGTAGATCACCATACTAGGGGCCACGGGGACTTACAGTACATTTGCTTCCTGCATGGACCCTAGCTGGATTTATATTATATGTATTACCATCCCTTCAGCCGTTAGCAACGTAGACAAATCTAGCCATACATTTAAAAACACACATATTCTACGATTAAAAATAGTGGAGAGTTTCAATTTACTTTGAATGTTTGTGGACTTATGTACCCTCTCAGGAGGACAATAATTTTACAGTACTTTAACCCTCCTTGAGGATACAGCCACTAACACTCTGAGTTATTAATTCAAACTTCCAATCATAAAATATTTATCTATTTATATAAATCAGTTAACAAATCTGATTCTTTTAAAAAAGCAATAATTAAATGAGAACTTATATTACTAAAAAGATCCTTCATAGTTCGTGATTTGAAATAGATATCCCTTGTGATTGAATATTCAACACAGTCAAGCAAGACATGTTTGACCGTTTTTCTTTCATCACAAGGGATGCAAAAAGGAGGATCTTCACCTTTTAACAAGTATTCGTGTGTATACCTTGTATGGGCAATGCGACATCGTCGCATAATGACCTCCTCAAATCTGGACTGACAACCCAAGTAAGTGTAACCAATATAGGGTTTTATTTCATGTAATTTATTTATACCTACTTGGGTGTCCCACTTCTTTTGCATCAGATCACGGATGTAAGTTCTAATGCTAGCTTTGTAATCAGAGTATGGAATAAGAAGTGGTGTCACAGATTTGTTGAGTGCTGCCTTGGCAGCAAGATCAGCCATTGTATTACCGGAAATTTCAACGTGGCTGGGTAACCAACAGTTGACGATGTCGTACTGGCCAGTAGCTAGATCATTATATAATTCAATAATTTCAATTAAAAGTGGATGTTTACAAGAAAGATTTTTAATAGCCTGAAGGCATCAAAGAGAGTCTGAAAAGATGTTATATTGTTTATATTTAGGGTGTTTATTAATATATTTTAAGGCTGTTAAGATGGCGTTAGCTTCTGCTGTGAAAATAGAGCTGTTATCGGACAATCGAGAAGATATTGTTCTGGATCCTTGGACCCATCTGTAAATAAGCATTTATATGTATTATATTTATTTCTTAATTGACTAAATTCCTGTTTATACTGTAATTCATTAGTTTCTGATTTTGTAAATGTGGTTAATGTTAAGTCAACTTCTGGCTTCACTAATTGCCAAGGAGGAGAAGAAAGAAGACGGGAAGGAGATATATTCTCCAGCTCAATGCCGGCAGCAGAAATGAATGGTTTAATTCTGTGTCCAAGAGGCGGAACAAGAGAAGACTTTTTGTTATACAAATCCTCATAAAGGGGATTGAAGATACAGTTAAATGCAGGGTTAGACTCGTTAGAATATAGTTAGGTAATATATTGAAAGATAATTTCTTACGGCGTTGTGTACGAGAAGGCTCATCTGCCTCGACGTAGAGACTATCAACTGGAGAAGTTCTAAATGATCCAAGACAAAGTCTTAGACCATGGTGGTGGACAGAATCAAGTAGTTTAAGGTTGCTTTTGCAGGCTCCGCCATATACGATGGAGCCATAGTCGAGTTTGGATCGGACCAGTGATCGATGTAAGTGAAGGAGGGTAATTTGGACACCTCCCCACTTTGAATTGGAAACGACTTTTAACAAGTCGAGTGCCTTTAGGCATTTGGCTTTTAGATGTTTGATATGTGGCAGAAAAGTTAAATGCGAGTCAAAGATGAGACCAAGGAATTTAGCTTTCTTGACAACTTTGATGGGTGTGCCATTTAATGATAATTCAGGGTCTTTTGGGGGTTTGTATTTACTACAAAAATGTATACAATTGGTTTTGGATTTCGAAAATTTAAAGCCGTTTTCCAGACACCATCTATGAATTTTGTTGAGACAAAGTTGTAATTGTCTCTCAATAGTTCGCATAGTTTTACCACGGCAAGAAATATTAAAATCATCCACGAAAAGGGATCCATCGATTGAATCACTTAAAACCTTCGAAAGGCTATTTTAATACTAAATAGCGTAACAGACAAAATACTGCCTTGTGGGACACCCCGATCCTGATTGTAATGATCAGACAGGGTTGAACCCACTCGGACTTGAACTTGTCGGTCGGTTAAAAACTGGGATATAAAAAGAGGCAAACGACCTCGCAAACCAAAATCATGTAAATCCTTTAAAATGCCATGCTTCCAAGTAGTATCATATGCTTTTTCAAGATAAAATAATATTGATACTGCATGTTGTTTAGTTATAATAGCATTTTTAACAAAGGATTTTAAGCGTACTACAAGATCAATAGCACTTCTGTTCTTCCGAAAAGGTTATTGGTTTCCAGATACCAAATTAATCTGTTATTTACCATTCGTTCCATGGTTTTACAGACGCAGCTGGTTAAAGATATGGGTCTGTAATTGGAAGGATCAGTATGATCCCGGCCAGGTGTTGGGATAGGGACTACAATGGCATTACGCTATGAAGGCGGAAAGTTTCCAGACGTCCATATTTGGTCAAATATATCTAAGAGTGTGACCAGACATGTTTTAGGCAAGTGTTTCAGTAGCTGATAATGAATATTGTCATCACCCGCTGCAGTGTCATGAGCTTGCTCAAGAGCTGTGTATAGCTCATGTAATGAAAACACTTCACAATAGTCTTCACCATTATTTGATTCAAAATTAACTTTTGACGTTTCCTGTTGTTTCAGATATCTCTGAAACTCAGGGACATAATTTGCTGATGAAGAATTTTTGGCAAGAGTTTCGCCAATTTTGTTTGCAATTTAAGATTGTCAGTAATTAAATTGTCGCCATCTTTAAGATGGTGAACAGCAGATTTTGAACCTTTGCCTTTAATTCTTTGAACCATGTTCCATACTCTGGACATTGGCGTACGTGAATTAATTTTGACGACATAGTTCCTCCAAGATTGCCTTTTGTTTTGTTTGAAGGTACGACGTGCCTTCGCATTGAGTATTTTAAATGTATTTAAGTTATGGACAGTTGGGTGATGGCGGAAATAGTTCTCTGCCATTCCTCGCATTTCTGTCTTGCCTACAAATCTGTATTAAACCATGGTTTCCGTACATGTGGAGTTGTAGAGGACTTTGGTATACACTCATCAGCTATTTCATTTAAAACATCAGAAAAAAAACCTTAATAGGATCAGTTATATCACTGAAATATTCGGGGCTTAGTTTAGATGTGCATAAAGTTTGACATAAGGACCAGTCTGCCTTGGAAAAATTCCATCTTGTATAAGATGTAGAATGAGATGGATACATTTCGGATAGGACAGTTGGAAAGTGGTCACTTCCACAGAGGTCATTGTGGACTGATCAATCAAATTCATTGAGGAGGTTAGAGTCTGCAAGAGACAAATCTAGAGAAGAGTAGGTGCCGGTTGCAGGATGCAAATAAGTGTTCGAATCGTCATTGTATATACATAAGTCATTATTGGAGATAAATTCTTCCAGTATTTTACCTTTAGAGTAAGTGCTTGTACCACCCCAGATCAGGTTATGGCCATTGAGATCACCCATTATAATACAAGGTTTAGGAAGTTAGTCATAGAGAGCTTGAAGATCAGACTGCTGAAGTGTTGAAGAAGGCGGAATACATAGAGAGCATAGTGTAAAGGTAACGTGAAGAGTAAGTCTCACTGCAACAGCTTGGAGACTAGTTGTGAGTGTTACAGGACTATGGATAACGTCCTGCTTTACAAGGATTGAAGACCCCCCAGTGGCCCTGTCACCCGGAGGTGAAAAAGAATTATATGCAACGAACTGACCTGTTGGACATTTGTAGTTGATTGAGATGGTGATTTCTCCTGTGGTATAGATGTTTCACGATTACTCTGAGACTCAGATTGGATTTGGGATGAAATTATAACTGTAGTTTGAGTGGATTGTTCTGGTGAAAACCTCTCGGGAGTATTAGTTTTCACCCTTGTCAAGTCTGTTTGACTGGGTATTGACGTAGTTCTGACTTTGGACTGTTCTGGGGTTGTATCAGATAGCGTTCTGGTGATTGAAACGTATGTTTCGGTCTTTTCTGGGGTTTGTACGAGTTTTGTAGCTTCTGCAAAACTGACTTTTGTACTGAATTTAATTTTATTAATCTCCATCCGCTGTTTCCACATCGGGCATTCCTTAAAGGAAAATGAGTGTGTTCCAAAGCAGTTGGCGCACTTTTTAAAGTTGCTGTCACTATCTTCCGTCACATGCGTCTTCTCACTGCAGTGTGCGCATGTAACAGACAATGTGCAGGTGTTCATACCGTGGCCGAACTTCTGACATTTGAAACATCTGAAAGGGTTGGGAATGTATGTATCAACCCTGATATTGCAGTAACTTACCCGGATGATATGCTCCAGCAGAAAGATTAAACAAGTAATCAGTCTACCAGATTGGCCCATGAGCCATCGCCTTCTGGTACCGGCATCTAGGCAAATTTTCTCAAATTTGAAAATTCATGTATCATACAATATATACACAAAACTAAACATGTCAGTATTGTGTCCAAATAAATCCAGGCAAATAGTTATAGAGTAATGAAATTTAGTGCTCAGGGCTCGGCATGACCAGCCGATTGGTTGAACCGGGCCCATTCAACCACCCGTCCAGGTGAAGTAAGGGGCGAAGTGGTGTGTTGAGCAAAGGAACACTGTTCCTGGAACCAAGGCCCTCAACCACCAGACTCCCTTCCTCCACCGACACAGGGGCGCAACCCACGGCAAACGGGTTGGTGGACCAAATATATCCCGGGTCCACAACGGGGGGTTGGAGAGCGCTTAGCGTTGCCCAGCACCCACCACGAGGAGGTGGCTCTTCATGGGTGCCCCATGAAGAAACTGTTCCTGTGGAGGGGGTCAGGTCAATCTGTATGCTTGTGTGTTTCAGTATTACAGTGGGTACTTGGACACCGTGAAGAAAGTGTTTCCTGATTACGTCAGTGAGTTGACTGGCCTGGCAGACGGAGCAGGGGTCAGCTTCACTCAGGTGTGTGTGTAGGGGGATGGGTAAGGAAGCTGTTTCTGGATGGGCATGAGGGAGGGGGACTGAGTCTAGATGTTAAAGTCACTGTTAATGCTGAAGCCATAACTAACAGAGTCATCGAGAATCGTCCTTGTAATTTAACTTTAACCAGCAGGGTAAAATCTATGTAGGATCAAACCTAGCATTCTTGCTAAGCACATCGACTATCTCCACAACCACCCCAACCTATCAAAGCATAGATTATCGTTGATAGGATTATTGATAATGGGATATCTTTAGTGGTAATGTGTATTGTTTCATAGGTTGAAACAATTACTTAACCGAAGATATATACATTTTCGGCGTTAACAAACAAGAAAAAAATGTAATAAAATTAGCATCTAAAATTTACTAAGTTTACAAATAAATGCACGTTAACCACAAGGGCTTTACATCAACGGCAATACAATCAAATTGACAGTATAAAGTAGAATAGTAGCGGAAATGACATCAAAGTCAGAGATGTTGTATTCACCTAGGAGCAACAGTGGTCAAGCTGCGAAAGAGGCTTATGGTGGGAATCCAGGGTAAATGCGATTGTCACAGACTCCTAGTCTTGGTGTAATGTGATTGAATATTTATGTGCTTGCCCCCCTTGTGTAGTTCCAAAACTACTCGGAGGTTCTCTCCCATGCTGGATGAAACCGGCTGTTCTAGAAGTATCCAGATTAATCTTGACTCAGTCTAAATAGTTGAAATAAACACGCGTCTACTGAGTTACAGGCCTTTTCTTTGATGATCTCACCTGAAATAAAGGCAGTACTGGACATGGAGGCGGCCCAGGCCTGCAGTGATGTGTACGTGGTGGACCAACAGGTGGGTACTCGGGCAACTGACCAGCTCCTAAAACAACAGTAGTAAACGTCCTGGGCCTTTAAGGACATCATCCCAGTCGCCTTCGTTAGGCAGATCTTGCCATCCGAATATATGTGCTTATCCAAGTCTTTGGGATAATCAATATTTCACATTCTCTAAGAGTTTATAACATGGGTGATAACTCTACACACCAGTCCACATGAAAAATATTGAAATGAGGCACAGATGAATAAGAATATGACAATTCAGTGAGTATGGGTTTGCGCCTTGTGATTTTAACTCCAGCAATATCACGAAAAGGGACACCAGAAATGGGCATTCCACCTACTCATGTTGGGAATCGTACCCGTGAGGGGTGAACGCTTTTACTACAAGGCCTAGAGAAACTAAAAGCACTTCTTACTATGAGAAGATGTTTATCTGATGAAATGGTAATTGATGAACTATTATAAGGAATAAGTATTCCCAAATGCAGTATGCTGCAAGGCGTTTAGACTTTTCAGTGATGAGTTCATTCCAGATCCAAGACTGGTCATCCTCAGATTGCCCTCGGTCACAATGAAGACTCACCAGAGCCGGCTTTGATAGGGAGAGTGTTTATGGTGCATGCAACTATAGTGGATCACAGTGGCAGCGTATTGGAGAAATTCTCGTCACTTAATATTCCAGGTAGTAGTGAGTGAGTGAGTTAAGATTTAAAGGCAACATTTTAGCCATATTATGACTAACAAAAGTATACATTAAGAAACCATAAATTCAGGTATAAAACGTCAGTAAAAGAACAATAAAAGGATCTGAATATCATATATATATATATATATAATGGTAAAACTAGTATCTAACCCTAATATACGACTCGTATGGTCAGGCTTCGCATTTTCTAGATCCTCTAGATTAATGAAGATCAGTCTTACTTCCAGCTTAAATAGAGTAACCATCATACAACTGCCTTCTACTGAATCCTAACAGAGACAATGTAGTACAACACTACTCCACAATGAATACAACTGTCTGATAACAAGCCAAGATGATACATGAGATCATCCTTATAGGGATAATTTTTATAGTGAGTGAGTGAGTTAATATTTAACGTGACATCGGCAATATTTCAGCCATATTGTGACGAGAACATATTTGACATTGAAATGGAACATGTGGATATTATATAAACCTGTCGCCAAAGGACAGTAAAACAACTAGAATATCACAATTAGAATTAAAAACTAGCATGGAAAGTTAAAACTATTAGTACTATTTGGACAATACAATATAAAAACTGGCTATATATCGCCAACAACTGAAGGTAGATCACCATACTAGGGACCATGGGACCATACTAGGTACCTTTTCTACTTGCATGGACCCTAGTTGGATTTACACCATCCCTTCATCAGCTGGCGATTGTAGAAATGTTAGCCAAAATAAAATAACAAGAATACTACGTTTAAAAATCCTGGTAAGTTTAAATTGACTTCGAATGTTTTATGGACTTACGTACCCTCTCAGGAGGACACTAATTTTACAATACTGCAACCCCCTTTGAGGGTACAGCCACTAATAATCCCAGTTACTAATCCAGGCTACCAATAATAAAATACTTATTTATTTACAAACTATTTAAAAAAAAATTATCTAGCAATTCTATTTCTTTTAAAAATTCAATGATTAAATGATAATTTACACTAAAAAGATCCTTCACTGTTTTAACATTAAAATATTTATCCCTTGTGATGGAAAAATCAATACAGTCACGCAGGACATGCTTGACCGTGATTCTTTCATCACAAGGGATACAAAACGGAGGATGCTCACCTTTAAGCAAATATTCATGTGTATATATCTTATGTGAAAATAATCCTGAAATCTGGACTGACAACCCAAGTAGGTGTAACCAATATAGGGTTTTATTTCATGTAATTTATTTATACCTATCTGGGTGTCCCACTTCTTCTGCATCAGATCACGGATGTAGGTTCCAATTCTAGCCTTGTAATCAGAGTATGGGATAAGTGAGTGAGTAAAGATTTAATGTCACATCGGCAATATTTCAGTCATATTGTGACGAGAACATATTTGACATTGAAATGAAACGTGTATATTATTATAAAACTTTGTCTATTTACAAAACACACATAAAAATTCATTTAACACATCTATCTCTTTTTAACAAATCAATGATTAAATGATAATTAACTTTATTAAAAAGGTCCTTTACTGTTTTGATTTTGAAATATTTATCCCTTATGATGGAGAATTCAACACAGTCAAGCAGGACATGCTTGGCCGTGGTTTTCTCATCACAAGGGATACGAGTATGGGATAAGAAGTGGTGTCACATATTTGTTGAGTCATTTTTATAGTATGCATCGCCATGACTTCAGTAAAACTGGCAGTCTACTAAACCAAGAGAACTATACTGTTGTAGCATACAGAATACCCATAATATACAGGTCATAACATCATGCTATATTTAGCTAAGATGAGGTAAAACGGCGTACTTCCTTAGGTTGAAGCTTTCCGCGCACTATGCATTGCAATGTTTCAGGTCTACTGTCTGGAACTGCGATGAGTTTCAGTGGGGATGGCAAAGTGTTCACCTTCAATTCGCTTTCTCCTGCTATTGTTGAGGCGGAAAAAATACGTAAGAGCTGTATCTCAACATAATGTTGGTTGTTTTTTTTAAAAATATTTCCAAACTTGAAATTTATGGCGCATTTATGTTACAAATGTCCCAGGGCGTGTCCAGGTGAGCATTTGTATTGCCTTTCCATGGGTCTGTAACGGATTCAACGTGAAGATCCGGGTTAGAATAGGTCTTCAGAAATCAATGCTGGTCGTAAGGGATAGATTGGTCAGACTTCCTGAATTGGTCGAGGCATGCTCATGATGTCAGTCACTGGATTGTCTGACACGATTATATACAATCTGAATCTACATAGATAGAATATAGCTAAGGGAAGCGTTAATCAAACCAGAATCAAAAACAAATAAACAAAACAAATAAAAAAACAACAACAAAAACAAACAATCGCCGAGCTTTCGGACAATACGTGCATTACTTCTGCGTACATGTTTAAACGAAGTTGGAAAATCTAATGCCCATGGCCGAATTGAAAATATTTCATATAAACGATCGGTTCAAGGACCAGTTGATACCACACATGGAGCCATGTTAGATTAGGTCGACATCCCTTGTCATAAGATGATCGACTGGGTTTCTCACACCACTGGTATTATTTGTTCCAGATTCGAGGACTGACCGAACATGATTACTCTTTCAAACACTTACGCAAATTAGTGAATGGATTCGGTTTGACACTACTTAGAATGATATTGTAGTCATGTTACTGGATGTCTTGCAAGCATTTTCATACGTCCAGCAAGTTCATTAGTCGAAGTTAGATCACAGAGTTTCATCTTTCATCGATCATGCAAATATAATTTGCAGGGTGTCTACCCTGGGTATATCCCACAACTTACCCCTAAGCATAGAAACATGCTTTCTAGTTTGCCATATACTTCGTGTTAATCTGAATCTCATCACGGGCGTCAGTAGTGATGTTTGCTCTGATTTCCAGCTCGTTACTTCATTAACAGAGCTGTGCTGGGCGTGACGTCACAGAGGGATCTTGAGAACCTGCTGCAGGGTCTGGGTGTCGGAGCGGCATATGGTTTCAAGTAAGATGAGGTTATGTTTATGTTTGTGATGCAAGACTGGGCACCTCACAGGGTGGCGTGTGTGTCGGCTTCAAGTATATATCTTTGTTTTAACTTAATACCAAGTCCAAGGCATCTTCTGCATGTCCTCGGTGTTGGAGTGGAATATAGCATTAGATAAGTGGATAAAAATCCGAATTTGTTATGAGGGATATAAATAAATATCGGATTTGAAAATTGAAGACCGAGGGCGTAAGTGAGTTGGGTATAACGCCGATAGGAAAGTATTCAAGTTATGCCCTTCATGTGGGAAGAAAGCTGGAAGTGATGCACGTGTCAGACGTTTGTAAATGGTTTGGTCTAACCGATTTTGTTTAAAAACTAGGGGCAAACCTAGATTTGAATCTTAGGTTTCTGACGTCCAATACTTATGAGTGAGTGAGTGAGTTTATTTTTACGCCGCATTTAGCAATATTCCAGCAATATCAGGGTGGGGAGAATTACATGGGCATTGCATATCAGAAATATTATATTTCAATATGGTTTTGGTATTTTATGGATAAGTCAAGACATAGGAAATGTAAAAATGTTTATCTCATTTTGTAAGCAGAGATTGTCTGATTGTTTGAACCAACATTGACATCATACTGTTTCACTTTTGAGCAAATGTCAGACATACTGTCAATTTAAGACAATTTTGCAAGTTGAAAGATATCTGTCCTTAGACATTCCATGGTATTACAAACATGTTTTAAGCCAGTTCAGATGTAATAACTTGAAACAATTGAAACAGGGAGGCATAATAATACACTGTACTGTAATAGAATTTGTTTATATTGTCATAGCAAAGGCATATCATTAGTTGAAGATGAATACCACCTATCGATGGTTTGTCAACGCTATAAAGATGCAAAATTGAATGTTTCCACCATACCTATATTAAAAAAACCCAGGTAGGGAAAGTTTTGCAAGACTTATGTCATGTAAGGATGAAAATGTTTTGATAAGTATTGCTAAGTTTCTGATGAAGGCTCGTAAAATTAGAAATGCATAAATTTCAGTCAATATTCTACACATTAAGATCCATATGTTATTTCTTAGATATGTTATACCTATACACTGTGCAAATATGTCAGACACTTTATAAAGCAAAATACAACATACTGTCACTTTATGACACTTGTGCAAATTGAAAGATATATTTCCTTAGATATATTCTACAGTATTATAAACATGTTTTAAGCTAGTCCAAATATAATAGCTTCCAACCTCCAACTGTAACAGGGAGGCATGATACACTGTACTGTGATAGACTCTGTTTATATTGCTACATCAGTAGCTTAAGAGGAATACCATTTAATTGTCAATGTTTAAAAGATGTATAAGATAGAATGTTTTCCACCATACCTATTTATTGGTAACCCGTGTAAGGATAGTTTTGTTAGACTTGTGTCATCTAAGGATGATGTTTTGATAAGTATTGCTACTTTTTCTTTAGAAGGGTATATGATGCCTGTACATTGTGCAAAAATGGTTCCATAGCTTTCAAAGGCAATAATGTATGACTGTTACTGGTTTTACCAGCATCAAATAAAATGTAAAATTATTCTGTAATGTGGGCCATGGCCTTATTTACTGAAATGAAACTGGCTGGCTGGCTGTTTGACACCTGAAATGGACTTCACACATTTTAAACGTGTGGGCAATCGAACCCGGGTCATCGGCGTGAAGACCAAACGCTTTAACCACTAGGCTACCCCACCGCCCCCAATACGTATGAAGGGCAGTCTGCTGTTTGATTGTGAAGTCAGTTCTTTTATGATAGCAAATACAACTTTTCTTTTCAGTTTGAACTATGCAGATATCAGAAACAGTTCTGGTATTCTTACAAACTTTGAGGTGTCCCCGATTTCTGGCGCTGCACGGAATCGTGTAACCAGGACAACAGTTGCCAGGCAGTCAGTACCAGGAGTAGACATAACGGGACATTTCTTTCACTTCAACTTGTGAGTAAATAAAGGCGATATACCTCATAGCATTACTGTCTGATGGTGTATCATCATGGCACATGGTCATGATACTGTAAAGTCTTCTTTTGCGCGTGGAGAGGGTTTGGGGGCCTCTTTTTTCCGCATGATGTCAACGCCTCGGGAAATGATTTTATATTCATCATTCCCAAGCCTCCATTATTATAGTCCTTCATCAAGTCACTTCTATGTATTTTGTCAGATACTACCTTTCCAAATGACTTGAAAGCATATTTTATTAAGTAGATCAATAAATCGCTTTGTTGTGAGTTAAAGAGGAGAATATATTAACAAGCGTGGATAAAGCCAGGGTTTAAACACTGTGAGGGTTAAATGTTGTTTCCTCATCCGAATTAGCAACTCATTACTTATCTCTTATCTCAGGTGACTTTGAAGGTTGTAAATGTATTCTATTTTATTTCTTTTATAAACGGTTTTTTGTTATCTGGCGTTCGTAAAATATCTTGACTGTAGCAGTCAGACTGTACCTTCTGGTTCCTTTGTAGAGAGATTCGTCCAGGAAAATATACTGAGAGAAACAAATAAAGGAACACAGGAAAATTCAAGCGTTCCTTTAATATTTTCCTGTTGTCATCAGCAGCTTTGAATAGCGCTGTGGGAGGAAATGTGAGAAGAAATAAAGGAGCATTGCCATGAAGTGGTGTTCAATTATTTGTTTCCGCAGTATATATAATCTTTTCGCATCTTCGGTCTTAATACAGCTTCTAGATGTTGCTCGGGTGAATATTTTCTTCCATAATTTCAGGTATGAACGCACAAACATCACACAAGTACAACGGCATATTGTCAGCTCACGACATAGGAAAGCACGTGCCCAAGCACTTCCAGCCCCTGTTAATGTCCTGGGCATCAGGCGGATACTCGGTGATGTAGGCGACAGTCTGTATCCTCTTTACCGTACACCGAGACACACAGATGTAGACAACACCGTGATCACAGGTACCAGATGTCACAATACCAGAGAGATATGATCAATGTTTGATCGCACCACATGTTTCTGTACAGCAATACCAACTAAATACGATCAATGTTTGATCGCATCATGTGTTTCTGTACAGCAATACCAACTAGATTCAGTCACTGTTTGCTATCATCAAGCGTTTCTCTGCAACAATACCAACTAGATACAGTCAGTGTTTGCTAGCATCAAGGTGTACGCATGAGGGAGCTCACATGTCAATACCAAACAGATTCAGGTTTGTGATGTAATGGTATTTCAGATGGATTATACATATTATATCATGAACGTGACAACCATTTTTGTTCTGTACACATTGCGACCTATTGAACCATGGGGTTTTCAGAGGGATTATAAATATTATATCATAGCCACCAGACAAAGAAGTCCTGCTGTCACAGGCCGGTGATGCAGAGATGTACCATATATATATAAATATTATATCATAGCCACCAGACAAAGAGATCCTGCTATCACAGGCCGGTGATACAGAGATGTACCATATATATATAAATATTATATCATAGCCACCAGACAAAGAAGTCCTGCTATCACAGGCCGGTGATGCAGAGATGTACCGTATATATATAAATATTATATCATAGCCACCAGACAAAGAAGTCCTGCTATCACAGGCCGGTGATGCAGAGATGTACCATATATATATAAATATTACATCATAGCCACCAGACAAAGAAGTCCTGCTATCACAGGCCGGTGATGCAGAGATGTATCATGTAGTAGGATATATATACATATCATATAATACCTTTTAGTCAAACGTTGCATTCATATGCGGTTTCCAAACATATTCATTGAGTGATATACCATCGGACACATTCATCATTTTGAGAATTATATTGTACAATAAAAGATATCATTACGTGTGGTCAGAATTATATGAAATGGATACAATATATGAATTATACTTGACATGGACTCGTACGATATAACTGTGTACCTAACATGTGATAGTGAGTGAGTGAGTTAAGATTTAACGTCACATCAGCAATATTGCAGCCATATGGTGACGAAATTTGAATAATATATAACGTGTAACATATGATACTGACGATAAGGATGGTCACTCGGCTAATAATGAATATATATGTTTTTTGGTTTTCGAGAAAAAGTGAGTGAGTGAGTTAAGATTTTAAGTCACATCGGCAATATTTCAGCCATATCGTGATTAAAGCAAGTTATAAATATATCGACTTCGAGAAAAAGAGTCTTTTTATTAGACGCAAACACATGATTGCATTCTCTTCCAGTATACAATACGCTTTGCCTTCATAACAGTGGTGTGTGATTTCAGGTATTTTTGTGCTCGACTCCTGTGTCCTCCATCTGTACACGACCAATCCTTGGACAGCAACACGTCCCATCTCTACCATCAAGCTTCCAACTGGAGTTTTGTGTCTTCAAAACACTAAGTGCAGTGTTAGGCCACGTATTTGTTAGCTCCCAGTGCACTAAATTCCTTAATCTTTCGTTTACTCGTTTTGTTCTCTGCCAACATGGCCTACAACCTCAGTCAGTTGTTCTCTGGTACAGTAGTCGATCCCATGCTGCCTTCCATTCAGCTGAACACATCATGGCCCAGACATGTGTGAATCCGCTACAAAGCAAAGTCCGGAAATGTTACGTAAATCCTAGTGAATTGTGAATCCACTGTCTTCAGTACATGGGTGACACAATAAGGTTCTGCTGCACTTTGTTAAACGAGTAACACAAATGAGAGGTAACGCTGATGCGGGTAACACTGATCATGTGTGACACGAGGTACTCTCGGGACGTGGACACCCTGTGTCGTTTTATAAGTCCAGAACAAAAGTGTCCACAGAGTTCATGAAACGTTACTAATTTCGGTTAGCACAGTTCACAATTTAACAACTCCCGACCAGTTCATCCCTTACAAAAACAACAGAGGACACCAAAGTTACACCGTCTGCCCACGTCCTGCGAATGCAAATTTCAGATTGTCCACGTCCTAAGAATGAACCGTGTGTCACAGATGGG